CAGTATTTTGAAATCGCATAGAGGTATCAATTCGAAGTCTCCAACTCCTGGCATTATGTTCTTGTAATTTGAACAGCGCCTCTTCGGAAGAAACTTTGAACGAGTCCGATATCGACGGCACGCCTTCAGGATTATATCGTACAGTCCGAGTCGGTCTTCGTCCCCTCGGTTCAGATCCGGAACGGGGTCGTCCATCTGCGCTTTTGCTTCTCACTTGCTCACCCCTCTTTCTTGAACGGGCCGTAGAACGAGTGCCCGGAATGGCATGACTCGACTGCGTCCGGTATCGAGAAGATGCTTGTCGTTGTTGGAGTTCCTTTAGCCTTTTGGCTTTCATGTAGAATGCTTCCTCTCGAGCCAGACGTTGCTTCTGTTCTAGAAGACCCAGACGATAAATACACCCTAATTTCCATTCGAAAGCATCATCTTCCAGCTCAAAAAGTAGAGCTTTACTGCGAAGCGAAATCCTTGGTACACGTTTCGGTCCCTCGGGGTGTTTTTCCAGGACATACTCGTTCGTCCTTGTTTTGAAGCGATGATTCAGCTGTTGCACAGATTTGGCGGTGTTGATAAAGTTGTCGAATATGCGGTACATTATCATCTGATGAGGTACAGCAACCCGTATGAACTCCGTAGAAACATCAACAGACTTCTCTTCAATGACGCTCCCGTCTGGCTTCCGTCGAGTTTCCCGCAACCCCACTCGAATGTTATTAACACTCACGATTCGAGCCCATGTGCCTTGTATCTTCGGGGCTTCGGCATGGAGGCGAATAAGCTGTGACCGCATAAAGGGGGCAGACCACCGGTGGCGCCCAGCAGCGAATCCATATATTTGGAGCATCATTGGAGGATCCGCTGGCATCGTACATTTAATCTGGATTAGAGATGCTTTTATGTCAACGGTAATAAGCTCAGCCGACATAAGCCTAATGGGAGCGTCAAGAGGCCCAAACTTTTTCGTCGCGCCAGGCAGGTTACTCGGGGCTGAGGGTTTGGCAGTCCGTGGACGTAGAAAGGCATCCCGTAATACAGAAACGGCAATCCCAACAGCATAATACCGATAAAGGGAACAGTCAAGGTATATCGCTTTAACAGTGGAGTTGATATGGAATATAGGGCCTTGTAGGTCGCTCGATGTGCTTAACGCCACTTCAAAACGGGGAACAGAAATGAACGACTCTGGCTCCATGAAATCTGCAGACTCCATCACGAATCCTTCCAGGCCACGAACATGGAATGCCAAGCGTCTCCCATCAGCCTGGCCTTGGAGAGACTTTCGAGAGGCGGAAGAAGATGAGGTGAATCGGAACGAATGTTCATCTGTAGTTGTGGAATGGCTTGGAGTTCGACGTTTTACCGATCTTTGATGTGGCTCTGATTTCTGCGATTGATAATCGGCCGTCCACCCTTGCAGCTGCAGAACCATGCCACGCGTGGTCGTCCCGATGCTGTTATCAATCCCAGCCACTTCAACACTAAACCCGGAAGCCTCAAACTGGAATTGCAGAAGCCACGGAGGTAGGCGCCTTAGAAGGCTGGGTGGGTTGGCATCAAGAGATGTCGACAACTTTGTCGACTGGACATGTGAATGGAACTGGTCGATTACTTGATGTACACCACGGCTAACTTCCCCACTAACCAGATGGATGGAAAAAGTGTTTAAACTCCCGGAAGCGACGACACAGACTTCTGGAGATGCGTTGAGGTGGATCTTGACTTCCATTGTTTCGGTATTTAATAGACGATATTTCGATCCAAAAAAGGTCTGGTAATAAAGTTGGTGGGCAGCCACCCGGTAGATCGAAGACAAGGAGTAGTGGATTCCTTCCTCCGCAGAGTGTGACGATTCGATATCTAGGGAGATGGAGGATATGGAGGAAACGAGCATATTGTAACTATGATCCTGGCCAGTGTCTGCAAGTGGAAGAACAAATCGAAGTACAGGCTCATGAACCGATAATTTGATACTCGCTTTTGGTAGAAGATGAGAAATGATAATGTGATTATTTCGGGTCTTGCTTCGGGGGGGAGATTTTCTCTTTTGGAGGATGAATAGTATTTGCGACAGATGTTTTGGCTCAACATCAATAGAAGGGGAGGTCACGACGAGATTGGCGAAAAGGACATTGGTGTTCCGTTCAGCAACCCCTCTGTTCTCGGAGTACGATACAGTCTTGGAGGGGAACGTGGTCTTGATGGTAGTTGTAGCCATGGGGATGTAAAGGATCTTATCCGTTTCTCCCATATTGTCGTCGAGTGAAACGGACAATGATATAGCGGCAAGGAGAGCTTGATGGGCAATGTCGTCTCGTTGAAAGTACATGCGATGAGCAGGGCGGTTAGGATCCATCCGGTGAAAATCAATCCCAATTTCGTGGGTGACAACATTGAGATAGAGCGGCCTTTTCGGATGTACGCTCTCGACAACTTGAGATAGCCGGAAGAAGCTCAGCGCTACCTGTATTTCTTGTATTCCACGTAATAATGAACTGAGAAACTCTCTTGAATCGGCGACGGTCTGCACGATCGCTTCTTCACGGCTCCCTGGCTGATCGAGCTCCTCAACGATATCTGCAAAGGAGATCCCGTTTTCGGTTGGCTCGCCAGCAGCATTCTTTGGAACAGGTAGAGACGCCTTCACGCTCGTAGCCAGCTTCATCAAGTCGTCATACGGAACATGTAATCTTCCAGCTTTAATGGCAATGGAGACATCCCTCAGGCCTTCCAAATCCTTATGGAGAAGGCCATGGATGTTCAAGCCAATATTGTCCACAATTTCGACGGGTTCGCAGCCATCCGCGGCAAGTAAAATATTCCGGACATTAAAAATCCATTCCGCTGGCCGCTGGTCCCCACGCGGATCCTTCTTGTGTCGGAATAGCTTCCCCCTTGCCATCATTTTCTTCCTTGTGTCAACAGCCATCGTGAGTCTTCCAATATGGATCTCCCCGGCATCCACAACCTTGAGAATCGTATCTAAAGCCACAACATCCATTATCACCAACCATTGTATCCATCGATGCAAGCGCTTAATCCATTCTTTTACCACAGTCAACCGCTTCCACGCCTTGCTCCGCGTCTTATGACCGGGTCCGGATTGGGATTGAAAACCTGCGCCCAACACATCATCCTTCTCCGAACCGGTATCGGAATCCTCGCTCTGCGGGGCCTGGGTCGCATCACGGCTGCCACTGTTAAGCACTTGGGGATCGATAGTCAAGGCCAGCTCTTTCAGCCGCAAGCTGATCCATGTCGGTTGCGCAAACGATGGTCGATGGAGAGATAAACCTAGTAGGCGGACGCTAACTTCAACCCCTTCCTTTGGCGAGTAGGCAATACGTCGGAGAGAGAAGTAGCCTACGCGTTGTATGGAAACCCCAGTGGCGATGCGGATGATGGCGAAGAGGATAAAGGAAACAAGGTAGAGGAGGAGGAGAGCTACCAAGATCGCGGTGGGGCTCCAGATCGTCATGATGGATCACAAGTGGTACAGCACCTTGTGATAGACTTGAGCCTGTTGGACAGAAGTTATTCGGCATGACATCGAGGAGGAGGGCAATGTAGTATATCTAGATCAGAAGCCTCGAGCCTAGGGAGAAGGAAGCAAAGAAAAGAGAAAGGGCGTCAGTACAAATGTTAACGTAGTTCAGCTCCCTTATTTTAGCCCATGTTCCAAGAAACCAAAGTCAGACCCGGGAAAGACTTGGGCGTTGCAAGGGGGTATAGTGCACGAGCTGATGGGGCGGGCGACGCCGATAACAAAGGAAAAGTGGTTGGTTTACCACAAGCTCTACGACAGTTGGCAAGGTGTTCAGAGAGGAGCAGGCTCATTGTCGGCGTCCTTGCGATACAGGAATCGAAAAAAAAGCGACAAGAGAATCTCAAGAAGGGAGACCCAAGGAGAGCAGCACAGCACGGGCGAACTGTACGGAGTACACAGCACAGTAATAGGGTTCAAAGGTTGGAGTTGCGATAGCTGGCCGCAGTGGGTGGTGGTGGTTTAAGGTTATTCGGACCCAGAAGTCTTCCAGAACCGACAGCGGTAGATGCGTGGTTTGGTACGATGTAATAGCGGCCTTGCAACCCGCTCCTGTTGGCTGAAGCTCCTAAGGAGGCGCGATGGGTCCTTTGCCGGGGTACATACATAAGTTACGCAGTAGTAGTAATAATAATAATAATAATAATAATAATAATAGACTGCCTGGCTCCTGAACTCCTTAGTACGACGTTGATTTGCAGCCAAAGACATCCGCACGATGGATACGGAGTAGTAATAATATTAAATCATATTAAATAATAATAATGGAGCAGACATTTCCACTCTCGCCGCTCAGAACCATGGTCGGTTTGCTGCCACTTTTTATTATTAGTTAACTATTGTACGGGCGGGTGCTGGCCGGTTTTGCTGTAAGGAGTAACCGATATCTATCTGCTTCCTGACTATCGAACGAGTTTCTCTCATCCAACTACGCAGTACGCAGCCATGCTAATTACTACGTACTAGGTATGTATGTTCTATCCCACACACCAAGAGAAGCCCCATCAAACGGATGGACGGAGACTAGTTCTGCTTCATTTAGCGGAGCCCAGATGCTGACCGGCGCACCCTGGAACTTACGGACACCCTTGCAACCACAACAGATACGGTTGCATCTTCCACACCAAAGAAGTCTTGGAAAGTATATATATGCCTTGATCGTGCCTCGTTTTTGCAATCAGCTTTTACTCTCTATGAATGCATTGCAGCCAAACAATTATCCGCGGAGTCTATTTCCAAAGGCCAGAGTTGCCCAATTACATACATGACCGGGAACTCCTAAGACACTTTGCACATAGGCTAGTTTGAGCTAGTAGTGTACATGTACAACCTCAGACAAGATATTAAACAAATATAAATATAAATAATACAAGTAAAAAACAAGAAAAAGATAGCGAGAAGAAAAATGCAACACGAGAACAAAATGAACCCGTCATAGAATCAAACATAGGAATCCATCTCACGACGCCTCCAACCTCTTCAGAGCGGCGATTTTGTCATCAATAACCGCAATCTCAGCGTCAACAGCCAGCAGCTTCTCGTTCAGCATCCCTACATACTCATCATCCGGCAATGGCTTCAGGAGCATCCATTTCGACTCCAACATACGCTGGAACAAGGGTTTTCGAGGGGCTGTTTGATCCCTTGATAACTGCCATCCATGAATGACATCATACGACTTCTGTCCAAGGAAGCCTGCTATTCCGAAAATCACTGCTCCGGGAATAAAACGTCGGTCTACACAATATACCACATTATCAGAGATATGAGGGCCGTCATACAAGGACCACTTGATGTAGCCCTTTTGCTTTCTTTTCTTTTCTTTCCTTCTTTCTTTCACATTGAATCAGGGCCTCGAACTTACGGATAGAAAACGCAATTGCTCCCCCCGATAATCCGCTAGAAACTGAGCTTGCAAATGCCCGCTGTCCCACCGTGGGTTTGTCATCAAATTGAACTCTGAGGATATTACTCCTCAGCCCTATCACAATATCAACACCTTGAGCTAAGAATCATAACAACGTAAAAGATAAACAGTAAAATTTCTTACACCATGTCGAGGTTCCAAACGCAAACCAATGGAGGCCGGCTGCGATCGAATGGATCGCCGGATTCGGTGAACGAAGAACGCCCGTTATCCCGCCAAATATGAGACCGGAGGCACCTGTATTTTCAAAGATTAGACCCCTAATCGAAGAACGAAAAGATACCGACATATAGTTAAAGCTCGACACGAAAGGAATTAAAAATAATAGGTACTATGAAATGCAAACAATCCCCGCCGCCGCCCCCAGTTTTCAATTGGCCAAAAATGGATCACCTACCACTCAAAGCCCCAACTTTCAAAGCGGGCAGCACCGTCCACAAATTCTGCGCATGATAACCATGATCATGGCCGTTTTGCCCACCCATCCTCAACGTCAGACTCCTGAGGCCAGGTCAGCCGAATCAGCCGTATGTGGCGTTTGGTTAGCGAAGCATGAGGTCGAATAGTGATGCTGGCCGTTTGTTTTTCACTTGTCCATGTGATGAACGTCATGGAGGAAGTTTGAGTATTATCATCACGTGACTCTGAAGGTTATCAACGATAGTGGATGAATTTGGTTTTTTTTTTTTTTTTTTTTTTTTTTTTTCCCTCCAGGGCATACGAAGGCAGGCGCTTGTTACCGCAGAATGTAATTAGAGTGCCGTTTACGTATTTATATCTAATTTCTAATGGTTATTGAATTCTATTTTAAAGCTGCACTGTACTTGTCTCATAGAAGCAGAGTACAGAAGTGCACGTTCTATTATTATTCAAGCAATAAAATTGCCAGACCCAAACGATATCAGAATCATGGCAATTCTGAACCTAGCCAGATAAAACCGTCCTTCCACAGCCAATAAAGTGTCAGGCCATTTTGCTTGAGTGCATTGACCAAGTCGCCCATGTATTACGCTGGAAGAAGGTATATAAACATATATTTTCATGGAAGATAAACAGTCTGCGGGTTTTGTGCACTTGCGTATTCCAGGCATCTTTGTCCAGGATAAATCCCAAAATACCAGCGAACATCGCATTGGACACCGTTCGAGTTGTTTTGCTTCCGGATAAGATACCATATGAAGGATTCATTCTCGCGGAGATTCCATTCGTATAAGCTAACCAACGAGCCTCAGTCGAGGTAGGCTAATTTGCCAGTACCCCTCTTAAATACCACCATCTCCATCCATTTTCTTTTTCTCTTTCCTAGCGACCAATAGCGTAATTTCTCACTTATGTACGTTTCATTGTACGGGGACGAATGTAAGCGCTGGTCAGCCAGGGTTGACTTGTAAGCGACATGATTTTTCGTTTCGTATTTTATTCACATTCCCTCGTGTATGTGCGTCAGAGACGAACGCCTTACTCCATCCAAATCTAGGCGCGAAAGCTGTCCCACCACAGGCGAAAAGGGAATGTGGACTTTGACTCTCAAATTGAGAAAGGGCTTTGTTTTTTAAGAGGAGCGTTCAATTAATCTGGTAATGGGAAAGGTTATTAGCCAAGGCATAAAACACATTGAAAAGTGTACAAAGAAAAGTCGAAACACTGAAACCCTTGGTATGTATATTGGCCTCTTGAGGATTTCCTATCGAACAAGAAAATGGCATTGCCGTTGAGGGTTAGTAAAGAGGCTTTGATTAACGCCAGTCTCAAGGCTCAGTTTCTTTCTGCTGTAATGAGAGGCAAATATTCAATTAAGCACCAAATAAGTCGCTACCCCCAATCAGCCATAATAAAGCCAACAGTGTTGGGTTGACTGCGAGTTGGAAAAACTTGCTGCGTCCAATGTAGTTGTGGGAAGTTGTGGCTCATGTTGCTAAATTTCGCCTCGTTGCTGCTTGACGCACTGAGGCTGACTTTTCCTTAGCGTCATCACTAAAATTTATCCTTTCAAAAGATCCAATCCAATTTTCCCCTCTGTCTTCACACTTCGAGGCCGCATTTTGACCAGACAACATCACCCTACCCATTCCCAATCACTGCCTCAGTGATTCTCCACCGGATTCCCTTCCTTGTCGCTGAAAGATTTTCCGATCTTCCAGCTCTTTACGCCCTCCAGAGATACGCGCACACGCCTTTGCGCGTTTCGTGAACACAAGTCGCCATCATGGGTTGGTAGCCCCCCAGACAATAGTCCACCGCTATCGTCATCCTAGTATCTATGGTTGGTAGTGTGATAGATTATATAGCAATGGCTAACTCTTTCTATTGCAGCTCCCGCAAAACCCAAAGCGCAGAAGATGTCCGTTGGGACCTTCTTGGCCGACGAGAGTAGGTGGCCAGTACATCCTAATAATTATTGCTTACGGAATACTAACCCGAGAGTAGCCTTTGGCTCCTGGGCCGATGAGATGGATGATATCCCTCTGCCTGGTAAGTCACGATGTTTCGTTCAATTGTTTAAGTTGACTTATAGATACTGATTTCATTTCCCCCGTTTAGCCGGTATGAAAAAAAATCTAGCCCGCAACCCTAATTTTCGGATTAAGGCCTTTTGGATAAAGGTCACTTTAATGAACTAGTATAGCTAAATGCAAGCAGTCCCTGAACCCCGTTCTAGTTATGGCGGCGAACGACGTATGATGGGCGGATATGGCAACGACATGGGAGGTTTCGGTATGTTAGATAGCTGGCTCAAACTGATACTTTGTGCGAACCTGTCAACTAAGACTTTTTCATGTCAAAGAACGTGACCACCGTGGCTACGCCATCAGAGAGGAACTTCCTATGCCCACCCAGCCTCCTTATACAGCCCATATTGGCAATCTATCCTTTGAGGCGACGCAAGGCGACATCTCGGACCTGTTTGCAGAGTGCCAAGTGACGAATGTGCGGGTTGTGGAGGATAAGATAACTAGAGCTCCAAAGGGCTTCGGCTATGTGGAATTCGCTACTGTTGAGGGCTTGAAGAAGGCCCTTTCGTTTCAAGGAACTCCCCTCCAGGGCAGAAATATCAGAGTTAGCGTCGCGGAACCTCGTACGTCCAGGGCCCCTTGACTTGTGATAACAACTAGACCTTACTAACACTTGTATTCAGCCAAAGAGAGACAGGACACGAGAGACTACAGCGACTGGTCCCGCAAGGGTCCCCTCCCGGATGTACCTTCACAGCGTCGAGTGTCTGACCGCCCAGGTTTCGGACCGAGAGGCCAGGACTCTATGAGCGATGCTGGAGGAGACCGCCCTGGACGACGGGTATATGAGCCTGCTGATGGTAAAATTCGAGACTATGGAAATTGGGAACGCAAGGGGCCCCTCTCTCCATCTCTTGCCCCTGCTTCTCTAGCCAGAGAAGGTGGCCGTCCGAGAAGCAAGGATGGCCCACAGTTCCGCAGAGCATCCCCTGCTTGGGGAGAGGCTCGTTCGCAAGATGGTTCGAGGCCACCCCGTCGTGAGTTCCATGAGAGACCTCCTCCAGAGAGGGCACCAACCGCTCCTGAGCTGGACAACCAATGGAGAGCAAGAATGCGACCAGATCCTCCCGCCCCTAAACCGGCCGCCGCCGTTCCTGAAGCTGCTCCAGCGGCAGCACCCCCCGCACCTGCACAGCGACCCAAACTCAATCTGCAAAAGAGAACTGTCGAAGCTGAGCCCGCATCCCCAACTGCCCCGACTGGTGATTCAAAGTCGAGCCCCTTCGGTGGCGCAAGACCCATTGATACTTCCGCCAGGGAGCGAGAGGTTGAGGAAAGACGTCAATTAGCCTTGCGACAAAAGAGAGAAGCAGAGGAAAAGGCAAAGGCCGAAAAGGCTGAAAAACTGAAAGCCGCCAAGGAACAAGAGCAACAGGCAAAGGAACAGGCTGCCAAGACTGAAAGTGCCGATGCTACCGTCGCAAATGGTGCCAAGGAAGACGATTCTGGCGCTTCTCAGGCTGGAAAGAATATCGAAATTCTTCGTAGGGCTGAAGAGACGCCAGTAGCTGAGGGATCAACGGAGGCAGGAGCTGCAGATGAGAAGTCTGAACCCCCCAAGGAGCAGGCTAATGAGCAGCCAAATGAACCAAACGAACCAAAGGAACCAAACGAACCAAAGGAACCTACCCGCCAGCAGCCACCTAGCAAAGCCAATGGGAACTGGCGAAACGGTGCCCCGCGGTCTCGCGGCCCTTCCCACGTCCATGCACCACCCAGAGGACCTCAGGGTCAGGCTAAAGGCCAGCAACCGAAGGCTCCCGCGGCGGAGCCCGCGGCTTCTCCTTCCGCTGCAGAGCCCGAGGAGGAGGGTTGGAGCACCGTGAGCAGCAAGCCACGCAACAGCCGACGCGGAAACCACCGCGGATAAAAAAATCTTCGTTTTCCCCCTCCTTAATGGTATTAGATACGAAAGGCGTTTGAAACACACAAAATTCACGAACCCCCAATACACCTTATACATGATGCAACGTAGTCTTCCACCCTATTAAAGCTTCCAGCCAAACAAAACACCCTGTCTGCGTCCAGCTCAGCCCAGTTCATCCCAATCTCGCGCGCTATGTACCATTGTTCTACGGGTTCGGGTCTTCCTTTGTTCGCCTTTTCCTTTTTCTGATCCACTTCTTATCTTGTCCGTGCTTCAAAAACGAATCTGTATGAACCGAGTTCTGTCTCTGTGCGTCTGTCTACCTCGTTTGTCTCTGGCGCTCCTTTCTTTCTGGCGAAACAAAAAAGAAATCATCTATCAGCTTGGCCGGGTTTTTTTCCTCATTGATTTCTTTTCCTGTCTATTTTGGCTAGCTCAAGCTTGATGACGTTTCCGCCTCGTCTACCCACTTCCTTTTCCAACCCTCGCCTCTCCCCCGTTTCTTCCAGATATGGAGCTTTCTTTCTTTCTTTCTCTGCTTTCTTTTTTTTTTTTCCTCCTTCCTCATTGCTGAAGAAATCTATTCGCCGTTTTGTTTTTGTAATTGTGTATCTCATTTCGTATTCAATTCCCTTACTTTTTCTTTCCTTAACTACCATCTCTGTCCTCTAGTAGGCTTGGTAAAGAGTTATTTCCCGTTAGTTCTATTCTGTTCAAGTTTCCCAAAGTTGGGCGCTGCTGCTTAAATGACGTGAGAGTAATATCCTTTTTCCCTTCCCTCCCTCGCATTCTTCCCTCTCTTACTTTTTTACCTTACCCGCTGTGATTTAAAACAAAACCTGACTTCTCTAACTACTGCGCCTCTACACCATGCCTTGCGTATCTGGGTATGTAGGTGAGTATGCGATACGGCGAAATCATTTTCTTTTCGAGCTAAAAAATTATGTTCCGGGGGCATAGATGGAGTGGAAATCCACTTTATTTCCACTTTTCCAGTTTCTTTTCGTGTGTGATCCTCTACCATCACATACTTCCCAGGCTCAACAACACTCCAATATGCTGTCTCGAGGCATTATATCTATAGTCTCCGGAGGCTCAATACAAGGAAGCCAGCAGGGATGGAATTATCGCATGAAAGGAGTACGGGGAAAACGGGAACGGTAATTGATTGGGCCCATGGCGGTGGAGTTTTACTGAATTTCTTCTCTCCCTATAGCTCTTGCCTTTGTGTCATTTTCTTTGGCAAATAAAATTGCATTGTCTGTTTCCATCATTTCCTCTCTTGCCCTTCTCTTATAAAGTTAGTGAAGACGGTTGATTCTGGACACGTTCAATGAATTGAATTATTTCCGACATATTAGTTTACCAAGGTGGCCTTTTGCTCCAACAGCCAAGTCACTTTTTGACCTATTTCTTTATTTTGCCCAATGCAGAAGCAAATAAGACATGTGCTAGGCAATAAAGTGCAGCTGCAAGACATCGATTAAGACCCCGGCACGCTAGGTCAGAACTGCTGCACCATTCTCTCCCTCCGCCAGTAAATCATTTTTACAACGCACCAATAGAAACTGAGGAGTGGTTGATATGATTCTGCTATGCAAGGAGGGAATAACCTTGGAAGTATGGCCGACCTCACGTGGCAAGTAAAAAGCATCCATCCCAAGGTTCCAAGGTTATTACTACATAGCCCTGCAAAAAAGCTTATTGCTCCCAAACGGGCCGTCGTCTGCGGCATGGAACTCCTTCGCTCACATGTCTCTCGCCCATCGACCATCGGTATTAAAGTCGATATCAAGCACGGAAATCGTCACATATATATACTTCAATGCCCCGTGTATTTGACTCTGGAAATGAAGGTTCCAACTGGCTAGGGTGGAAAAATCAGCCAAATGCTCAATGCTCCCTCCCTTTCCCACCCGATATACGCTGTAGACTTTCAGGAACATGCCGTGCCGCAAACAGCGTCTATTGCAGGCAGAGAGAGAACGGGAAACAAACAGCTCTTCCAATCGGGAAGTTACTATACAATCAATCCAGCTGATAGAATCGCTTGCATCCAACCTGCTGCTGAACTGGCCGATTTCATCGACATGGTGGAGAGCCCGAATTGTATCAAGGTTTCCTCGAAAGGCATTTCTCTACCAGGAATACGGAGAAAACAGCTAGATCGGACCCAACTGCACACTCTCATTACAAGGTCCGTCCCTGTATCAAGTGTTGCCCATATTCTCCCTACTCCGTTACGCTCTACATGTACCTCTCAGCCGAAGTTTAGGCATCAAATCCAAGGTTGTATGTATATATAGGTATTCAGTGGAACTTCATTCTATTTCTGAGATTTATTTCGTCGGCGAAGTACTGAATGTTGCCAAAAGCCAACGCCAATATTACGCCCATCCAACCGATGAGATGAATACATATTCTATCTGCAAGTATATACAGTACGGTCGACGGTTCTAGAGTGATCAATTCCACGTTGTCCTGCGCCCTTACACCTATTTCCCAGCAGAGTTCACAGATGGTGGAGCAAGTTTTCACGCTCCATCAGGTTGCCAATCGGGTGGCGCCATCTCAAAGCCGTTCGGGTCAAATCCGGGGGCGACTAAAGCAGTGTTAGACAGAAAACACTTGCCAGCAAGTTACGAGTGAAAAACAAATTCCCTTACCAGTTGTCCCAACGAGCGTCCAGGCTCCCAAGCTCTGCGCTCTCTGCCACTCCCATTTGCCCACAACCACCTGCGGCTTCTCGCAGCTGAAAATGTTTGGCCCGAGGATCTGCTCTCTCACCGGCTGGCCATCGTTGTGTGACAAGTACATCTTCATTGACGCGCCTGCGTAATAATGCCAGAGTTCCGCAGCGTCAATACGATGCCAGTACGAAGGACCGACAGAGCCTTCGAGAAGGTAGTAGATGGCAGTGCTGACCGAACGGTTGTTGACGGAGTCTGGATCCCGGAAGGTTTCGACATAGTAACCCTTTTCAATGTTAGGGACGAGGCCGAGTTTGGCGATGACCTCTTGCGCACTGTAACGTGTGATAGGACCTTTGGGTTTACAGTCGTCGCAGTCCTGTGGCGGCTTGGGAAGGGCGGCCATGACGGGAGACGTCAGGAGCGCCAGGAAAGCAAGCAAGCTCAGCAGCACAGGGATGCGGAGTACTGTCGTGCTCGTCATGATGGATGAAGAGGTGTTTCTGCCTTTATCGTGGATTGGTCAAGGATAGAAGATGTGAGGTGTCACAGGATCTGCGATAAGCTGTGGCTTTTATATTTCCCGGATTTTCGAGGGGTGACACAGGTGAGATCTTATGCCCCTTTTATTGCCCATCCTGCAGCTACCCAGATTGCCTAGACTGTTGCGGGGAATTTAGATCGGTAAGACCTTCATCTGGCTGCCCTCGCGTGACAAAATTTAGCAGCCCGTTGCCGACCAGTTCATGTCAGCTAGCACGACAGTGAAATGGCCTTGATTTATTGGCCCAGTAAGCTCCATCAAGCGAAGGCTGTTGCGTTCCTCGAGCTACTGGCTGCGCCTAGGGCCATTGGGACGGCAATTTAGCTCCATTACTGGTTAATTTATTCTGTTGATTGGGCAAAGCCCGAAGGAGGACGGTGTCCATCCATGCATGCATGGAGCAGATTGACGGTGATAATTTAGCATCCCTGTAAGGTGGAGAACTGCCCACGCAAAATCCACCCAGCCTTCTCCCGCACCTTCCGGAAGTCTTTTCTCCTCCATTGTCAACTCCGCACTGCTTTCAGCTCGGTTTCCTTCCCTCGGACCCCTCCAGTTTGCGACGGACTCGGCTTGGTCTCTCACACCACCTTATCTCAGCGGCTCCGGCGCTTTTGAGGCGTAAACAAATCCCTCATACTAACCATATTAGGAAGGCAAGCTTGTCGTCTATGGGCGGTAAGAAAATTACTAAGCCGTGGATAGAGTTTTGAGGCGAAACCTAATTCTGATCTAGAATCTTGGCGTATTCCCTCCGCTTTCTCTCCAATCTAATGCAATCCCCTAGCTTGATACGGGTCATATATATAGACTGTTAACTACGATATATACGACATATAGAGATTGCGGTATGCGGCTTATCTCGCTGCAATTGATAAAAGATTGCTTTCCGATATATTTAGGGATCTACAAATTGTTGGTTTAGAGATGGTTCTGTCCATACCATTATTAGTGACAATAAGTGATCATTTGTCAAAGTTAATCATACATCATACTTCCATACCCCGGTATTTTCGTTAGAGCCCGCCTAATATTTTAGTGGCATACTAACCATCTTTATGTGACATTCTTATTTTTGAATGTGTGTTCGGATTCAATAATAATAATATGAATATCTTGTATAGCCACCCCCTGTCTCTACGCTGGATACCTGTCAAGCAGACATCTCTGCTATAAGCTCCTGTAACTGGTCCTCTGCTGTAAAGTCCCAGGCATTTCTAACCACCTCTTGAAGTACATCATAAGAAAGATTCTCCTCATTCTCATGGTTCTCCTGGTATCCACTGCTTCATAAGATTCCATACAGATTCAATTGGGTTCAGATCAGGGGAATAGGCTGGCATGCTTTTTAGAAGTAGCTACTTCAGCTTCTCAGGTGTACGCTCTATTGAACTCTTCAATAATACGGAGGATCCTTTCAAAAGTTTTGATTACTGCGGAGCGCTAAGAACTTAAGCTATAATGCTCTTACCAATTCAAGGAATCTTCATTCCAGAGCAGCCTAGGACTAGGCTAGCTTTAGTTAAACTATAGCTAGTTTATTCAGGCACAACAGGATTTAACCCCATTGAAACTCCAGTTAAAGAGAGGAAATGGAAATACTTTATGCTAGTAACAGAGTGACAACTTAAATTCTTATTAGTGCTAATCATAACCTCGACCCTCTGTAGATGTAGATTATGATTGGATATCCTCACCCAAGACGTGAAGAAGAAGGATATCTCAATGTCGATCACAGTGTTAATTGCTTTGTAGAAGGTGAAGTAGAAGCTTCTGAAGCAGTAGCAGGTGGAGTAGCAGCAGCAAGTAATTCCATCTTGACAGGAATCGAATGAGAGGCAGTAACTAATATTATTATTGTGTGTAATATTATCCTCTCGTCTGGGAGCGATTAGCGTATTTTTCTGCCACCCCAATTTATGACTGCTTATTGGCTGGAGGCCCCTAATTCAGCTTGCCTATTGGCCATATCGAGCCGGTAAGGCACGACGCTAATTGTGGCCTCGCTCCCAAGACGAGGGGATTGCTCTTCTGAGACATCAGGGTTGCATGTTCAAATCCTGCCTCCACCACAAGGCAATTTTATCATGATCTATTGATTATACAGTACATCCACAATCTGGGGCCAATTCTTGGCTACAGAGGGTTAGGAGGAAATGATTTTCACGATATATATGACCAATAGGCAGAATGGTATTAAGTCCTAGTGTACTAGGGTACTAGGTTACGGAGTACGGAGTATGGAGGATGTCTTTGTATCCACTCAGGTTTAATCAGGATTTGGTGGTTTTCCCTGAACAGCTTATTAGAGATGTCAAAGAATCAGAATCATACTAGACTCCAAATTGGGAGTACCTCGGTGAGGATAGCCAGATGAGTCGTAGGAAATAAATTCTGCCCTCAGACTAAGATGCTAAGGAGGGTCTCCTGCATAGTCTCTGAAATAGGAGAATAAAAGGAAGAAGAATAATAATGTGTAATATTAAATAATAATAATGAGAAAGGAAGCTGGCTGCCTCTTGGGGATATTTGAAGACGCGCCCCCTGGAATGATGGTTAGCATGCCACTAAAATATTAGGGGGGCCTTAATGAAAATAAAGGGGTTTACCAGTTGTCGATAGTGATAGTAGCGGAATAACTAGCAGTAAACATATAAAAATACATCCTATCAAAAGATAAATGACGTACCTTCAAAAACTAGAGGATTGATCGAATTGCTTTTGCTATTTCCCGCTCAAAAATCGGAAGATATTGGTTGGACGGTGTCACACCGGGCACTCAGGTCAGGTCCCAGCCACGGCCCGGATTGACTAGGAGGCGCCTCCGTAGTAGTCCCGCTAAGGAGTGAACCTTCAAGGCTTCCCACCGCCTTCGTATCTCGCGTATCTCGGCTGGGACCTGTTCATATACCCGTAACTAGGTTATTGGCGATTCTCGAATGTCGGGGTTTTCCCGCGCAAATACGGAGTACACGCCCGACGAGTGGACAGCCGAGGGCATTTGGTATCCAGCGAGGGGTTTGTTAAAACTCCGCCCGAATGAGTAGATTTCAACCTGGCATGCCAGGTTGGAAAGTATGTGACGTCTGGTCGACGGCTAAGTAGCAGCACCATATACTTCAAGGAATTTTTTCCCTTTTTCCTTTTTCCTTTTTCTTTTTTCTTTTTTTTTCTGTCTTTTTTCTTTTTTTTCTTTCTTTTTTTTTCTTTCTTCTTTTTTTGCTAAAATAATGACAAGCTGCTCTCAAGCGAACCCAGCGGAATAATAATGGGAATGTTGTGTAATGATCTAACGTAGTCTATCATAAAGCTTGCTTGATTGAAGATTGCTAGGGGAACGAGGATTACTAAGCATGGGCCAAATGGTCCGACAATTTGTATGGAGATACTTTTGAAACAAACAAATATAGGTATGGTATCTCTACTCCGTACTCCGTACTCCGTACATACAAATTTGATGGGCAGATATGTCCGCTATTCCGCAGGCTAAAAAGAAGAAGAAAAAGAAGCTTGGCGGAAGAAGCTAGCTGTAGTACGACGTGGTCGACTCGCCTATCTGGCCGGCTCGCTTATACAGCGTAGACTAGGTTATCTAGAAGCGGCTATACTAGGTAGAGGTATACGTGGTGAGTCACATGGGTTAGGGTTTGTGTACCTAGGTAATGTTGGGGGTCCCGCGGTTGGTCGGCCCTTCTACCAGCAGGCGCTGGTGGTGATTGAGCTCTTTTGCCCCAGTAGCCTACAGGTAATTCAGACTCTTGTTTCCTCATTAGGAATAGTGCCTGTACATCAGTAACTGTAAAATTCAATGCACAGCACACAAATGCCCAACCATCTCTGTATTCCCAGTACACAACCCGAAACTCTGAAATCATTTGCTCCAAAATTAGGAGCGCCCCATCATCCTTTGATAGAGAAGGTCGAACGGCGGTTATCTCAACTTCGGTATCCTCAACTTGAGAATCTGGATGATGATTCTTCTTGACATGGCGGTGTTACCCCAACTAGGGGCTCCAAACAACAGGTATTCTCAACTAACTTAGAGAATCCGAACTTGACAATTTTTCTATGATCATCTCCGCTAGAGAGTGTGATGATAGTGAACTTTGACAATGATATATTACCCCAGCTAGAAGTTCTGAACAGCAGTTATCTCAACTAGAGACCTCTGAACAATGAATATTCTCATGGCTGGCTCCTCTTGGTCATGAGAACTCAGTGATGTCTTCTTGACTCTTTTGGTCATGGCATACTATGTACGGAGTAGGTGCCTCCATCGTCAGAGAGGACTTCTGATTGCCTCATCTTGAGGACATGCATTCAAGGTCTTCCGGTGCCTATGCTGAGGACTTTCCACTACCCACAGAACGAACCTCTACACTTGAGAAAGAGAGGATAGCATGTTTGGTAGTGCTATAGAACAGATAGCAATAAGGGTCTCATAACCTGTTGAACGTTGGTTGAAGGTGTGTAATCATCTATCTATGGGTGGGTCACGTGGGTTAGGGCTTGCCACGCCGAATGTTTTTCCGGCCGGAAATGTGAATCAATATAAGGATTTAAACCGCCGTCGAATTCAACACTGCACCCAATTCACTCAACCATCCCCATCCCGTTCCTTTATCTTCCACACTTGTCGCTTTCACTCCTTTGACATTTCCCACTCACTGAATCCCAACAACGGTACGTGCAGCGCATAATTTTGCTTCGACCATCGTAAGGAAACAACATAGCTAACCCATTCCCAATAGCAAAAATACAAACAAACACACAACCGCAGCAATGTTCATCACAAGAGGCTTCTCCCTCACCAACTTCGTCATCGGATCCTCTGCTCTCTGTTTCCAAGTCTTCGTTCTCTACCCATGGCACAACAAGCTCGAGAAGGACTTCGACGACCTTAGAGCCGCCCATCTCGCCATGATGAAACAAAGTGAAGAAAACCGCACCGCAGAACTGAAAGCCATCAATGAGCGGCTGAGCAATATTAAGCAATCCCGCGGATGGTTCTGGTAGATTTAACGAACCAACGATGGCTTTTTATCCCTACAGCCCTGGTCGATCGACTTGCTCAACTCGACACACCACCACTGCCACCCCACCACCCCACCACCCCCACCGCCAGCCCTTCACCCCCTCTTTTCCTCTGCATTGAAAACCTGCTAGGGAAGGAGATTGTCCCAAATCAATCAACCCCATTTGGCTCATGAGTGCATGCGAGAGCTGCTCTCAATGGCAATCCCCGATCTTCCCATCGCCGCGTCGGCATTCTTTTACACGATATCGATTCGTCCGCTATTCCCCGTGAGGGATTACATTACCACATACAAAGACGTCCGGCAGATGCCGGCAAATGCATATGCTGCTGCCATCCTTCCTGGAATGCCCTTTGATGATCATCTCTCTGCTATCATTTTCTGCATTTTCTATTGCAAGCAATCGGGTTTTGGATATATTGATTTTTACCTTCTCTTTCTTCTCTGTTTCCCCCCCCTTTCTTTGCAACGGCAACATCCTTCACAGGCCAATTGTTTCTTGATTAGATAGACAAGGTAGCTAGAGCCATGTAGATCGCTGCGCCATGATCCCCATGACAACTTTGATAGATGTGCAATTGAAGTATATGAGTTTCAACAGAAATAATTTTCGCTCTCCCTCCACTTCGTAACATTTTTCCCCATTCAATTCATTGACCTAGCGTCCAGCCTGAATTTCACGTCAAAATAGCACATCGTCATTGTGGATTTCAAAACCCCGTGTGCTTGGCACGTGCTCTCATTCGTCAGTTGCTGTGGCAACCTAAGGTTTGCGGAACGATAACGTTGCTGTGGCTCGTTCGAAAACCCGTTCCTCATGACGTCACGTCAATGGGCGAACGAAAAGTGCTACGAGAAAACATTGGAAACTGAGAGAAGGGGCGGAGAAAAAACAGACTGTGTGTCTCATTCTCGTCCCTTGAAACTTTAGATTATGGCCCGATTCTGGTTGGGGAATCAAAATGGAGCTGACTGGATCAATTGCCACCTTGGGTGTTAATCAAAATAGGGTTTGTTTCAAGGAAAGGTTTTTTCACGGATCTATTTTCAGGGATCGAGAAGCTGAAATTTTTCGGCCATTTTCGATGCTTAAACCGAAGGCATAGCGAAATAAAAATAAACCAATGAGAAATAAATGCTGATCAAGAGCTCTAGGTTGTAAGAACATTACATTCACCAGGAAACGAACAAAGGAGAGAAAGGGATAAGATTCATAGGAAGCGAAGGTGTGTCCATAACTAATAAGATAAAGATGAGCCGCGCATCGAGCGCCATGGGTTCCAAGCAGGAAAACGATTCAAAAAAAAATGGCCCGAAATAATATGGAGGGTAGTGGGGAGCCGAGAATAGGGAAGATAGAGATAAAAGGAAAAGGCCAAGTAAAAACGAAAGGGAATACAGTAAAATCTAGCCAGAATATACAAATGATAAATGAAGCGTTCAACGCTATACCAATTGGGGATATAGAAGTCAAGAATAAAGTTCAAAAATATGAAAAACATGAAAAACATGGTCAAAAATGGAAGAAAAGAATACCTACCATCCCTTGAATAAGGCAATAAGAAACCGACCGAAGGGTACTGGGCGCGGGTATCAACAAAGTATAGATATATATCTTTCAAAAATACAACACTGGGTATCGGCTTAGTAGTCCATATAGTATTCTGGATGCCATTCTTGCCCAGGATATGCGGTACTGGACATAACAATTTCCTCGCTGGAGTCATCCCCGGGAATCGGGACGGGCAATTCAACTGGCTCGATATACTTGCCAGGGCCTGCGATATTATGCGATGGAGTGTGATTATAGTTCCGATCTTGCGGTGCCCTATGTGGATATGAAGAGCCTTCGGGTGGTGGGGAAGCGGCTGGCGACATTGTCGCGGAGTCGGGGAGTGGATGCTGAGTCGGATCGGGGGACTGGGTGCGGGCTGAGTGTTGAGCGGGCATGTTTGCCGGGACGTGCCCGTTCTGGAACTGGATAAACGACATTGGGCTCTGAGATCGCAACTGGGGATTGTTCACATAGGACTGAGGGTTCCCAGGCGGTGTCGCATGGGCAAGAACAGTGGTGTGAGATATGATACTCGCAGGATGGCTGCTGCGACTAGAGTGCGTGTTGTCCTGGGTATAGGATTGCTGCGAAGTAACTGATTGGCGCCCACCGAATTGAGTCATTGATTGTGTTTGGAGTTGATTAGTTTGCTGCTGTTGATGATAGTTATGTGGCATTGTGTTGGAATGCCTATTCGGATATATGTGTGGGTATGACTGTTGCTGTGGCTGCGGCTGCGGGAGAGCTGTGACCTGTGTTTCATACTGTTGTGGAGAATACTCAGGGGTGTGGGGTAACTTAGCAACGGGCTCGGCATGCCTGGAATGGCGGTTAAACAAACCCTGGGAGCACCATTTTTGTTAGAAAGATACCATTCAAGGGAAAGCAAGCTTTAGATTCGGGTAACTCACAGTCACTCTAGGCATGTTCTTCTTCATCTCACCAGCATTCTGAGCAAGACGGCTGGCACCCCTAATAAATTTGCCGTGGATTTTTACTTTACCAACTGGAGATTGGTTGTTCGGCAGATTATTGGTTGGGTCGCTGGGATTCGAAACAGACATAGGCGAGGCACGTTGGGTGTCCCCGGATGCGAGAGCGCTCGCGCTTCTGGTTTTTGAAAGACCTGAATCAACCTTAAAGGACTGGAACCGATTGCTCCAGCTCTTCTCGTTGGATTGTCCAGTAGCGCTCGCACGCCGATCAGCTGCCTGACGGGAAAAAGATACTTTAGACATCAAGTTAGCCATAGCCGAGCCTGGGCGAAACTCCTCTTGTACAGTTGCGGGTTTTGATGAAGTGTTGCCAGCGTACTCGCGGATCAACTGAGTTGACGCGCGCCCCTCCCTGACAGAGCCAGCAAATCGTTTTGGGTGGGTCACCGGAGGACTGGTGAGGCGTTCACTAGGAGTCTCCGTTGGAACGGAGGGCTTAACAGATGGCGCAGCAGATGGTTGATCAGTAGGCTTTCCCTCGGTGACGCCAGAAGTTAATTCACGTTCTACCGCTAAACGCTGTGCGGTTGTATCCGGCACAGGAGGAAGGAGACTGGGTTTCGACGTTGCGATAGTATTAAGTTCCGTGGATTTGGCGGCAGCTGGTTTTGGCTGGGATTGGATCTGCTCAGCAGGCTGGTTCCCAGAGTTATAGCTATCTGGCCGGACAGACACTGGTTTGTTCTCGGGAGACACAGATGGTAATGTCTTGATCTTATTTGCAGGCGTTGGTGGTGGGCTCTTCGGTGCTGGCGGAACCTGCTGCGCAGTATTATCAACCCCTATATATCGGGGCTCCTTTGACTCTGATCTGGAGGACGAGACCGTATCTCTACGGTTAGTATTCTGTTCCACATGTTGCAGGGAAATGACTGGTCGCGGCTGCGAATGACGAATGGCGTCAGTATCGCTACGTTGGTCGTCCGGGAGACCGGCTTCAGGTGTGGCCTGTGTTGAGTCGGAGAGCTCGCGGCCACTTTCATTTTCACTACCTGATGGCGGATGGGGTGGTTGACCACTCCCTTCAGCGTCCCCAGTTGGTTCGACTGCTGGAGTCGGTTGAATCTTCCCCTTTCTGCCAATGTTGATTTCGCGTGAGATAAAGGTGCGTAATTCTGAAGTAATTACGCTTGCCTTCCGGCCAATGACTTTGACAGCTCGTGCTTCCTCAACTGGTGGGCTAGTGTAGGTGGCATAATCAGATGGCATAAAAGAAGTCCTGTTATCCGCCATTGAGAGCGCTGCGGATGAAGTTGGTCGCTGTTCGTCCACAGAATCAGTGGGACTTTCTACATCTTCTTGAGTTTCTGATTGAACTCCAGGTTGTACTTTCGGTTGCGCTTCCCGTTGCAACTGATTCGGCGCCGCCTTTTGTGGTTTGTATTCTGGTACCTCAAGTCCGCTCTGCTGTGGCTCGTTTTGCGGTTCTGGTTTCACTCCCTCCCGGTGCTCTTCCAACTCTTGCAATTCCCACTGCGGCTCTTGCAGCTGTTGCACTAGCTTTTGTGGCTCTTGTGGCTCTCGTTTCAACCCCTCCTTAACCACTTCGTTTACCTCTTCAACCTTATCTTTTACCTCATCTTTAATCTCTTCAAAGTCCTTCTTAGCCTCGTCCCTAACCTCCTCCTCTACGTCCTCCTTAGCCTTCTCTTTAACCACCCCTTCCACCTCTTCATGGGCCTCTTCGTTCTTCTCTCTCCACACCACCGCTTCTTCTTGCACATTCACCGGAGGCTCCAAAACCACATCCCCAACCGGCAGCGTCAAATCCCTTTTCAGATCGATATCTCCTCCCCGCTCCGGCTCCGGCTCCGGCTTTTGCTCCTGCTCCTGCTCCTCCTCCTGCTCCTGCTCCTGCTCCTGCTCCTGCTCCTGCTCCTGCTCCTGCTCCTGCTCCTGCTCCTGCTCCTGCTCCTGCTCCTGCTCCTGCTCCTGCTCCTGCTCCTGCTCCTGCTCCTGCTCCTGCTCCTGCTCCTGCTCCTGCTCCTGCTCCTGCTCCTGCTCCTGCTCCTGCTCCTCCTCCTGCAAACTCCTATCCTTAAACCCATTCGGTCCAGAAGTCCCAACCAACCCCGCAGACTCAACATCAACAGGCGACACAACCGGTGACACCAGCGGGACGGGACAGCTATTCCTCTCCGTCTTCAGCGGCAGCTGCCCCAGCGTCGGCGCCGGTGAAAGACCATCACTTTTAGGGCTGCCAGTACCACTGGCCCACATTATCGCAGTTTGCGGCTCAGGAGACAGCGAGGCACCGGATGTCGTCGCCGTCGTCGTTTCATGTTCCTCCCATGTCGTCGTCATATCATTGGAAAACGGCGCGCGATCTAACTTGAGCGATAAAAGGCGAGGTAGTGGCTTGTCAACCGCGGCCGCGGTCTGCTGGTTGTTGGATACGTCACGTTGCTGCTGTGTCTCAAGGCTTGGGGTGGAGCTTGACCTGCGCCGTGCGGTGCCGGGGCGGGAGGAATTTACCTACAGAACGGCGAGAGAAAAGCATAATTAGATTTCTGGGAAGTTTAACGCTTCTCAAGGAGGCATGAAGAGGTGGAGAGGTAGAGACAGAAAAGAAGAGCAAGGTGGAAATGAGGTAAAAAGACGGTTGGTGATAACAGTGTCATATAATGCCCGCGCAGATGTTTCGTTGCGGGGTGTCGGAACTATAGGATCCTCAATACAAATTGATGATAAAAAAAGGCAAATTGGAAGAGGAAAAAAATGGATAATAAAAGAATATACATAGGAAAAGAATAGAAAGAGATATATGCTCAAATTGTACTCGCAGCTGACAAACAGCGAGGGCAGACAAAAAAGGATTTGCCGCACCCCAATTCGAATATGAAATAAGGCATAAATGCAGGGGAAAGAATAAGCCCTATACGGCCCTACCGCCAGATCGATATAAACAAAGAAAATCAAGGAATCCCACCGAACAATGGGAATTTGTTTCAAGTATCTACCTTATCAGTACTCGTGCTGTTCCGGAACTTGCTCCTCCCCTTTGCAAAGAGCCCCTTGGCCGCTCCTCCGGCCTTCCCGCCCAGTACACCGGCGCTATGAAGCAAATCTTTACCCTTGGCCTGCACCTGCTGGGTGTTGATCTTCGTGGAAAATTGGTTGGCGCCGGATGCATGTCGTGTATGCCCGCCGGCTGTCGTCGGCGGCGTTGTTGGAGATCCCTCGTTATGGGACGTTTGGAGCGAAAGGTTACCTAAAGATGTGAGTTTGGGGAACTTATTCCGCGACGCGCTAGGTCTATGCCCAAAGGTGGTTCCTGGTGGGAGGAGGCCGTTGCGCTGAGCCAAGTCCGCATGATCGGGGTTTGAGCTGGTTGTTGCATTTATCCAGGATGACAGGCCTGTGTCCATATCTGCGAATTGTTTTCTGGTACGCTCGAACGTTTTAATCTTCTCGTTGGGCTTGTCTATGGCCATGATTTGGCGGAAGCCGAGTAATCTATGATCCTGTATTGCTGGGAGTTGGGCTGCAGACTGAAGCTCAGCAGGGATGCTAGGAGAACCTCCAGCAGACGCTGGCTGGATAGGTAGATTGTCATGCGGTTGGACGGATGGGGTTTCATATTCTGTGAGATTTTGACTTGGGCTTACTTCAGCCCTAGCTGTTGGGCTTGGGGCAACAGCCGCTTGGCTTGGATCCGTATCCGGGCTCCTCTCAGCCTGTTGTCCATTGAGGTCTCCACTAACTCGTTCCGGACCAGTTGGTGTTCTTTCTCCTACGGATTCTCGTGTAATATCTGGGGCCATGGCTGGATTAATAGTTAGCTGCTGAAGCTCCGGGGGTTCCTGGTTATTGTCTTCAATCGATGACTCTTCCCAAGAAAACCGTTTCTTTAGCGTCATAGCGGGTTCATTCTGGCCTGCAAGACCGGAGTTGTAGTCAGGACCACGGTCGGAGAAAACTGGCGCGGCATGAGACGTTTGCATATCAGGGCTTTGTGGAGGTTGTTGAGGATTCAGGATAGTAGTATGTAAAGTCTCTAGCGGAGGCTTGTCTGATGTAGCTGCCACGATAGAGTTAGAGCCAACCGCCGCCTTATCTTGGGCCTGAAGGGTAATTGAAACATGCGGGCTTAGCGACTGCATAATTTCATCTCTTAGCCGATCATGGACGCCTGGTGATACATTATCGGGGCTAGACGGCGAGACATTTTGTGATGCAGGATGATAATATTGCACCTGTGAAATTCGCTTTTCTCCTCCACCTACATTAAGCGCCGGTGGCATACGAGCGTTCTCGTCCCGCTGGGGTGCGGGAGGAGGTGGATGCGTAGGTTGTTGGAGGGCATGGCGACTAGTTGGTGACGGAGGCCGAGCGCCCTTGGTAGGGGCTGTGGGCGCACTTTCTGGAATTGACGATGGTGTCGCTGCTTGTTTGGGGGTTTCAATGTCCGATGCCGTTAGTGAAGGTGATGCATGAAATTCTCCACCTCGGGTATCGGTCGGCTTGGCTTCAGGCGTGCCAACTATGGAAACTCCCCCCAACTGAGATTTGGCGGGATGGACAGTGCATTGGACAATAGGTTTTTTAGCAGGGCTACTTCCGGAATTGGGAGGGGACAAGCTCCGCCTATGGCCCGGTTTAAAGCCCACAGGCTCTTCATCAATTGTTGGAGTCTGATCACTGGATGATTGGCCCGGCCCAAGTACACCTCCAAAGCTGGAGGACGGATGGGATTGGATTATTGGGCTGATCATAGAGGTACTGGCACTATCTGACCTGGGGATGCTACTGGTTGTTGTACTTGGGGTTTCTGGGGGTTCATCGAACGCCTGATGGACAACAGAGCGGAAACCAAGAGATGGGTTATGGTGTAATTCTGTGCCTTCAGATAGCTGTTGTTGTTCTTGCTTCTCCTCAATCGGTTGGTGACTATCCCGGCCTTGTGAAGTAGACGCACCTCCTATAGACTCATCCGCAGGTCCGGCAACAGGCTTTTCGACAGGGAGGGTTGGGGAAGCCGGTTTCCTTTGCTCTGATAATTGAGGTCGGTTCTTTGGCGAATGTAATGGTAACCTGCCGCTGTCAGGGTTTTGCTGCACCTGGGGACTTTCTGCAGGTACAGGTAATTTTGAAGCACTGTCTGCGGGAACTGCAACCTGTGCAGCGTTTGATGCGTCAACTGGTGTACCAGAAGTACTGCCTTGATCTTCTTCCTTCTTATTCTGCTTTTGTCTCTCCTCTTCCATGCGTTTATATATATCAGCGGGGCGAATGAACAGCAGAGGTTTCGATGAGTCACTGTGATCCGCACGTCGTTGCGCAGGGACATTTGCTTGGATATTTTGTTTGTTTTCTTGGGTATCGAGTGGGGATGCGGGTTCTGCTTCATCGGGGACAGTAGCTAAAGGGGCAACAGGTTCCTCATCTGCATATTCATCGCTATCACCCCATTCGTCACCATCGTACGAATAAGACTTTGCATTTACCCAGCGCTTAGTTTTCTGGCGGTTGACATTTGTCTTGAAGGACGGAGGTTGTCCTGCTAGTAATTGTCTATCGCCTCTGCCATTAGTCCATTCCAATCATTAGTTTACCTATCCTCTAGTAACATTTATAGAATAAGGAAGAGAATTAAGAGAGAAATTGTAGTTTACCTCCCACCAGCCACATCTGTAGGCGAGTACCCTGACATGATGGGTGAAATCCAGATCAAGGTGAGCTCGAGTCAAAAACCAGCGAAATCAACCTCAAGGGCCAGCCTTCCCGTGAAGATCTACTTTCAGAGGGCAACTCTATAAGCGCATAAGGCGTTCAGCGATGGAAATAGTTTCTGCTTGTCAATAAAAGGGGCTAATGGTTGATGCGAAAATAGTAACGACTGCGCAGTAAGCAGGATGCCACAGGCTGATATCAAGGGCGTGTAGTAGGGATGGCGCAAGGTAATCACGTTGGATGATGCATTGGACGACACAGCAGTCGCAAGCTTGCGTTGAAACAAAATGAAACGGAGGTCGTTGGCAATGGAAGGACAAAAAAAGGGCAAGCAAAGAAGATGACAAGGAAGAACAAGAGAAGGAGAAACGAAGAGCAGAGAAGAGACGCACAGGGTGTGCTGGTGGCCACAGACAACACAGAGCAGCAGCAGCGGTTGTCCAAGGATTCAGGAAGTCTCCGCAGACAGGAGATTATTGTTGCTGCCGCGGAGGATGATTCAGCCTCTAGGGCTGTCACGTTATATCCTGGTTGGGTATGGCCAGCGTACGATACCGTTACGTTACTAAGCCCAACAGAGCCAACTAACGGCAGATCATGGATGGGGATTGGCTAGGGATTGGCTGTGGGGAGGAGGATGACATGATTGACATCCAACACTAGGCTATTTTTAGCTCCACTCCATGCCGCATCCTTGGGCCCAATCCCTGGTTGATCCTTCGGCTGACCAGGGACTGTAACAACTAAGGGCGCCCAAACGCGGGCTGGAGGCTGGAAGTGGGAACCAGTTAGGAAACAGCGGCGGGTGGGGGCACGGCACGGGCACAATTTTACCAACTGTCGGGATAAAGCGATAACATTTTACAGCGCTTGTAAAATATCCACGTGATGTTTCGGCTCCGGTAAAATTATTCCCCCGATAAGCCCCGTGACCCGCGCTGGTCTTGCCAGATTGATGAGCCGCATCAATGGAATATGGATCTTATCCAACGAATGTCTATCCATCCTTCTCCTGATCTTCCCACTCTAATCACACTGATATCCTGCGGAATTGAATTACTCGAAAAGTAAACACATACACTTCTGTCGTGTCAGCCTATCAGACTTCTGCGAATAATATTGGCATCAGCCTGTGCAATCAACCTACGTTATATGTTAACTCCGGACGTAACCCCTATCCAACAGCTCTCCCCTCCACGATAACTCCACTTCGTCTTCCGTACCACTACCGATACCCTTGACATGAGGGTCGTGTGTTCGTCCCTTCACATTCCACAAAGCTAGATAGTCCGACTCCCTTACCAACCAGACTCCCCTTTTCCGTATCATCGAAATCTTCGGCCATGGCAGTTGCGACATCTGTCCAGGACCGAACTCCTGAGTTCCAATCCATTCTTACTCAGGCTCGGAAACGCCTTGCTTCCTCAAAAACCGGTTCCCAACGCCAATATTTTCTATCAGATGCCCAACGGAGAGATTTACAACCATCCCCTGCTAATGGAACAGCCGCGGGGGCCAAGAAAGCGGCCAGATCGGAATTTGCGAGGCGGGCTGCTGAGATTGGGAGAGGGATCTCGGGGACAATGGTGAAATTGCAGAGGCTGGCCATGTGTGAGTTTATTTTGTGGGAAATTGTGTTTGAAATTTGATATCTGGGGTATAGGTAGGATAAGTTTTGGCTGACTTGAGATCTCGAATTAGTGGCTAAGCGCAAAACCCTCTTTGATGACCGACCTGTTGAAATTTCAGAGCTCACATATGTCATCAAGCAAGATCTTGCTTCCCTCAACTCCCAAATCGCGTCTCTACAAGCTCTCACACTCGCCCAACACCCGAAATCATCACGGAGTAAAACAGACCAGGAAGGCGAACATAACGATAATGTAGGCCCATTCCAGTTTTCAAACTACGGCATAGCTACTAATTTGCATATCAAAGGTCGTGGTAATGCTCCAAGGCAAACTTGCCGACGTCGGCGCAAACTTCAAAGAAGTCCTCGAAGTCCGCACCCAAAACATCCGCGCCTCCCGCTCCCGAACAGAAAATTTCGTTTCCTCCGTCTCTTCCAAGTCACAAACAGCCCTCGAACCTCAACGTTCCGATTCCCCTCTCTATCAACCCCCCCGAAGCCGAAGTCCAGCACCACCGGGGTTTCAAGTACCTAATTCGTCCGACCTCCTAAGCCTCGAACCATCCTCCTCAGCAAGCCCCTTCTCCCTGGGGCGCGGCGGTGGATCCCAATCCGATCAGCAACTTCTAATGATGGAAGAAGCTCAGTCATCCAACTCTTATATCCAAGCACGCGGGGAAGCCATCGAAGCCATCGAGCGTACAATAAACGAGCTCGGTGGCATCTTTGGCCAGTTGGCGTCGATGGTCAGCGAGCAGTCTGAAATGATCCAGCGCATCGATGCGAATACAGAGGATGTGGTTGATAATGTGCAAGGCGCACATAGAGAGCTGTTAAAGTACTGGTCTCGAGTTTCGGGGAATCGGTGGTTGGTTGCTAAGATGTTTGGCGTTTTAATGGTATTTATCTCCAACCCCCCACCTCTTCCCCACTTTTTTTTTTTGCTCCCTGTACTGTTTTGAGGGCTCTATAACTGCTCAACCATGAGCAGTACCGGTGTTTGTTGGGTCATATATTCTGACTTTTGACTACAGATATTCTTCCTCTTATGGGTTCTGATATCGGGCTAGCAAGCAAGGGTCTAGCGTGCCCTGTATTTTATTAGATTCCATTCGCTTGCCATGAGGCGCGCCGCGTCGCGGCATGGTGTAATCCTTCCATGTATCACCCTCTGCCTGTTTTTTTTTTTTTTTTTTTTTTTTTTTTTGTCCAGTGTACCTTTTGGGCGTCAAGGTTTTCAGATTTCATTTATCTTCACATACGGCCAGCTGGTCCTTTTCTTTCTGTCTTGTAGCATTTTATTTGGGTATACACATTTTTGGCTTCGATGGCTATCCATTCCTCCCGCTTAACTTGTTTCCTCCATTCCACAATCTTTGGTACTTGTCCTTTCTCTCCTTTTTTCCTTTCACACCAGCCACCCTTCAGAAGATCAAAATTCTTATTCTATTTTTTCTCTTTTCATTTTATATTTTATATTTTGCTCTTCGATCAATCTTCCCATATATTTTAAAATCTAATCTCAGCCCCCTTCTTGTATGCAACAACTTCTCTTTAGAGACGCGTTAGAGTAGATTTCATGAGATCAATCAGATGGCTTTTAGGTTCTCGTTCATTTGCTATCTTGATTTACTCTGTATGGGAGGTGTAGATATGCCCCTTCCAAACCCACACACACTTAGTTGCCTGATGGAAAAGCCTCTTATTCTAGTGAGGGTCTCTCAGCATGAAACAATGTACAAAATCCCCAGGCCCAATTCTCCCCTTGAAATTCAAAAGCATATATACAGCAATATCACTAATGCCTTTTTGTGTTACAGCATTCCCCCCCCCCCACCCACCCAAACACACAACTTGCTGTCTAATGTACTGATCTGACCATCCATCCTCTAGTACCAAAACAGATAATCAGTAAGGTACCCGGTCGCCAGCGCAAAGACGGTCTTATGTAGGATATCGATCACCTGCTCATTGACAGGCCAAGTCCTAACCCCCACGCAAGACAAAATTAATGAGTTCCACGAATTAAACCAGGGCGTCGAGCAAACAAATATCCAGAACCACTAATCACCAGCGGCAAGCATATACCATTTCCGCACCACGAATCACGAACTAAAGAAAGGTTGAAAAAAAAAAAAAAAAAGAAGAAGCAAAATGGAATCACATACCACGGCAACGCCTCCGTCCCATCCAATTCTCCAACGTCTGATCAATCATCAACCGCACCCCAATAAACATGAAATCCGCAACGGCCCCTGGATGCCATTTACCCTCATAAGCGCGCGGATAACGCCCGCCACCGCCCCCTGGCCGTAGTTACATGGACATGTTTAGCGGGAACATCTCACTCTCGGGCCGGGGGGACATGCCGAAGAGGCGCTGCATGGTGTATCCCGGCACGAGCGAGTTGGGGCGGCCGGTGAAGAATTGTACGAGCTTTTCCGAGATGGTCATGCTGGTTGGTGCTGGGAAGGAGGGGTGCGTGTCAGTTTCCTTTTTTATTGCTTTATTTTATTCATTTATTTATAGAGGGTTCGGGGGTAGGGCAAGGGGCTGGAATTGAGTAAGGAAAACGTACGCTGCTACGCCCATGATTCCCGCACCTATGCCGTAGAAGAATATATTGCTACATGGTACATGTACATTGGGCTTGGGCCGGTCGGGAATTGTTGTTCGTCGAGTCGAGGACATGGTTTGTGCTTGGATTAATTTTTTCGCAGTTGGAGGACACGTTTCGGATGGTTGAAAAATAGTAAAAAGAAATATAGTCAGTAGCGAGTAATCTAGGCGAGCTTAGGGTAGGCATACATGAATTTCCTCTGGTAGTTGACAGCACTCATAATTAAGCAGGATCATGTCCCAAATGTTCATCATGATTGTCAAGAGGCCGAGAAGTTTGTTCCCACAGTTAACTTTGAGCGGAATCATACCTACAGAATTTCTTCAGGAACTGGGAACAAAGGGCCTGGACTCAGCTTTGCCTTAAGAATACCACACAGAGTTATAGATACCAAGAATGCCCCATTGTTGTTTTAATAAGGTGCACATTTGACGGGTTTCGTTCAAAAGCTACGGTCCGTCAAGCTTTGTTGAGTAGCCAGAAACCAAGGAACAGGCGGGGGATAGTCGTATGGCGTATCGTTATACCATTGCTCCAACTGCAATCAAACTTATTGACCAGCACGACCAGAATGAGAAAATCCAACGGTACCTAGGTAGGATTTGAACATGACCTCCCATCAGCTATACGCGAGACCATACACCAAAATATATCGTTGTTATGCAGGTGTGGACCACACCTTAATTTGGCGACCAGGCTTCGGAGCGGGTTTTGGCTCATACTTCCAAGCCCAAGGGGAGGTAATTGCTGTCAACGGACCCGAGTCAACGGACCAGATGGCAATTTGAGCAGTGCCAGCTCCTGTCACCATTCAAACATAGCCTTGCCCAGGGCCGCGACGGCCAGTCACAAACGCAATATCCAGGAAAGACAGCAGGAGAGAATGCCACAAGGAATGCAAACCATACTTCTAGGCACGCCTTAGCTTTGTCTGGGGCAGTGTACACCAAACTGTGTTTTTCCACAAGGTTCGCAAACACGAAAAGTGAAGGAATGACTTAGGAAAGAATTGGCGATGCGCCATCCAACGAATTGAATGTGACCAATACCGTGAAAAATACTCAAAGTATCCCGCCTGCGCTCTTCCCAGCGAAGGATGGATGCATCTACTCCCCCTGTGGTTCAATGTATCCGGTGCCGGAAAGATATTCCTTAAAAATCAGGCCTAAAACCCCGGTCCAGTAGAACACACTCTATTTGGTCCTGATGGTGAATGTGGTGATGCTGGAGAATCCATGCAGAACAAGAGGATTCATTTGTCCCGTTTCTCAAGAGGAACGATGAACGATGAACTTTTGAAGTTATCCCAGTGAGCCTGGGAAAGCATATTTAGAACCGCTGCCCGTGGCTGTGTGAAGTCCAACCACAGATCAAGCTTGTGTGTGTTGCTCTGAGAGTTGGTTGTTAGGTAAGTTACAGGCTGACCTGACAGAGAAATAATCTCTCCCCTGTCTTTGGCCACGACTCATCTCCATGGATAATCAGATCTTGTTACAACGGTAGCGTCGTGTGAGGGCTATCGCATCGTGTGGAGAAGTGTTTCTGAGTCGTGCCTTTCTTTGCCTGTACAACAGAGTTGCTAGCCTCGGTTTATGGTTTGAGCGCGTTTATCTCGTATTTCGTATCGCGTAAGTTACGAAATAGTCTTTCTTGGCTGATGGATAACTTACACCAAGAAGATCCTGAGAATATGGCCGGGGTGCCATTGGGGAATGCGGGCTCATATCATGGATGGGATGGGATGGGTCTCTTTGATATCGGCCACTTTGTCGGACTGTCAGCCTGGCAAGGAGTCCCGCCGCCGCTCGTATTACTATTATTGGCTGCTTGACCACTCGCGAGTGAGGCGTAACTAAACGAAATTCTACCGAATGCGGCTAGTGCATTCCGACCTGCCGATGTTGATATATGGGATCGATCTATACAGAGTACGATCGACGAGCTTCAATTGCGCTTCAGAATAGGAGTATATAATATTTTGAAAAAGCAGCTATGGCGCACACTTTCTTCTGGATTAATACTCTGTGTCCAGAGCATCTATTTCGTGTCCTTACTGTGCAGGCCATACTGTCAGTCATCTTAATGCTTAGACCAACCTTGCTTCTTGTTCCAGTGTTTACTTCCATTTCTCATCATTTAATTTTTGGATAATCGAAGGATTTTATTTATTTATTTCCTTTTTGCGATGGGCGGACCTGGCACTGGTACGTCTCAGTTTCCCTTGACAGACAATGAAAACACTATTAGCTTCCTCAAGCTAAATACAGGCTTCCTACCACAGAGGGTTTTAGTTTCTTCCAGTACAAGCCAGTAAAGGGAGCCTCCGCAGTTTTTGCGGTTCTTTGGCTTGTTTCGGGCGTTCTGCATCTATGGCAAAATAACTTGTATGAGATAACCTCTTTTTCTGTCTCCTCTCCATACTCAGGATCGCATATCTGATGCCCTTCTTGCAGGAGATATAAAACGTGGCGGATGGGCATGCTGCTTCCATGGGTCTCGCTGATCTTCGTAGTCGGCTATATCCTCCGTGAAATTGCAGCTCACGGCCTCTACGGAGATCTTAATCTTTTCATTGCGACGTCGTGTTTCCTATTTTGTGCCCCGTAAGCCATCCCCCCTTCCACCGCAATGTCACCCTGGATGGTTTCATGGGCAGACACTATTCAAGCGCTGTTCTGACTAGTTCCTACAGCCCTATATTCCTCGCCATAAACTCTATCATCTTCGGTCGTGTACTGTATTATGTCCCCTGGCTATCGCCAATGCATCCAGGGCGCGTGATATCGACTTTTCTCGGGTGCGATGTTATCATCGAAGCCCTGGCCTCTTCTGGAGCATCTATAGGGTCAAATCTCAGTCACCCGCCAGGGACGCTAAAGGTGGGCGCCATCCTAATCAAGATTTCGATTCTCGCACAAATCCCGATCTTCGCCCTTTTTGGCGTTCTCGTCGCCCATTTCCACCGCCGCTTACACAAAGCTGGTATCCACGAACCAAGAATCCGAAAAGTGCTGGTAACCCTCTACTTGTCGTGCGTGCTGTTGACGATTCGGAATGTATTTCGTGCTATAGACACATTTGAAGGGTGGGGATCTGCTATGGGCCGCACCGAGGCATATTTCTGGTGCCTCGATGCAATACCCATACTCATCAATGGTGTTTTGATGAATATATTCCCGCCTGCCAGCTGCCTTCCCCGGTCCAATGTGATTTATCTAGCGCAGGATGGGAAAACAGAGCGCATTGGCCCAGGCTGGGTCGATGATAGACATTTTCTCCTAACTGTTTTTGACCCTTTTGATTTTGCTGGAATGGCCAAGGGGAAAGACAAGAAGACTGCCTTTTGGGAAGAAGACGCGGTCTCGTTGCATGATCACTCTGATACACACCGTCTCGCGGTTTGAAAACTTTGCAATTCCGAGCGCGTATATTATCGCTTCATTAAACCAGCTAGAACTTCTCTCTTCTTCTTCCCTTTCTTCTTCTTCTTCTCTCTCTCTCTCTCTCTCTCTCTCTCTCTCTCTCTCTCTTTTTTTTTCTTTTTTTCTTTTTTTTTTTTTTTTCCTTCGCAATAATTCATTTATTTCTGCTCTCGCTTTGTCCTTATATTGGGAATATTTCTAATTTACTCCTTCACCCGTTGGCCAAGTCATGATCATCTGTAGAGATCTATCATGACCATTTATCGCTTCGTTGCACTTCTATTCAACTATGCAATGGTCAATACAATTTTTCTTTCCAAGGTTTTACTTCATTCACAGCAAGGGATAGCCATTACCCTTATTCTTAAATAGCAAATCACATTTGGTTAGAAAGTAGGATGAAGAAGATAGACACTCCAAAGGGAACTAATAAACCCAAAAAAATCCTAATATTTATCTCCTAACTAAGAAGTGCGGGGGAAATAAAAGAGAAGAGAGGGGGGGGGGGAAACAAAGCATAGATTAGATGAGTAAGAAAGGTTGCTAACAAAGAAATTATAAAAAATAGGGGAAGAAGACAGGAAGAAAAACAAATAGTAGAGACGAGTAAGAAAAAAAAGGAGATAAGTGATGCTAACGGATAGGACTCTAAAGATTGGGATCTGAAGGATTGATTCTAAGAAAGAAAATATTTTCCTCTAAGGCAGCGGACCGTACTCGAAGGTCACGCGGAGATCATATCGTGGTTGGGGACGATCTCGGTAGACAGCAATGTCAACAGCAGTTACGCCCAAGCAATTAGTCCAGCGCAGCTCATGGTATATAAATTCCATGATCGGTATCATAACTTCGGTTCCAAGCAGGGTATAGAATATAGTATCCTCCTCGATCTGTCTTTCATGGTTCCCTGACGGGTAGTTTGGTACAAACTTGAATATGCTCACGTCCAAGGGGCCATAAATGTGAGATATCCATTGAATTGCGTCCTCAATAACCTGTCGGCTCGTAAATTCTTCAAGAGGAATATTTGTAATAACCATGTAGCGAACTTGACTGAGATGGCAGCTCAGATCGTCGTGATTTCGCCTAGCTAAGGAGTATATGCGCCTAAGGTGGATTGCCCTTCGAGCGGGCGAATATTTTCCGGTGCGAGGAAGCGTGCTAGTGTTCAAAATCCAGATGGTGTCCTCAACGCTGAAAAAGCTCCCACGCAAGATGCCGGGATAGTTTGTCGGAGTGATTTCATATTGATTATGGTAAATCCCTGGTTCCTCTCCGCATGACCAAAAACTGGATGATGTTCGTTCATCATTCTCCGGTTGGCCTCGCGGCTCGACAAGGAAATAAAGAAATTCATCCGCGCCTCTGTGAAGCCCTACTCTCCGTGAGCCTAATCTTCTTTTTTCGTCTGACAGTTTTTTGACTAGGGCAATGCCTAATTTCCACGCTTGGAAATGATTCTGCACGAAGGAATACATCCAGTGATTTACAGCTGGATCGAATGGGTTGTCTGGATTTGGCAGCGCCTGTGGAGGGTGTTGATTGGGCGGAACAGACATCATACTTTCTGGTTACTGTGATGCTGTGAGTTTCGGGCGTTGTTGCAATGCAAGCAGAATTGTCAAAATGATTGAGACGTGATGAGGATCATGACCAGACAGACAAGCAGGTTTGAGGGCAGGGCAATGGGTATATATATACACTTTCTATATATTACCAAAAACCCATTACAGGAACTTGCTGTTAGTTTCTTAGTTGGTATTGTTGTCCTTCCTTTACTGCAGAGGCTCGCTAATGGGAATCGCCCGCTTTCTTCATGCTCATTTTTCTCTTTGCAACTTCTGATGAAAGTGCTGTGGTGGTCTGAGCCGAGCCGGAAAGATCATTCTCATCTCATTTCTCTTGTGGAATAGGAAACAGGCTGGAAAAAGGCTCGAAAAGGTGGCAACAATTGCATGGGCCAATACTAAGATATGTTGACGCAGTGGGGAGAGGTTGAGAATGGTGAATGGCCATTAAACTGAGATGAAAACAATAAAAAAAATTTGCGAAGGGTATTTCCTGAGGCTGGAGTTGATGCAGCTTTCTTGCATATTTTGATGTGGGCGCTTCTTGATTAAACTCCTTCCGCGGCTTTTATCTGGGACACTCCATTGAAGAAAAATGCCCAAGGGCAACACCCAGTCGGTGTTCCCAACAGTAACTCTGGGGCGGTTATTCTCGATAACTTGTAGAAGAATGTGCGGTACATATCAAGATCCCGCGATAGCTCGCTAGGCAATTAAGCGGGGAGGTCTTTGTAGGACAAGTTGCAATTAACAATTGTGATATTTCACAATTTAACAAGATCAATAAATACCATGAATTTAAGATAACAACACAGCCAAAGACTCTGGTGTGTGTATTTCTGGGATATTCATTTATTTTGCTGTAGTCAAAGTACACGCTAGGACTCAGAATGAACATAATTCAATCTGAATACATCATGAAGAACCTGCAGGTGAAATATTGAATGAATACTTCGTTACTGTGGGGCCTGAGTTCTGCAGTTGCAGAATCATCGCTCGAATATGAAATATTTGACATTATTATTGCGGTCTGTTGAGGAGACCAATAGATCTTCATTGCTTGGAAGCAGGACGCAGGCGACGGGGGAGGAGGTATGTACGTATGTAGGAGGTGAAGTCAATGTAGACAGCGGAAATTTCCAGGGCCCGACCGAGGTCGAGGCCGAGACATGAGATACCCCTGAATATTTTCAATGGGTAAGGCTGTTCATTCGTTTCTTTTTCTAATCAAATTTTACGCAACGAACCCTGAATTGCCGTAAATCTGTCAACCCAGTCCAACCACTTTTAGAGTAACTTATGGGTTGCGTGGGAGGGGGGGGTCGCGTTTGGACGGGCCCAAGCATGCTCTAACTTAAGTTATATAACTTATATAACCCGGCTGAAAGTGCTAGTTAAATGCAAACAAGTGAGATTAGCAAAGGTCTTGGGATTGATGTGGTACATGTACACAGACCTACTTGTAGGTAGTCTGTAGTCAGTACCTGGCGTACGGAGTAGACATTCCAAGGTTGTGCAAAACTGACCGGCTTCTGTCGCTGTTACAGTCAAACCTTAATAAACCACTGACTCCAGTGGCATTTACTATGTAGTTAGTCTCCCTACAGAACATTGCAAAATGGCCTGACATAAGACATCGTCCAGGGTAAATTAGGGAGAGAGGGTATTCTTAGAGGACTTAAGATAGAGGTCAGGAAGTACCCAAGGCGGTGGCGAGTATTAGTATTATCGGTCTCCGCTGCCCTGCAACTTCTATTAGTGATAATTCTTTGTTTCACAATGGAGTTTCCGATGGAGCCTGCAAGAAGAGCCAGTACTTCCCGCGCGATTTGAAAAGTTCGTTCTAATAGGATTTCGTGGTAGCGGCTTGGAACACATACTTTCGCGCAATTATTTTAGATTGAGTTGATTCAACAGATGTAACTATATCAGAGCAATTTATACGGACACGGCCCCCCTTTTTGATAGGGATGAATATAACTAATGTTTTAGATAAGAGAAGGGGGACTTACCACTGATGTTTATGCATGATACCAGCAAGCCGTCCGTCGATAATACTGTGTGCATCGACTACATAGTATCAACATGACAATAATGACAAGACTTGGGCATGAGTACTATAATCATTAGCCTATTAATGAGCGCAACAAGCTGTAGCTAATAATAATGAATTTAGGGCCTGTTCAGTGTGTTTGTACAGTACATTTTGTACATAGTGAGTGGATGCCACTATTTTGATCAGATCTTGAATAGGCAATGACAAGCTATTCTTTATTTCTCATTTAAGTTAGAGAGCTTCACTTTTCACTCTAATGGACACTAAAAATACTACATAGAAAAAGTCAAATCTTGATTATTTTATTCATTTTCAAAAATATCATCTGTATTTTTGCTTGTATGGATCAAAACAAGTGTATTTTTTGACTTGAAATCTGTGACTGTGTATGTAATATCTCTCTCACATCGGTGGCGAGGCGTGATAATTCCATACTCCAGAATCCATTAGTAGTAATACTGCTCACAGAGATTTGACGCTCTGCAAGTAAACAAAGAAACGGTGAGGAAGAGGATGGCAGAAGGCGCAGAAAGTTCGATCCAACCCTGTACCCCTTATCTTTAAGCAATTCCCCTGACGCCCGTCAGTGTGCTTTGTGTGTTTTTTTTTTTTTTTCTTTTTTTGCCCGAAGGTCCTGGAAAATATGTAATTTACACTTGCGGGGGAAAATTACAATATACGTACCGTACCGTACCATCCCTGAAATGACTCGAGGTTGGTTCGCCAGGTTGTGCCGTTGCCAAGGCACTACTAGCCCCGGGCATGCGTCTGTCATACCGCTGCGTACTTCCACCATAAGTTCTACACCCAATCCACGTCTGTCTCCTCAACTCCTCGCTTGGCTCGCGATCTCGCAACCTCACCTCAAACTTCCATCTCAACCCCCCCTCTCCCCCCCGCGCTGCCCCCATTATTCATTCTGTTTCTTCTCCTTTCCTGTCGTTGGCTAGGGCCTGCTCTCGTTTCTTTGGTCGGGAAGATTGGCCTGCTCTCGCCATTGATCGGATCTTGTTTTGTTTGGACCAGCGCCTGGAACACGGTTCCCGTCCGATGTTATGCCTATCTTATCTATCGTAACTGCGGCACTCAGGCCTCTGCTTTTGGCTAATTGACATTTATACCAGTCGCTATATCAATCAATTCTGCTTCCATCTCTCCGTTGTTGTCCTTCCCCCAATGCTCAATGGTTCAGATATCTGTTTCCTGTCCACCTTGTATTGATCGTTGGTCGTTGCACTCCGTTGCGCAATTGGTACAGGCCAAAGAAAGCCTCTCTCCCCCGCTTGTCGCGAACCAGCCGCTTGTGAAGCGCGACCGGAGTAGGCGACATCATGTTACTGCGGCCAGCAACACCGCTCTCGGTTCTCCTCCTCACAGCCTTTATTCTATTACTGCTCTCTGTTTTGTCGACGCCAGTTATCAAGTCGATACCCCTTGCTAGTGTTGACGATATCAAGTTTGGCATTTTTGGGTATTGTGTAGGCAATGATTGCACGCCTATCCGTGTGGGGTATACTTCGAGTGAGTGTTCGACGCTTTTTTCTTCCTTTTTACCTTGAGTCGTTCAACAACGACCCACGGTTCCTAATCCTCGAACATAATCCTGATCCATTATTTGTTTTGCAGATGGCGATGCGTCCCGAGATGGGGATTTTAGCCTTCCCTCAAGCGTCCGCCATTCGCTATCCTCTCTTTTAATCGTCCATCCAGTTGCAGCAATCCTCACCCTTACCTGTTTCGGCTTGGCAGCTGCGGCTCATTTCCATTCCCCATCTCATTCGCCCCGATATCTCCTTGGTCTTCTCATCCTTCTCCTACCGACTCTTCTCGTATCGCTCCTTGCATTCCTTGTTGATATCCTTCTCTTCGTGCCTCATTTAGAATGGGGCGGGTGGGTTGTACTTGCAGCAACTATACTGATTACTGCGAGCGGGGTCCTCACTTGTGCTATGCGACGGACGCTTGTAAGCCGAAAAGCTCAGAAAAAAAGAATTGCAGAAAATGCGGAAATGAGCGGGGAGAACTTCTATAATCGTCAAAATGTTATAAAATTGGATCCCCCGCCGGTTATACCGAACCAGAACGAGGTTTCCATGGACAGCACGTCTTCGCCGGACTCTCTTCCAGCGTTTGCACGCTTTGAAGCCAATTCGAGGACGCCTGATGATGATAGGCGGCCTCTGAATTCTGGCACCCCAACCAGCACGAGCCCCGATGGCGGAAACAACATTCGCCTCCCAGGTGATAGACGTAGTCCCCCGGCTCATGACGGCAGGCCCTACAATTCTCCGGTGGATGAGTACGGCAATCCGCTTCCACCAGGTGCTACCGGTTTTGGACCACCCCAGATGCGGGGGCCGCGATCAGATCCCAGATTACGGAATCAGTATTCGAATAGTAGTATGGGATCCCAGCGCGGCCGTGGACATGCCTATGGGCCGCCTCGTGGGAGGGGTGGATACCCTATAAGAAGCCGAGGAGGTTCATATCGTGACCCAAGAGGGCCGCCTCCCCATGGTTACGGGATGCACGGCGGAGGAGGTCCAATGGGCCGGGGAACGATGCGTGGAGGTCGAGGACCACCTCCAGGTTACCCTCCGGAGGTGTTAGGTGCATATGCCCCGTACGGGGCGAGTCCTCCTAATCCAGATGGGTACGGAAACCCAGGTAGTCACGCAGACTATGGATATGATGGTGCGCGAGGCCCATCTCCAGTTGGGCCTGGATATACTTCTGGTCAAGATTTTGAGATGCAACCCGGGTTGGGTGCGAGCTCGGTAGCAGATCACGGACGAGACCCTCACATTCCAATGGATAATACCGTCGCTAGGGGGATCGTTGGTCCTCACCCAGAGGAACAAGTTAATCAACATGATCGAAGTCCAAACAGCCCGTACAATGAACAAGTGTGAGTCTGCTAGCCCTATTATAATTTCATCATCACAATTTGGCAGCTAACTTTGTAGTTACAGCGAATATATTCCACCCAGAGCGGCATGGGAGGAACATTTACGGGAACCCACCCTTCCGGTGATCGCACGCCAATCTCCTAGCCCAAATGGCCAAGCATACGAGTCAAGGAGTCTGGAACGTCTCGCTGGAGACACCACGCAACCACCAATCGCGCGTTCCACTTCACGGGGCGATTATTACGAAGATGTTGAACCCCGTTTCTCAGAACCCGGTGATGTGCCTGCTGCACTAACACCCGGCGCTCTAGGTGAGCTACAGCCGAGAACATCCTTTGAAGATCTTCCCGAGGGCGCTCACTCACCCGCTGCCAGCGAAACCAGCCATTTCACCTCCGTATCCCAACGCGGCGTAAACCCTAAGTGGCGGTCTCCAGAAGCCGAAATTAGACGTGACAAGCAAAGGCGACAAGATATGCTACTGGGTAATAATCCAGATTTCGAACTTCCGGCGGTGAGAGGTCGTAGTGGGGGTCCAGGTAGTAGGAGAACACCAGCGGCGCCAGCTATGCCATCCATCCCGGCTACACCGCCACTACTGAACAATGGTCCTAATGATGGCGGTGGTAGATATCCTACACCTACACCTCAGTGAAGCTCTATTCCACTAAACAATTTCGACATTAGCCCTGGATATTTGTCTGGCATATATATTGCGTTTGGGGCAACCGAATTATTGAACTTCTTGTGCTTGATCATATAGCTCCCCTCCGCTATATCGCACAACGAGCTCTGTTGGGGTAAAACGTCATGCAGCAGTTCGATTTTCCTTTGAGTGTTGGAATTATACTGACGCCAATTGATGATTTTTGGTTGCTGCTGTGTAAAATAACCATGGGATGCGCCTCATACCTGAATGAAATACCCCTGACATAGCAAGGTTCTTCTTTGTATCACCTCGCACACACTTTAACTATCCACCTGCAATTTCCCATTGAGCAGCTGCACTACGCTTCTTGCTGATTCTTTACATCCTGGACATTGGTTTTCAACCTTGCCTTTTTGTTGTACTGTATACTGTATATTTTGATCTGCTTTGTTGTTTTATGTCTTACTACTTGAATACCAGTTTCCGCTGCATTCTTCTGTACCATCTTCGTTTTATTCCCATTCTCTTCTCTTTCACAGCCGTTTCAGTTACCCTTCCCTCATCTATGCTGACACCATAGTATATTCCAGCGGAAGCTGGGGCGCCGCAATGTTTTCCTCCTTTTCCTCTTCCATGTTCATATATTTATTCTCGTACCTTTCTTTCCTTTTTTCCCCCTTCCTTCTTGTCTGTTATCCACCCACCACCTCCCTACTTTGGGGAATTGAATTGGCGCACTGGTTTAGCCATATGGATTGATGATTTTTCATGCTTTGTTTTTGGGACTGTAATTTTTTCTGATTTGTCTTGTCTACATACTCGTCTTGATGGAACACTTTGTTCTTATTTTCAATGTCTCTTGAGCAAATTAGGATGGGATGGACAGACTAATGCAGGTTCAATCATTTTTTTCTTGTTTTTTTGTTGGGTTCTTCTGATTATTCCTTTTGGTTTTTGATCCTTTCTTGTGATTTTTCCCCCACCTTTGTCCATTCTCCTTGAACTATCTACTCCCAGTGAAATGGCCATGTGATTCTCACTTTAACTTTAACATGATTGTTAGAGAGAGATCCTTCTTTCTTTTCAGTCATGATACTTTCATTGTCTAATCTTGAATATCTTCAACTCTCTGCATGTAAAGAAGACTGGGGGAAAAGCTTCATGCTGTTTAATAGAAAGCTTTTTAATTCTCTCTTCATGAACTTTAATCAGATTTATATGTAGTTTGCCAGTTTCTCTCAGCTCTACTGATTTTTTTCTTTCACCTATTTCATCATACGTTTTCTCAATTTACACCCACCCGGTAATTATAGTGGTCGGTCTCCAATCTGTTAACAATTTTTTTTTTCTTCTGATGGTTGTACAGAGTACAGAGTACTACGGAGTAGACCTTAGTAAGCTTGAAGCTAACTATGGCTAATTGGGGCCAGAGCTATGTATGGACTTACTCCGTACAGATCTGCCCTGTTGCAGCAGTGTAGTAGTTAATAATCGAAAACTTGTTTATTCTCATTCCCATTCCTTTGTGTACTTTGTGTGTTAATCATCATATTCCTTTTTTTTTTTTTTTTTTTTTTTTTTTTTTTTTTGAATGTTTGGTTGTCTCATGGAAACTGGTTCTATCGTTTTCCTGGAAAAAGTTTCAAACCCGGCGTTTGCCAAATGGTCTGATTTTGAGGCCTCCAGAAACCACCATCATATCTATCCATCGACTGTTAAACTTATAAAAGTAGGCGCGGAGAAGTCCATTCTGCAATTATGAAGCTCCAAAACACAGAGGACAAAATTCAACTGCCTCTTCAGAAGCGGAAATCAAAAAAATCCAAGGCGCACAAGAAGAAAAATACCCCCAACCTCGGAAGGATGGTCGCCATTGCGGACTTGACAAGCCACCTGGCTTTAATTGAGGACGACGACAATTTGGGAGCCAACAACAACGGCGAAGAAAATGTCGCGCGCCTAGAAGAGATCCGCACAACACCTCTCTTTTCTTCTGGCGTTCAGATGGCCATGCAAATTCAGGCGCAGCAGGACGCGTTGCCCCAGTATGCCTTGATGGGCATGCGGACAGAGACATACGGCAGATCCGAAGGGGAAGCCACCTCAGAAACCCATATCAGACGATCGACCAATCTGGTGTATGCCAATATCAACGCGCCGTGGTCGACATTTATCTGCGGCAGTCAGGGAAGCGGGAAGAGCCATACGCTCTCATGCATGCTTGAGAATGCACTACTCCATCCGTCCGAGACGGGGACGCTGTCATCCCCTCTCACCGGCCTTGTATTGCACTACGATAAGTTCACGGGCGTGAACACGGGCCAGCTATGTGAGGCGGCGTATCTTTCGTCCAAGGTTCCGGTCCGTGTGCTTGTTGCGCCTAGCAACTTTGGCCATATGGAGAGACTCTATGCGAATATGCCGGGGTTGGCGGATGGGGCTCCAAAGCCTAAAGTTTCCAGTTTGTATTTCCGTGAGGACCAGTTAACGTTGGGGATGATGAAGGATTTGATGGCGGTTAGTGGTGAAGGGGCGCCTCCACTTTATATGGAGGTAATTCTCTTCTCTACCGAGCCAATGATTATTTCTGGTGACGCTGATCACAAAATATTTCCACAACCGTTCTAACAATGAAATTGTTTTTCAGGTCGTTACGAAAGTCCTGAGAGAAATGGCTGCAGAGGCGCTTGGTCCACGGGGGATAAATTTCAATTCTTTTAAAAAGCGTCTCTACGTCGCTGAGAACCTGAATAAAGGCCAACTAGGACCGCTGAATATGCGGCTCAATTTGCTCGAATCGTTTCTCGAAAAGACTTATAAAAAGCCAGCCCGAGGGCTTGCAGTGGGGAAGGGAAGGCAGGGGAAAAACATCTGGGACTTTCCGCCGGGATCTTTGACAATCATTGACCTGAGTTGCCCATTTGTGGACGAAAACGATGCGTGCTCGCTTTTCAATATCTGCCTGAACATTTTCATGGAGCGGCGGAATGAGAGCGGGCGCGTCGTGGCATTGGACGAAGCTCATAAGGTTAGAACAACTTTCTCCATTTCCCCCCTTGTTTCTCATTTTCCTTCGTGCTCAGTTTATGGCAACATAATCCTAATCCTTCGATTTAGTTCTTGACAACAAACAGCCGTGAAGGCGGGAACCTAACAGACACCCTGCTGTCACTGATCCGCCAGCAAAGACATCTAGCTACACGGGTCATTATCGCAACCCAGGAGCCCACGCTATCGCCCAGTTTACTGGACCTGTGCAACGTAACCATTGTCCACCGTTTTAGTTCACCTGCTTGGTTCACAACACTACGAGGGCATCTCGCTGGTGCAGCGATTGACGATAATAACAAGCCGAAATATGGCCCCGATAACTTATTTTCCAGAATCGTGACTCTAAAAACTGGCGAGGCTTTGGTATTTTGTCCAGGCGCGATACTTGATATCGTATCAGATGAAGCATTGGAAGAATCCACGCCATCACCAGGTGAGCCTGAGCCGCCGCACGGGGTAGCCGCGTTGAAAGCATTGAGAATTAGAGAGTTAGGACCGCGATATGTCCGGGTGAGAATCCGCAAACGGGTCACGGCCGATGGAGGACGAAGCATTCTTGCTCAAAACTGAGATAACCCCAATCGTATTGTTTCTAAGTGGAGGAGTTCCGGGCAAGCTGGGTTGGGATTTGGGCCTGTTTTTATTTAACCTCTAGTTTCAAATCGTGCTAGCTTTTGGTCTAAATGTGGCGCTCTCTTGGTGTTTATTTTAGGTCAAATAAGTCCGAACTGTAGTCTTTAGGTTCTTTTTCTTTCTCACGCGAAATCTATTTACCTGGTTAGATACCTCCTTTGTTGTTATACTGTCAACTAGGTTCGAAAGATGTTGTTTTTATTAGAGCGTAGAGCGACTAGTTAATGACTAATGACGTCAGGTAGACTACCTAGGTAAGACTAGTTCGACAAGTAGTTCACCTAAGCATCTATTGTGGGAGCCCTAGGCTTCCTAGTACGGACTAGCGTCCCGCACACTACATATGGCCACTAGATAGATAGCTACACCAATACAACCACTCAGACGTCCAACAATCTGTGAGAGAGGTTGAACATGGTTGGTTGTTTTGATCGATCTAGTGGCTAGCGGCAGCTGATATATGTGTGAGTGGGTCCAAATCCCATCGCCCTCAAGAGACGTCTGTCGAACATTGACTCCTCGAGAAGGCCACCGACTCAGTTTCAAGGCTGCGACAGATAGTGAAACTATGTGCTGGATGTATGCAATTTCAAGCCTTTCAAATGCTGCTGCCATAACCTTCCAAGCACAGAGGAGTAGATAGTACCGTTGCGGTCACCATCCCTGCTCAACTTTTCTTGTGTACCGGCTCTTTTGAGCTTTGAAATGGACAACGGAAACCATGCTTCACATACTCCCTCGTTAAGAAGAGAGTCACCTGCGTATGAAAGCACAATTCTTGAAGAGCATGTCGCCCCGAACGACCCTGAGGATGACGAGACTTGCCCTTTAGAGACCCGGTGGTGGTTGGCGAGTACTGCGTTTCCGTTGCTAGCGGTATGTGTTCCTCTATTTAAGCATTGGAGGTTATACCGCGATCCAACCTTTGGGCGTTCGGACCTCATTTTTCTACGTGAGTCGTATGCTAATAAACAATATCAGGGAACTTTCGGCCCAACCGCAAGCGCATTTAGCATATGTTCTCTTGCAGATCGATGGCGGGTCAAAATCCCCCTTGGAGGGTCGCTCGAAGATGCTGAACCCGTACCGGATCCTAAATGGTTGTATCAACGTTGCACTGTTTACATATTTTGCTCGAGTTTCTTTTGCTAATTCAATAAATGACTCTCCCTAGGGCGGTCGTTATCAACTCAATTTCTCTCGGCTTTGCATTAGTATCCAACTTTTCTCTCTTGCTGAACATGGCCAGGCGATTACCTTTCCCAATTGCCCAACCCATTACGATCGGAGGATGGTACATTTCTTCAGGTCTGCTTATTTGCCTGGCAGCTCTTCTCCGCCATCGTACGGACACGACCACCCACCGGATGACTCAAGCTTATTACTATGCAATTATAGCCGCAGCCATCTATTTTCTGGTCTCTTCACTCATGGTTGTGACCGTTTTTGGGGCACAGAGAAAACATTACAGCAAAGAGTTTCGTCTCACCACAAACCAGAGATCTCTAATGCTGCAGACTATCACCTGGTTAGTTTATTTGCTAGGTGGTGCTGCAATATTTGCTCACGTCGAAGAGTGGGCCTACCTTGACGCTGTATACTGGGCAGATGTCACTCTACTTACAGATGGTTTTGGAGACATAGCCCCCAAGACTCATACTGGTCGGAGTCTATTATTCCCTTACGCTGTCGGGGGGATCTTGACCCTAGCATTAGTTGTTACATCGATAAGAGATCTGATGATAGAACGCGGGAAAAACGCGATAATTGCCAGACGGACGGAACTGACCAGGAAACGAATCGCAGACCAAGTCAGACAAGGGACGGGAAGAGTGAGTGGGATTAAGCTTCCACCAATTTCCGATCCATCTCAGCTTTCTGAAAGCCAGAGGCAGGAAGCGGAGTTTTACCTTATGCGCCAGATACATAAAGTTGCTTCATTCAAAATAAAGTGGTTTTTGCTTGGTGTTGCTGTATGCGCCTGGATGGCACTGTGGCTCCTTGGTGCGCTCGCATTTTTTCTTGCTGAACAAGCCCAAAACTGGTCATATTTCGAGTCTTTATACTTCGCCTATACGTCGCTCCTTACAATCGGCTATGGGGATTTCACACCCGGTGACACATGGGGAAAGCCTTTCTTGGTTTTTTGGTCCCTGCTTGCCATCCCTACTATGACGATACTATTCTCCAGCATGGGGAGTACCATTGCAAAGTTTGTCGAGGATGCTACCAATTTTGCTGGTGAATTGACTGTTCTTCCTGGCGAGACGAGTTTCAAGGATGTAATAGCTTCCCCTTTACAACAGCTGCGAGAGCTGAGTTATCAAACGCCACGGGCGCTCTTGAACCACACTATTTCTCGAGCCCACCGTAACGAGAACATTCCAGCCTACCAAACGAGCCCATCGACTTCCAGAGTGTTTACTGGACATGGGGAACTAAGCACAAAGGACGAATCTAGAGTGAAAGATATACAAGAGGCAACCACAAATCCACACCAGCGCCGATACATTATCATTCGCGAAATTCGCAAAATATATCGAGACTTAAACGCCCAGCCCCCGAAAAGGTACACGTATGATGAATGGTATTTCTACCTATCACTTGTGGGGAAGATGGAATTATGCTCAAGCTATATAAATATTCCTAATTCCCAGATCGAAGAAATTCAAGGAATAGACCACCCCCGAATTGGTCTCCGAACTTCAGTAGGTGTCGAAAAGCCGAACGTCCAGAACAACAACTGGAGCTGGATTGGTACAAGGAGTCCACTGATTGGCGATAAAGACGAAGCACAATGGATCTTCGAAGCCCTGTCTGCTGCTTTAGAGCACGATCTCAAGCAGCAGAGCCTCAAGCAGTACAGCGAGCAAAATGGAGCATAACTGAGTTGACAACCCTATTCCGCAAATTTCTCTGATACCCATAGATTGCAGTCAGGGGCAGTGAGTATGAGCTTAATGGTTACCCGCTCTTTTGTTTCCTTTGTTGTCCTTGATCCTCATTTGTCTTGTCTCTATCTACTCTTTGCTTTTTGAGCCTAGAGGAGTTAGGTCTTTTCTAAACTTTTCTTTGAAGGAGAAAATTCACGCGCACATATGATTTACAGTTCATTTGTCATTCATTCATTGTTTTATCACCATCGAACTTAGACACAACATACTCATTGTTGAGTGTATTCTGTTTCATGACAAAGAAGTATATATTTCAATATTTTTGCTTGATTGAGTCATGAGTTATTATATCACAATCAATCACTTGTTGAAATATTGCAGTGTTAGATTTTATATAAACAGCAACTGTGCTATTCACATCTTTTGTATGTCTTCATAATGGCTGCTTTATTGTTCACTGGCCCATTTGCAATGTCTCTTTCGATAGGTATTTGCCTTCTTTCCTTTCCACCAAAATTTTGGGGATTTCGTTATTTCTTTATTTTCCGTGTGTTTTATGGGCAGTTATTTACACATCATGGCCCCTTGTGATACCCTGATTGTCGTTGATACTTCGGATTGCGTGCCAGATAGAGGCACCTCGCCACATCTCTTGGATAGTAATATTTTTACATCGATCCCAGACACGGGCCAACTCCCCTCATCCCCTCCTATACCTAGCCCGTCGTCTCGTTCCACTCTTAAGAAGTTGCCCGCAAGGGCTGAATCCACCCTTTTTGTCTTTGCCACGACTACTCTCACGATTACTGCTACTACTTCTCCTAGTGGACTCTTATCGAGTCATCCACGCTCAAGTTATACGCCTGCAAGTTTCACGCCAACTTCGACAATAACGAGTTCTACTCTGTCACGTTCCACGCCATCAACTTCTGCGCCGGAATCGTCAAAACAAGCAGTGACAGCAACATCATCCAGACCCCCAGAAGCTACGGGCAGTGTGGTAGTGGCTAGCGAACGCTCTAGTTCAAAAGAAGTACCCCTGCCGATTCTTGCTCTGTTGATCATTCTAGCAATAGCCGCTGTCATGTTATCTCTAGCGATATGTCGTGTAAGGAAGAGTAGCAAGTTCTGTAGGCAATGCAGAGAGGCTATCGTTAGCCAAACGCTTACAAAACAAACGCCTCCAGCGCACGATCATGGCACATTTACGCTGTCGGGAGCAGCCAATCAATCACGTTTGACAGAAAGGATAAGGGGTAGTATGGGCTCATCCGCGTTGAATTTAAATGGCCAACTAGCCCAACCTCACATTCGCGATGAACCTCGAGGAATTCGTCAGTGGACGACAGTTGAAGAAAGTAACTCACGACCCCTTGATTTCCCAATAGCCACCATGGCTCCAAGGATCCCCCAGCTAAGCTGGGAACGCCCTAAACCTGATCCTATGAGCCTTTATGCCCGTGCTTCAGCTAGTGGCCGGGAGGAACAACGAGGCCGTTCATCGATCTCTGTTGCGTCTATAATCGACGAGTACGCTCAATTCCCCAACGATAATAGGTATCTCGATACCTTCCAAGTCGTCGGGAACAACGGTGTTCCAGGAAATCCACAAAACCTGACGGCTGATGAAAATTTTTTAGTGGATTTGCGAAACGGAAGTTTACGGCGTCGGACGCGGGATGATTACCCTTCTCAACCTAGTGGGGAGGATGATACAACACGCTGCGCGATCCGGTCTCCAACTGAACCATATACTCAAATTCGGGAGAGGCAAGAAGGGCAACTCGGAATAACGAAAGTGGGGGGTACTGCGCCCGTTTCTCGACATGAACAGTCTCCTATTAGTCAATATAAAGAGTCTTCGACGCAGACATCTAGACAGGTACATCAGGACCGGCAAACTGAATCAAGTTACAGCCCTACGAGCTCGTCATGTGCCAGTCAGCCCAGCTCGATGACATCGTGGGCTTCACCCTGGCCGGTGAAAACCGGAAATGTTAGCGATCGGCTTACTCCAAACTTTGTCGCCAGGCCAAGTATGAGTAGTCATACACCCGCCGATGCAACGCAGGATTCAGACGATAATATTAGCACCATGCTAAATCGTTGGGCACTTCTTGATCGACAAAACCTGGGTCTCGTTGATCAGGTCCCACTTCGATCTTACTCGGCGCGGGATAAGCTAAATGACCATTTAAACAACAAGCGCAGGCTTAAGCTTCATGTGTCGAATGTCCGAAGGTCAATGTCGACTACACTTCCGGAAATCTTGTCGAGGTTACCCTCCTCGGGAGCTAACAGGGCGGGAAAAAATGAGAATGCTGAATTATACGCACCGAAGAACTGTCGGAACAAACTGGTAGAGGAGGACCCAAATATTGGTTCAACCCATATCGAGACTTGCACTGCAATTGACGAGCATCTAGAACCGCCCAATGCTGAATTTGACGATGTCGACTCTCGCGATCACGTATTTGGCAGACCTTCCTTACAGCAGCGAACTTACAGCGAAAGCATATATTCGCGACCAACAACATTGCACCGGCTCCCAGAGGATACCCAGGCAGGGGATGAACAATGGGGAGGCCAAGGATATCCAAGGCTGAGACGTTATGCTAAGCAGTCTTATGGAAGCCCAGAAGCCGGACCTAGTCAGTCCACACCAGCTCCGCCATTCCGTAATGAAGCCGGCGACCGTGATTCGCCAACCGGTTACGAAAATAACCTCTACGGTGAGCAGGGTAGTCGAGAGCAAGGAGCCCCGACGAAGAATGATCAGTTTGGTAAGTTATCCCTCGGCGAACCAGGGACGATTCGCGACGATTCACTTCGTTGGCATACGCGTAATATGATTGCTCCTCGTGATCCTGTCAAGGGTAACGATGCTGGAGGTCCTGCGGACCCAGAGCCGAGATCATTTATTAGTGGGTTTAGGGACATATACGGGGGAAGTAGGAAGAAGAATGGAAAAAAGCCGATTGTAGGAGATGGTAGAAAGCGTAGCCGAGTTTTTTGGATGTGAGGAATTGACTCCAGAACTAGACTACCGAGGTAGTTTTCCGGAGATTTCACAATCCCTCTTCTGGATTAGGCCGCCAGGCATCGCTGCTTTATCCTCACCCTCTCCTCACCCTTCTCACCACCGCCTCCCTGTCTTCAATCACCTCACCGTTCCCGACCGGTCACCTGCTAGGAAGGCAGCATCTTCAATTCTGTCAAGTTTACGCGATGGACATGTTTCTACTCGGTTGGCCAGCAGGGGCGGGTGAACTCGCCTGTGCTGAAAGGGGTCTCTGGCCCCTTCCACTCCCTTTTCTCATTCTCTCACTGTCATTCCTGTCACTTTATTGTGTGTATGTCCTTGACCATACTGCACCGCTTATTATCTCTGACTCTTTTTGCCTGTTCCGGCCTGCTTTGGGCATCCCACAGGGGTGCCATCTATTGTTTATCATACGTTCTCCTTCCGCTTACGGTGTACGGATTCATTGCAATGGGAAAGAAGCTCACTCCTGAAGAAAGGGTGCGACGGGCCATTGAAGCCGGCTTTGATGCCAACAGTACTCAAGTCAGTGGAGAAAGGGTGCTTAAAAAGTTAGAGGATTCCACAAATCGTGACTATCAAAATGTCTGGAAAATTTGAGAGCGGTGAGTGTCTCTTGTTGGTTTATGCTTCAATGTTCCCCAAAAGCTGAGTGTTCCAAATTGTAGGTACAATCAAAACTACAAATGTGACATCTTTGATGAGGAGAAAAAGAAGAAGTTCATCATATTTCTTGCAAAGATGGCCCGTGGACGGAGCCCCAAGGGTCCAAAGGACACGTACATTTTGCTGTTGTGGAAGCAATTCACGGCTGAATGGGCCCGCAGAAAAGAGAAGCTGCCATCCCCTGTGACCAGCTCTGGCTCTATGGTAGTTGCCCCTATCAGTACCTGATCCCTTGCTTTCTGGAAAGAAGCGAAGAGCTGACTTGTTTATATATATAGTTCATTGCCCAAGAATTACACCTACATGCCGCTATCAATCGTGATATCTCCGCGAGAGACTTTGTTACATTGAACCATTTTAGAAACCTGATTCAGCAGCTATGGAAGAATGATTGGTACGAGTTTCCATTCCCAATATACCGGGTGTATTTCTCGGCGTTCCTCAAGATGTGTATGTATTCAACCGCTCGGGTGGGCGAGTACCTCGAGTCGACAGCGCGGCGGGGTTCAGGCCGAGGTCTCCGTGTCCCTCAGGTGCGTGTTGCGTTCCGTTCCTGACCACTGCTGAGCACAGGCTGAAAGAACCCAACTGGGAGCTAGGATATGACGTTCCTGGTTATTAACAATTCCAAGAGTCAAGCTGAAATCATAATTCGGCCAAAAAGAGATGCAAAGAAAGAACATGCGCAAGAAGGAAAACAAGCAGTTAGTCCCTACCAGAACCCTGATCGGGTACGCTCCTGGTTGACATGACCTGTGTTGCAACATAGGCCGCGGCATCCCATGCAGGAAGATGTAGGGCGTCTCCCATTGTTCCTGAACCCAGTCCTTGAGCCTCTAGCAATTTGCCTTGCGCGGGGACTCTTCCGCGACTTTAAGACCGCAGATGAGATATTTGCCCTAGAGCCACCGCCTGGGGAGGGACAGTGGCCTGACCGGTGAGATCCTTACGGCAACCTGGGCGGATAAAGGGCTTGCGAAGCTGGGCCGCCGTGCAGGGTATGAAAAATTGATCAGCGTCCATGATATGCGGGCAGAGGGCCTAGTCCGAACAAATGGTGAGTAGTCCACTGCCCGAGCTAACTGAAAGTTCAGGATATAGGCTCATTGTTTGCTGACTGACGGATAGAAAACGGGCATTCGATGGAGGAGTTGATGCAGATGGCCGGCCATGGGGGCAACCCACGAATATTCTTTGAGCATTATATGAGCTCAACCAGCAGTGTTCAGGGTGTGTCAAACATCCTAAAATTGGAGCGCCGTAAAGACATCGCAGAGCCCTTCCGTGGCTTGACATTGCGGCGTCACCCACAACTGTGGCAGGCTCTGCCTGCAAAACTGCAGCAGGACCACTTATACAATCCATGCCGATAATAAGTCCACCATAGAGCTATCCTCTTCCGAAGCAATTCCGCGCCGCTCGAAGCATATAGAGGTTCATTTCCACATTCTTCAGGATCTTGTCCGCAAGAACCAGATATCTATCTGATACATTTCATCTGCCGAGAACGCGGCGGATGGGCTTACTAAACCACTTGAAATGATGAAATATACACATTGAAAGGAGAATATTAAGATAAAAGAGATAGGGAGATAGAGGGATAAAAAATGATGAATCTCATGGCTGATTTTTCATTACTACACATTTTCCAGTCATTTTTTGTACCTGTACTTGATTTGAAGGCGAATTTTGTATGTAGCATCGTGTATAGTTACTCTGGTGAGTGGGGGTGTCTTCAAATTCAAAAGCTCATCTTTGTGAATCAGAGACCACTGTGTTGAAAGTTGTGCTTTATGCTTCTTCGACAGAGGCTTCTAGCCAGCTCGGAAGCGGTAGATAGTTGATAGAACTGGTGTGTGGCATGGCGCTAACTCATTGCATACTCGGGTGAATGCAATCAGTATTTGTATATTCAGAAACAATCAGTATTGAATAAGAAGGCTAGGAAGACAAGCACACGTTTTTTATTTCAGAATCAAGTTTAAATTTTGAGGATCTAGGCAAATGATGAAGTGCGAACCTTGATATGTTATTGTGAACTTTCGATGAGGTCGTTGAATTATTTTTTTTGGAGGGGCATTAGTGTTGGGGGTCCCGGGGGTTGATCGGCCCTTCTACCAGCAGGCGCTGGTGGTGACTGAGCTCTTTTGCCCCAGTAGTTTGTTGGGGGTACCGCGGTTGGTCGGCCCTTCTACCAGCAGGCGCTGGTGGTGATTGAGCTCTTTTGCCCCAGTAGCCTACATAGTTAGCCTACAATTAGTGCCAAATCAAACTAGTCTTTCATCACGTGATAAATGACGTTCTCGGTGCCAAGTACGAAATTGTCAGGAAAAAGAGGTCATACACTACTGAACGCCACCAACATCGTATTACTACTATATTTCTTATCATCATCAGCTTACTACAATGCTCCTCTAATACTCGCTTATGCTGGCTCTCTTGGCTCGCACATTTGTTTTACTATAAATAGCTCTATCTTTTGTATGGAATTAGATATAATAGATAGTGTACGGATAATATAAGAAGCAGATCTTGATACACATAAGATTCATATGTCTCCAACATATTCATCCGTGACACCCATTCTGACAGAAATCCAGCTATGCGACCCTTGAACTTCTCAAAATCACCGATCAATTCCGCTGCGAATAATCCTGTGAGAGGTGAGATGTGGTGAGTACTTGGCATCGTCTCTATTGAGACAATGCGGTCAAGATGGGAGCGCCAGACCTACTTATGTTCTAGTCACAAGGCTCAATAAATGTCCTAGTATGTCCATTTGTTCGTTCTTTAGTGGTAGATGATTGATATGTCATAGAACTTCGCGGAGGTTTTGCCTCACCCGACGTGTAAGAGGGGTGCGGGGGGGAGGGGGGGAAATCGTGGAATATTAACGATAGGATAGGGTGCAACGGCCGCCTCACAGCGCAGGTAGGGTGGAGCAGATTGGTGGAGCTGGTCGGGCAGAACAATCAAGTTATTTACAGCCCCTGGATGATGTTGAGTCTTGTTGTCGTTAAACCTTTGAAGATAGTTCCTCCTTTGTTCGTGGTTCTCCTTGCCCCACCATGGGGCAAGAGTCACATGCACACCACCTTTTCGCAGCGTTTTTTTGACAGCAGTTTCGATTTGGAAGCGTAAAAAACAAATCATTCGACATGCGCTTGGAAGATTGGCTGTTCCGTGAATATCCCGCCGATGCAAAAATCACACAATCTTTGCAATCCGTCATCACCAGGAAACATTTGTACAAAATACTGGCTACTGGAGTGTGCTGGGGGGAGAGCCCTCGTTCTCGCCGTCTGCCAGGTAGTCTGGCTCTGGGATTGTGTATATTTCGCGGTGTAATCCAGTTTGACTTAGTACCATCCATCCTAGTCACAACCCATAATATTTCATTTTAATAGGTTAGACTAACCTAGCCTGTAAGTACAGTGATTACTAATACCTAGTTTAATCCTAAATATTTCGCTTCTCCCCACCGCTAGAGGATTCTCGCCTTTCTCTTAAATTCCTCGTACTCATTTCGCTTTTTGATATAAGTCTTTATCCCCCTCTAATGGCCGATAACAGTTCATCAGATTACGAGGCTCTCTACCGCAGAGCGGAAGCGGAACGAAGGCAGGCAGAAGAGCGAGCGGCACGGGAAGCAGAGTTGCGAAGGCAAGCGGAAGAATTGAGAAGGCAGGCAGAAGAGCGAGAGGCAGAGGAAAAAGTGCGCAGCCAGCCGACAACACTCGGAGAGCTCATCAAAGGATGTCATGATTCATTCTCCCGGCCTTTGCAGGTTGGAACGCCATCCCGCTCCACGAAGGGGAGTATTCCATCACCCACTGGGAAATACTGTCCAACGAGCCTTCGCCTTTGGTCAAGCTGTCCGGTTCAACTGCAAGAAATTTATGATGCAGTTTCCACTTACCTGCAACCAGCTGGAAAAGACGCACCTCGGCTATTCACATCTCTTCTTGTGCTAAATGAACTTGGTCGGCGGTATTCTAGCCGAAAACTACGAAGTGAAAAGGATCTGGAACATTACGAGCGAACCGCTGTGGAAGATCATGTCCATGATATCATAGCCGAGCTATGCAAAATACCTGATGCCCGAGAGAGATTCCGGCTTGGAGATGGGATCCTGTTTGAAAATCATGAAAATATTCTACAGAAATCAGAAGAGTCAGAAGTACAGCTGCTTGATGAGTCCAGCACAAAACATCCCAAACCAGATTCATTCTGTATTCATCGGATCAACGATTCCACCAATACTTTGATTACGACAGTCGAGTATAAGCCGCCACACAAGCTCTCGGTTGAAAATCTCCGAGCGGGCCTTCGATCGATGAAGCTCTGGGAAGAGATTGTTCAGTCAGACACGATCCCCAAGAGTGATGAGCTGAACAAGGATGAAAAGCTGAGATATAATGCGGAACAGCTGACTTGCTCAGTTTTGGTTCAGGAGTATCATGTCATGATCCAAGCTGGACTGGAGTACTCCTACATAACTAATGGATTTGCTATCGTTCTTCTTCGTGTTCCATACAGCGACCCTAGTACACTCTATTACTATCTCTGTGAACCAAACATGGATGTGATTTCAGAAAATCCTGGGGTCTTTTATCAGTCAAAGACAGCTATTGCCAGAATATTATGTCTCTGTCTGATGTCCTTTCTCTCGGATATCCGTGACCAGAAGTGGCGGAATGCTGCAAGATCCCAGCTCCATATATGGAAGACAAGTTTTGACTTTACACCATCGCAAATCCCCGATGACGAGCTGCAACAAACTCCTCCAGGATCGGAATATGCAAGCTCGGAATATATGCCCTCTGAACATCTGCCATCATCTCCATTACAGCCCGGCCATCGAGTTTCTACCCGATCTCAAACCACCTGTGCACCAATAGATACCTCTCCTTTGGGTGATCATATGGATTCTTCCAACTCCGACTCTAACCAAGCAGCGCACGGTCGGAAGCGGGGCTTCAGCCAAGTGATGTCCTCCCCACCCAGCCAGCATTCATCGGCGCGCCCAGCAGATCCTAGGCCATCGAGCGGCCAAAGCCAACACACGGCACGTTACTGTACGCAGCGATGCTTATTGAGTTTGCAACAAGAAGGTGAATTGGATCATCAATGCCCTAATGTTTCTCTCCACCGGCGAGGCCAGAATGATGATCGACATTGTATCAATGCAAGGAAGCTTGTGCAAATACTGAATGAACAGCTCAATCATGACCTTGATCATAACTGCACACCATTTGGGACTTGTGGATTGTATGGTGCACCCTTCAAGATCACTTGTGCTGCATATGGCTACACTCTTGTTGGAAAGGGAACAACAGCCGGGCTATGGAAAGTTGTCTCACGTGAAGCAGAAATATACCGGGTTCTTCAGAAAGCACAGGGTTCTGCTGTCCCTGTATTTCTGGGGACGATTGATTTGAAATTGTTCCTTTTCCTCCATGGTGCTGGGGACATCCGCCATATGCTTCTCATGGGTTGGGCGGGGGAGAGTATAGAGAACGTCAAAGACAAGGAAATGCTAAGTCGTGAGATTTCCAGGTCGAAGAAGGAAATCCGCATGCTGGGAGTGGTACATAAAGACCTGCGGTCTGCCAACATGTTATGGAATGATGAGCTGCGCCGGGTCCTGATCATAGACTTTCACCGGTCCGACATAGACAGGCGTCTGATGAAAAAGCGGGTTGGATCCCTGAAAAGGCCACTTCATCAGGTGGGCATGTCGAAACGACCCTGTAATAACAATGGCTTGACTGGGCGTATCTCTACGACAAGAGGGTCAGACGTCCAGAGTAGCGTCTGAGCAGAGTTGGAAACAGGCCCTTGAGAAACAGCCTGAAGGTGCTGTTGCCTTCTTGTCGACTTGTTCTTCCTTTTGCCTGTGGATTGAACTGTTCAAATATATTTTATTTCACCAGTCAATTTCGTATATTTTAATTTTACATCTAAAAATGAACTACACAGCTGGAAAGATCCGAATTTTAGGTCTAGAAGATATATGTATGATAACCCAGTAACAGCAGCTCGTACCATCAACCAGTAATAACAATTGGGTTTCAGCAAAAGTCACTTTGTCTTCCGCGTCGGATTTTTATCTCACGGACAGCCAAGGCAAGGAACCAACAATCTCAATAACTCGATGTCGATTCCCATTCATTTCATTCAATTATACTCATTCTCGACGTACCTTGGTGAATAGTCAGCAATAATGCTTGCCGACACTCAAATGCTACGTGCTACATCCCGATTTCCTTTCACAGAGGCCCGTAGATCAGCATCATATTGTTCTTTACTCTGTGTTTCTATTGACTCGAGTATCGTGGACATTTGCCCAAGTATTTCAATGATTTTGAGCACCTGGCTATGGATCTCCATGATTTTGTCTTGCTGAGACATATTGTCACTGCTTTTGACATCTGAGGAGGTTGACAAAAGTCTTCGCATGCTACAGTTGGCATTCGGCATGGTGGTGAATGCTTTAAACATTCTATTTTAAAACATCCTATTGCACGTGAGAAGAGCGACGGGGATTCTGTTGAGATGCAAATGGAAATTCCAGTCAATGATCTATTACAGTTTAAGAATATATATATGGATATCCAGAATCAGGGAGGCTTTTTATACTTTTCTCCGGGGCTAGACAAAATAGACAAAACTGAAATGATTGAAAGAAAAACCAAAGTGAGAAACAAAGAAAAAAGGGGGAAGAGCAAACAAACAAACAAAGGAACACACACAAAGAAAATACTATATCATGACATAGGCCAGGTAGACCTTGAGCGGGAATGTGATAGGCAATATCAATAGAGCTCCTGAGCTGGAATGAAATCTGAGAAGCAAAAGAAGATCAAATGAAGGGAATAGAAGCAATCAAGAAAACAATCAAGACAGGCATAGTATGAAACAAATCAGGGCTGAAATTGATATTGACACATTATAACAGATGAAGATCCTGACCAATCGACTTTTCAATCCCGTGTCCACCGCCCCCTTTGCGATCTCCCATTGACCTGTCCCCTCGCGCGCGGATCCCAGGATTCACTACCTTTTCAGCCAGCCACTCCTAATCCGTGAAGAGAGACCGGCGTGGGATGCATCGGAAGTGGCCACTCCATCCCGCGGTAAAGGGAGATTTCCGTAAGTGGAGGGTATGTGTATAGCTGTGGCAGCCTCTTTGTAGCAGCTGTTGGGATATTCTTGCTCAACAGCATTCATGTTTTCTCACCCTCAACTTCAACTTTGACTTGCGAGTTGGCAGTGGGGTGTGATGCTTCAGCTTGGTGGACTACTGCACCTGCAGAGTTGCCTTGAATCTGCCCGGGAAGCACTTGATGATCTCATCCCATGACTTGCTGTCCTTCTTGAGTTTCTTCAGCAGCATGTCATCCTCTGAGGTAAATGGCACATGTGTATCAGTCATGACAGATGGCTGCTCTTCACAACTGAGGCTTGACAGACTGTGTGCATTTGCTGACAGAAGTCAGTCAGTCTCCTCATGACAGAATGTTATAGTGTAGCACACTTTGAACCTGATCATGTAGCTTGAAAGAAAGCTGGAGACTGATATATCATCACCTGAGTGATTTGTCACTGCATCATCTGGTGAGACAGTGAACACTCTGGAAGAATCATCAGCTGAGTTTTTACTGTGCTTCATTGTTGGATTGCATTTCCCTGACTTATCATCTACCATAGCAGCTGGAGAGGGATCTCCCATGCAAGCAGCAAATGTGATGACAGACCTGGAGGACCGCCGCGTCTAGAGTTTCCGCCGCTTGCATGGCCGCCTGGCGACATGGTCATCATCATCACTTTCCTGATACTCCTCATCGTCGTCATCGTCATCACTGCTGCAGTCGCTGAAGTGATTGAAGTCACTGTTGTCACTGAGGTTGCTCCTGTTGCCTCGGCCCTCTCCCTTCTGGAGAGCGTCTGGCTGGGAAGGAATCTCGACTCAAACATCCATGCATTGCACTTGTCCCCGCCCCATCAGCCTGCATGCTTCTCCAGAGTGCTTTCCAGGGCTGACAGGAGTTTGAGGCTTCAATTTGGCTCCCGGGCTGGAAAGTGTATTCACAACCTCTCCGCCCGTGGCACTGGCGCGCACATTGAGATCAATAGTCCTTCTGAATTCATCATTGTTCAGAGGATTTTCTCCATCACTCTTCAAGTTCATGAGAATCAGTTGTTCTGCTGAAGGCAGTGTCAGAAGGCAGAGCTTCACAGACAAATCAACAGAAAGTTGCAGAAGCTGACTTACTCTGGCAGCCTACTGACCTCAGTAACTTTGCTAAACTGTACAGATGTTGGTCAGAGACACCTGCCAGGCCAGGCAGAGAACATGAGGCTTCTGGTTCACACTTGTCCAGCACTGGATCGCGATTGTGATCATGATCAGAGAGAGGAGAGATGGTTTTCTGAGCTGATGATCAGTCAGTCTTCTGTGAAGATCTATCACTTGAGGCTTCCCGGTGAGACATGGCGTCTGGTGTGGTTGAGCCTGGAGAAAACATTGTATTTTCAATCAACAGAGTGTTTGATGCTCAAACACTGATCTGGCTGTTCAGGCCACTTAGAGTATCTCTACAGAAGGGAAGAGAGGGCCAGAGAGATGAATGAGTGTTAAATAGTGGTTCAGAAATAATGAATTGTGCTGAGGGCATAGAAGTGAGCTGGGAAAGATGATGTTCACAAATAGAGGGTTTGATGGGGAGAGGCTGGAGAGGCTTGAGAGACTTGAAGAGAAGTGAGCAGTACAGGATGATGAAGTTCATATTCACAGCCATGATTATTAGAGAAGGGAAATCATAGCTGGTGAGTGTTAAACTTCACAGTGTATATGATTCATTCTCTCACATTCAAACAGACCGGGAAAGCAGGCCTCTTATATAGACTCTATGTACATTCTTTGCATCAGTGAAAGGGTGAAGAATTCAGTTTCAGCTATCCCAGCTACAAGCAGAGCAAGGACAAATTGTTGACACTGAAATCAAGTGATAGTTTCTCATCCTTTTCCCTCATCTTCTGCTCCTGCTCGAGGAATCATTCACACCCTGGGAGAAAAAAGCAAAGATAGAAAGCAAAGGAGTTCGCTGGTCAATTGTTCTCTGATGCGATTTTGCGCTATATGTATTCTTCATCAAAGCCACGTCAGCTGGGCAGTGGTGCCTCGCCACGGATCGAGGTAACTCTCCGGATACGGTTATCGGCCCCACGGCAAGGCAGACTTTGAAGTGTATGAGACGGCCGATTCGCGTGCAGGAAAAATTCGAATCTGCCTCTGGAGAAACTGTCAGAGAGAGCGCGGCCCTCACAAGATCTGCCCCTCTATCTCTGCATTCTTGATCCTTTTTTTTTTTCTTTTCCCCGTCCCATGTACCAACCGTCGTTGCATGCAATGATCAGGAGCGGCTGAGTCGCGCAGGGATCTCGAAATTTGACTATCAGATTGAGAGCCACTGTTGCAGAAATTACCCGTCTTCTCTTGTGAATTCACCAGGTTTCTCTGGAAAGGCTGAAGATGCAAATCATTGCAAGATCCCCTTGGTCCGGACCAAACAAGTATCACAATTGTCACTGGGGTTGAAATGATTGAAAGGGGAAGAAGAAGGCGCAGCTCCATGTCACCGCGGAGATAGCTGCGACGGGGGCGACCTCCCTTACATTGGAAAGGCCCTTCAATCATCTCTCTCCGATTCACCGAGTTGCTGGGATGGTGGTGGGAGTGGTGAGAATGGTGAGATCTAGAATGAACAAGGCTTCCATATGCAGGAAACCCGGCCGAGGTGCATACGCACCGGGTGCCACATAAGACGGGCCTGACGCTCACTGCCTACGTCCGTTGGGGTGAGGGATTTTTGCCATTGACAGCTAGCCCAAGTGAGGGGAATGAAACACACGGCGATCCTTCGCGAACTAAGCACAGAGGTGGAGCAAGCATGCAAGGCGCTTTTTTTCCATCATGGGTTGCAGTTTGAGCACAGGGAGAAAACGCGTCGCAGAAGCGGGGTTGAAGGACGTTGTTCTCAGACAGGTAATTTCCGGTACAGAGGTGCAGCTCATTTGGATTCTCCTGTGGCTGACAGAGGGAAAAAGAAACCCACGCAGTACACATGGCTGGTCGGAGGAGAGGGAGGTCTCAAAGGTCTCAAGGCACCTCTTCCCAGTGATTTTCGTGAGAAGGGACATGAGGTGAAACGGACGGTAAACGGGCCTCACAGTGCAGGTGCCTGGCTGCCGGTCTGCTGGCACATCCGCCAGCAAGAATCAGCACAGCATGGCAGGTCCCTCCATGCAGGACCCGGCCCAGGCGCCGGAGCGGAGCGAAGCGAATGCGACGGCAGCACTGGCATCGTCGGCAATCGGTAGCGAGCCAATGAGGCGGGTGAGAAGGAAGAAGGGGGTGCGAGGTGGCGCCATTAGCACCGGGGGACCCAGGGGGGGGGCCTGGGTCGGTGAGCACAGGAGAGAAAGAAATGAGAAAGTTGAAAAAGGAAGAGCAAGGCCGTGGAAGAAAGTGGGAGCCGGAGGAGGTTTATATAGGTGTCAGACAGGCCTGATGACTGTGATGTCACGGCCCACCGACGCGGCGAGCGGGAGTCTAAGCCCGGAACAGACGACGCCAGACCCGAACGGGCGAGGCCATGCCCGGATGGGGAGGGCGCCAGGCCGCAACGGGGCAAGCGCGGCGCGGCGGGCGCGAAGCGGCCAGCTCAACGCAAACCGAAATTATACAGTTCTGGTGGGACTCACACCAAGAAATGTATGGGACCAGACCAAATGGGACCAAATGTGAAATTCATGGTCCCGCCGGCCAGTCTAGGCCGCACACCACATTTGCGAGGTCAGCTTACATAACGAGGTCAAGTGGCGCACTTAGCGAGGTCAAGGGTCACCCCTAAAGCAGCTTGCCTCCTTTGCTGATCCAGGCCTAGTGCAAAAGAGGCAGTCCCATATCTATAGGAGGTAGGAAACCCAAATTTGAAGGCGTCCCTACCATGCTACAAATTAGTCCATAAGGGGTGCGGTGTCAAAAAATCTTAATGAAGGCATTCCGATGACGACCAGCCTAAGACCCGCGCGCTATAGAAAGACATTTTGCTCACTGGATTTCATGGAATTCAGGCTCAGATTTATTTCATCGTCAGGTTGCCCCAAAGTCCGGACAGCGACGGCCTCGTGGGGCTGTGGTGCCTGTGCCCCACAGTCCATATTTAAGGTTTTGGTTTGGGCCGGGATTGCGATCCACTAAGCTTAAATAGCACTAGGTTAGAGATTAGGTCTTCCCGTGATCGGAGGGTTGGTCTGTGCGGCTTTTACCGCCAACGTCATTTCTCTGCATTGTTTATTGTTTGTATGGAGGATGGGCAGTTTTGAGGGGCTGGGAATCCTCTGCAATCACATCTAATCACATAGATATGAGACAGCCCAAAATAGGGCAGTAGAAGTGGTCACAAAATCGCGTTTGTAACTCGCAAATAAGAGCCTGCCACGGCGTTGGCTTGGTGGCTGGGAAGCTGGGCGCTCGCCCAACCTCCCAGCCCGCCAGTCACCAACCACCGCATATCATTAATTATCGTGTCAAACCTGCCACTCAAGGACCCATTAATACCAGCAGTCCCGACGGAACCGGATTTATTTTCATGAGCTTTTGTATTTCAATGGCATATTGATTTGCATGTTTCTATTTTACTACAATTTTTGGATTGCTCTCTATATACCCCCTAGTAATAACGACCGGTCATGCCCCAACCAGTTCCCGCCAACTTGAAAGCTGTAAAATGTAAGTTAGCGCATGGTAATATTCCCTGCTAGGCGAATATTTATGCTGACAGAGTTTTGCATAGCTAACCAGCCTCAATTAATTCACTCCTCATCCCAGCAATCCATCGCTGCCTCAGACGACTATTATTCTTTCTCTGACATCTCCCAAGCTTCAAATAACAGCAAAGTCACAGTTGTGCGATATGCAACTCCTCCCACTCGAAAATCTTCTCCATCTCCCAACATGTCCTCTCGAACTACCCAAGACGATATAACCGGAACAGCTGGTAGCAGCGGAATAACCCGTGACCCCGAACAACCCCCCAGACAAAAATACATCGCCCCGGATGTTCAAGATGGTGCTAGGGTAACAGAAAGTGGAACACCATCACCCAGCGTGGATGATATGCCGTACATTAGATTCGCTATCGATCAATTAACTCGTGATGAAGAATTACTTGGAGAGGGACGACATGGCTCGGTTGCCAGCACTGAGTATCCTGTTGAACGTATCATCCCAGATGAAGGTCTGGGATATTACACCAGCACCACCACGACACAGCCCGTGGAGCAACAAAAAAAGGAGCCCCAACTATTAGACCGCTGCGACACACCAGGTAAGCTAGACCATTGCTCGCCTCATATTAGCTGCCGAAGAGACTAACTTGACGGCATAGTTTCAAATATTCTGCTTCCAGTAACACCCCCTTCAGAAGGTCACCAATATCCACCGCTTAACTTCGTTCCTCTAGCCCTCCGACCTCTAGCTCTTATTTCATTAACTACTGTCTGTCTCGCCATGATGGTAGCGCTCATATTTTGTATCGTCTGGTCTCAGCAACATGCCGGACTATGGGCTTACGATGGGTTGGGTGGTTCGCGATATTTTGTGGTTCAATTTTTACCATCGCTACTTGCCATTTTAATTACACTTTGGCTGTTTGTCGTGCAGTCTGCTATCTATCGAATCCTTCCCCTGACAATGTTAGCGTCAGGTCGTGGATCTGAGAATGCTCTGCAAAAGATTCGGATCCTGCCTCGCAACTTCTTGTTTCCGGATATCACGCCTTTCCTCCACGGTGAATGGCTGACTGGAAACTTCCTCGCCATAGTATGGGCAGTTAATATTCTTACTATCCCGCTACAAAGTTCGCTGTTCGTAGCTCGCTACTACGACCAGGTCGAAAGGTTTCAATGGGCGACTACTCGGGGTGTAGCCGGAACGCTGATTGCGCTTTATGGATTGCTCGCCATGGCAGTGCTAGGGATTATGCTTCGTTTTAACTGGCGAGAAAGCGGGCTTCTTTGGGATCCCGTCTGTCTTGCCGATATAATCCCCCTGATTCAAAAGTCTAACGTGCTAGATCAGTTTCATCGGACTGAAATTTCTCAGGCCGTTGAGCAGGACCTATTACCTAGTACACTACGTTTGGGATATTGGTCCTCAGACGTCAATGACCAGGACTTTCTCTATGGCATTGGCGAGGAGAGCGCAATGGGGGAGAAATCACCTTCCAATCCGAAACGGGAATCCCAAACCTCCGCTCCCGAACATGCCGACAGCGAGCGACAACACCTCAACAACAAGGACTCCTTCGAAAGGAACATACACTCTCCATTCGTTCGATATCGCTGGACAGAGTGGTTTTTAAGGGATACGTACGTTGTTGCTTGGATCGTCATCGCAAATGTCTTGATGATTGCTTTCATCGTCGTCACGTTCGTAAAGCAACCCATCAGAGACGGATTCGACCCTCTCTTACCTACACTACCCTCGTCAACTAGTTTCTCCTCCTCCAACTTCCTGTACAGCTTCATTCCGTCTCTGATCGGAATAGTTCTCTTCCTCCTCTGGCAACCAATCGACCAATATTTCCGCGCCGTCCAACCGTTTTGCGACCTCTCATCCCCCAATGGTGCTCTTGCTGAGAGGAGCCTCCTGCTAAACTACCCGTCTTGCTTACCGTTAGAAGTCACCGTCCTCGCCCTCAGCACCGGCCATTACAAGGTCGCATACACCTCTTTCATGAGCCTTGCGTCACTTGCTATCCCCGTCCTCGCAGGTGGCGTTTTCATGGCCCGCTACTACCCCGATCAGGATCAAATCCGTATCTCCACTTTTCTGCCTGCATACTACACCCTAATGGCATTCGTGATCGTTTATGCCCTCTCATTCCTCGTTCTTTGGCCGCGGCGTAAACGCTACCTCCCCCACGCCATTTACTCGTACGCGGATATTATCAGTTTCCTTTACCAGAGTCCTCTTCTATCGGATAAGGTATTCCGCCAGCCGAGGACGAAAGCAGATCTGGTAACTAGAGTGATTGTAGCGCCACCTGGGGAGGGCGAAAAAGCGCTATATGCGTTTGGCTTGTACCATGGCCGTGACGGGCAGGAACATCTTGGGATTGATCGGCTGCGGAGAGTCGGCCAAGTCGAGATGTTCGTCACACTGGACGATGGTTCTGGGGTTGTGTGATACTTATTTCGAAGTTACATGGATACCCCTTCTGACTTTCCAGTATCGAACAAGGTGTGATGGAGGTGGATTTAGAGTTGCATATTTCATACTTTGGAGTTTTATGTTTTTATTTTGGTTTTCTTCTGAGATTGGAAGATGAACACGACTGTTTCTCACACTTGGGGCCTCACACCCTACCCCAGGTATCACAACTCATGACCAACGATAATGACGATAATGAACGATATACAACGAATGATACGAGAACTATGGAGCCGAAATTTTTTCGATTTTTATTTTAACGCACTTCTCTCATCTCATGATAGACGAGCGATGGCGCAATATAGGGTGATATATTTTCTTCTAACAATTTACCTTTGTCCTCATTCCTTTCTAAGTAACTGATTCGTGTAGCTTGTTTTCTTTCAACATATCACATTTATAATCCCACCGGAATGAAATAGGTTTTGGTTAGTAAATTTGAGGGAAAACATGTGATTTCGCTCTACCACAGCATTGATATAGAGAAAAAATATCAGAGTCTAGGACATTCAATCAAGGATAAAAGAAAATAACTCCTTATGTTCGTTCATATCTCATGCCCGTAATTAGAAAGAAAAACCATTTGTCATAAAGCCCATCAGTCGGTTAAGCCAATATCCTACAGCAATTCGGTCTGCGATCTTGTCCCGCTCACGGCGCAGGAGGCACCATGGCGCCTGGCGCTAGGCCGCCTCGGTATTCCGAATCTTGATTTTGACCATCGATGAGTGGCTGGCGGTCAACTTCGACATATGCGGCTTCAGTTTGTTGGCGCGAAACCATCGAGAACTGGTCAACGCTCTTCTGATAATCTGTTCGCATTTGAGGGAAGTGGGTGCCTGGATGGAAGACAGTAAGAAGAATGGCAGCGATTATGCACATACTATGTTGCGGTAACTGGTTAGTTTCGTTGATCTCTTTAAGAGGATTAGGGAGGTAAATATAAGATGGAAGGCAAGAAATATGAAACGTACACTCCTTCTAGAATCACAAATGAGACTTCGTCTTGCATAATATGATTGGCCCATCCTCCGACCATCTCGGCGATTCTGCAAGGTTCTGTTAGTAAAAGCTGAGAGGGAAGTAGGAGTAAAGGGTAGCCCAAAGTCAGATAGATGCAGACATACCGATAAGTGCATCGAGCAAAGATCATGAAGAATGAAATACCCAAGCCAATGAGGAACCTTCTGAATTTTGTGTTCCCCCACACTTTCTGAGACTCGACGGTCATTCGGCGGCCACCTTCGCCAAGCAGGCGCCAGAAGAAGTGCCCTGCCAAACCACCGAAAATAATCAATGTGACGACTTGCCACACGATACCAGCAAGCATGATTTGTGCTCCCATATCTTTGTCTGATTCGGTCTCCCCACTTGATGCGAGGCCGCCACCAATACCCTGGAGCGTAAGGGATAGCACGTCGAAGCTGATAAATATCCACGTATAGAGCCATGGCTTTATGACTGATAGATGAGGCCCCAAAGCGAGACATATATGTTTTAGCGTGAGGTATATGGCGGCAGTGAAGAATGACGGTGCGATGATGAGAGTGCAGATCTGGATTTGGAAACCAATGGAGTCCCAGGGGTTTCTATTGAGCATGAGTCGGCCACCATATCCTGTTCAAGATAAATCAGTAAGATATGAGTCAGCCATCTACCGGTCCAATCGAAGATCTGGTTGAACATACCTATGGCTTCACCCAAACAGCCTACAGACATAGCAATCCCGAATGAGTATGTCTTGTATTTGATGGTCTGCCAAACGGCAACAAAAAATAGTACTCCAAAGATAATAAGGCATATCAGGTTGACTACCGGATTAGGCTGGTACCCATAGATAGTCGCCTCAACAGGGCATTGCAGAGTTATCTCTGTGCAGTCGCTAAATCTTCCCATCTCTGGCAATCTGGGTCTTTTGCGGGGAAATAGGAATTGAAATAAAAAGAAGGGAGTATACAAATAGGGCTGGCTATTTTATCTCTGTCGTTCAATTTGATACCCAGGAACTGAGGAAGTCAGAAGTGAGGACCAATGCTCTTAAATAGAGAAGGGATATATATGCCGTCGAGAAAGCCCCTGGAGCAAGAATATAAAAATAGCTCAAAATATTAGGAGATGAGGTGTTAGCGTAAACAAGGTCGACCTTGAAATCCCTAGTCATAGGATGGTTTAGACTCGTTTTATTGGTCAATCTAAGTTTTTGCTTGCTCGTCAAATGCATGACTGTTGAGATGCCCGGGCTCGTGCCGCATGTGTCCTGGCTGAATAAGTCAAACCAGTATGAATAAGCCCGCTAACAAGTAGCTCTGACGTGCCTTCATAGAGCTCCATGGAGTTTTTTGAAGGGGCAGTTTTTATCTGGACCCCTTGTCCCTCGAAGTTAATTAATCTAGGCGATGGTTCTGTTTGGTTTGCTACAAGGCCCGACATGTCTCGAAGACCTAGTTCTGGTTAGCAGGTGCATATCGTGCGGAATTTATGTCAATCATTATTCTCCATTGGCTTCTCAAGCGGGGAGCTGAGCTGCCCTCAATGGTGCTGACCTCCAATGGAGTTTTCGCTAAAAAAAGATCGAGATAAAAAAGAAAATAGTCTCACAAAATTCAAGGAGCCCCAGAAGTTCCTGAATAATTGATAATGCACCAACAAAGTCACAACCTCACACCTCGTTATAGCGAGAGCAAGGTGGGCAAGCAATAATATGTTTTAGATTAATGAAGCGAACGATTCCCTCCCCATTATCATCCACCCATTGAGATACGCAAGCTGATGTTGCACGGGGATGCGTCCATGACTGTTAGCAGCAGCAAGAAGCATCAGACACCGTTGGGAAAGCATTCAGCCACCTTGCAGGGCTGAGATGCCCGCCAACAAGCTCGGAGCTTGGGCATCCCTTGCCAAGCCATCACACCAAGGCTTGGTCGGGCTGATCAACTATCGGCCGTAAGCTCACAAATGACGCGCTTTCAAACAGCTTTTGTGAACTTGTGACGCAGCTTAAATCTGACATGGACCATGTTCAACCTGACATGTCCGTTCCGGAAAAACTTGTTCGCCGGCATTCGCTGACGTCGAGAATTAATATTGACCGGACGAATGCGGATAAGTCTCCGACCTGGAAGCGACGATATCAACACTTATCCCGTTGGCAACTTGAGTCATGCCAAGGAAATCTCGTGTCGATTTGGCGACACTCCTCATCGCGGTTTGGCGCTTCCCCGCCCACCACGATGTTCTGTCTCATTTCATCTCTCGCAAAGGTTCGAGATCTTCAGAACTGGTGGATCATGGTAGCCGGACAACCGCTGACTGTGAAACTGGCCATCGATAATAATAAATCAATTCCGAATTGCGTTTGAAAGTCTGAATTTTAGTTGAGCCCGAAAATGGAAAACGGCTCAGAACCAACGACCACCGCTGAACCTCAGCATGCGGCCCCGATTTCTGACGTCCCACTCGAAATCCGAACATCAAGATTGTTCATGAGACATTTGGTTCCCGAGTTGGATGCAAACGATATATTTGCTATCCGTTCACGGATGGATGTCATGAAGTGGAGGTAACATTGAACCGCACATTTGCTTGAGCTTATGAACCCCCTCCTCTCGCGAAAGAAATTGGCTTTTCTCCAATACCCGTATATTTCGCCGATTCCCTTCCCCATGCACTCCGATCATTATGCTTTTGTAGATAGCAAAGCACATGTTATTGCCCTTCTCTTGTCCCAGTTCGCACTCCTATCCGCTGTTGGTCTATAGAAAGCGAGTGCAATGGGTATCAACTAGAGAATAACACTCACATCCAACAGTAGCACTAGGGTCCCTGACGCCGACATCGCTGCCACCAAGGAACATCTGCTTAAGGTCAACCGACCGGACGCCCTCGGTTTAACTGTGTTCGAAGCTTCCAATTTAAGCCGGGCGATCGCGTGTATTGGCTTCTACAAAAGAAACGACGGGACCGAACTTGGATACCTCTTACATCCCGACTACTGGGGGAAAGGATATGCAACCGAAGCCGTTCGGGCCGCCATCGACGTATGGTGGGGATTTGCTGCCACAGTTCACCCAGAGAATAACAGTGATCCACTGTCAAAGCCTAAGAATGACTTGGTCCTGCATGCCGTTACCGACGCTTTAAATGGGGCCAGCAATCGGGTTTTAATGAAATGTGGATTTAAACAGGTCGACAAGCGTGTGGATGAACTTGGACCCTGCATCATGTGGGAGTTGCATAAAGAAGCCAAACTGATTGGTTGACACCCTTAGTTGATGGCGCATAACTGTGAACAAATCCGAAGGAAAGATGAATTCATGTACATGTACACGTACATGTACATTCCTTTCGGTGTCACACGTATTCCTGGTTTGCCCGACTGTTATGTAATTTGTTTGATTTTGCAAGCAGGTAGCTGTTCGTCGTAGCGCATTTGCAAAAAACCATGATCCCTAAGTATTAAACTTGCCAAAATCTTTATTTGTTTCTTTCCCCCCTAGTTGTCCAAGATCAAAATAGTCTATTTAGCCTGGAGGGCGGTTTGTTCTCAAATTGGCGTGGGGCGGAGGTAGTCCACGTTCCAGTGATCAGAAGTGCGATTCCAGTATAGACCAGGCCACAAGGATGCGATAAATGGTGGTAGACCACCAGTTATGATGGAGTGTTGACTGGGGAATTATTATATCAACAAGGAGATGGGCGTTGATACGTATAATTGATGGAAGTTGTCGAAGTTGAGAACTGCCTGTTTGAGAAACTTCGGACGATTTTCCTAAGGCCGCGTCACGCTAACCCAAACTAGATAAACGGTATCGGGCACTCCAAATTCCCGCTCGGAGTTTCAACTGCCATCATTTATTACTCCCGCAGCTTTTGTATTAATCCCCAATTGGCTCCAATAACAACCACAATTTCAAGAAGAGCCGACAAGACCGAACCCGATGTGAACAAAACTACACTTCATTCCTCTACATGGCTTCTTATATTCCTAGCTTCTCACCATCGCCAGGAACGGCGCCATCACCGCTATCAAAAATGTCGTCCACCGCCAGCCAACCCAATGAAACTACCCAGTCCCAATCACAAACACCACCAGCACTGACACTTCAACCCTCCAAAAAATCCCGCATCCCAAACTCTACAAAGCTCCTCGTCGGCGGCACGGCCTTCCTCATCCTCTCCTCCATCATAACCCGCCGCGCCCTGCTCCGCAAGCGCATGAGCTCACTCCCGCCTACGTACACCAGTGCTCCCTTCCACCAACCGCCTGTTAACGGAGCCCTCGAGGCCCTCGAAGCACTCAACATCGCAACGATAAATGTCGCCAGCGTAGCAATGATTGGCGTCGGGGCGGGAATGTACGCGTTTGACATTAATACCATGGAAGACTTGAGGCGGAAGGTGAGGGGCGGGTTGGGAATAGATGGGACGGGACGGTCGGAGCAGGATGTCGAGGAGGAGTTGGAGGAATGGGTTGTTAGTGTGATGAATCGGAAGACGGAGAAGGAGAAGAGAGGGAGTGCGGTGGAGCGGGAATATGTCAATGAGAGGGGGAAGGAGAGGTAGGGATAGGGTTGGGATATTTTGCATGTGTTGGGATGAGAGGGAAGCCGGTGGAGGATATATTGGGGGAATGAATTGGAGGGCATATATAACTCGCCACGCCATGTTGCGAATGCGAGTGATCTTGAGAAGAGGACAATTAGGTATATTTCGGTTCTCCCGGGACGTTGAAAGGGGTTCTTATAATCACCACGATTTAGAGCGTGCGGCGCACGACCTTGGAATCATGTCATGTAAACATGACATTCTCTTGTTCCGTTGGATTACGTCCCGAAAAATCTACTGTATCATAGCGCTTTTAAAGAATTTTGGACGAGAGGACAGATTAAAATGGATATAAGATATTTCAGGAAAACTTAACCCATAAAAGCTACGCCGTACAAATGGCATAACAAATGTCATAAATGAAATACCGCATCCCAATGAGGTAGGCAAACACACAGAACTGAAAAATAAAAGCTAGCTGTTGGGTAGTAGTACAGGGTAAAAAGGATACATATCACGATACTATCAACCTACTCCTCCTTCGACATTCGCTCGTATCGCTCACGTGCAGTTTCCTTTGTCTTCTCGAGGAACTCATCATACCTACCCCTCGTATTCCTTCCGGCTTCCTGAACGGCATCGCCAACTTTGCCTCCCTGAGCACCCAACCCAACGCCTTGCACATACAGATCAGTAGCGATTGGGGCTGTCATCCCTGAGCCTTCCGCGCCGAGTCCAGAACCAGCAGACCAGCCCATTTTGCCGAGAAGAGCTGCGCCTTTCGAAATGAGAGGAACCTGTGGTGCTTCCTCAATTTCCTTTTCCACTTTCTTCTCCTTCGCTTTTACCGATGGCCCGAAAGCCTGACGACGTTCTTTGGCCCGGTCACGATATTCTGAAGAAGGATGATGTTCGGCCTGGTCCCGTTTCTTCGCCAATTTCGCCAAGGCTTTGGTCTTAAGACCTTCATTTTGCATGTTCTCACCGTGAAGCTGACTGAGTCTCTCGTGCTTGTTCACTTCCGCTTCCGTTTTAAATTGGCGCATGCACAGATAACAGCATTTACGGTTAAGATCGACGTAGGACTGTGTTGGTGCAGGTGACCCAGAAGATGAGCCACCTTCGCTGCCACCCTGTTTTTGGTCGCTGCCCGAGCCTCCGTCCTTTGGTTCATCTCGCTGAATACCATGCAGCTCAGCGTGACGGTTGCTCCAAAACTGCAAGTGGCTAGGAACAGCAATCTTCTTTGTGCTGAGGGATCCTCCGGCATCCGCCTTTCTCTTCTTTACCTTTTCAACCTCCTTGCTAGTCTTGGGGTTCTTGTCAGCCACGGTGGATTTTGTCGCTCGGGGTTTGGAACGGTTCTTATCCAGATCTTCTGTCGACACCGTCAACTCAGTTGCATAAGCAGTCTCGTCCCAGTATGCTAATTTCATGGAAGGGTTTCCAAGTGGACTGAAAGTGAATCGATCAGTGCTGGCTGTAGGGTTTATGACGGGAACGAAGACCCCGGCGTGGATATAACTAGCTAGAACAGGTTTCGACGAAATTGTGAATGTTTCGAAGGAGTTATATCGAGCCAGTGCGGCTTGAGCATCCTACAGGCGCGTTAATTAATATGGAATCAATAAAATGGATTTAAACTAGAAGCAAGCTGTACTTACTTCTACGGTTGCAAACTCCGCAAAGCCGTACTTCCAACTTTCGTTACTTCGACGATCTCGTATGAGCAATACGCGCCGTATTGAGCCTTCTCGTGCCCCGAGATTGGCATCTCCTGTCGTAGACGCAACCTTGGCGCCCTTTTTGGCGGCGGTGGCTGCACCATGTCCCTCTGAACCCGGCGTTGGCTTATAAAGTTTTGCTACCCCTTTGGCAAGAAGTTCCTCTGTAACCGACGCCTCTAGGCCTCGAAGAAGAATAAATTGGGATGGTGTCCCGTCGGGAGCTACATCGTTGTCACCGTGATTCGCAACGCGTGGAGGGTTGGCTATCCCAGGAGGAAGTTGAACAAAATCTTCGCTAGTCAGCTTTAGAGCTCGTGAAGCTAGACATCCCAAAGTACATACCGGCTCGAACTGCTTGGCATCTGAAACAGCGCTGTCGGGTTGCGTAATTGACTATGGAACACTAAAATAAGTGCTCGTTAGTTAAAGTCACCCAGTAGGAAGCGAATCTAATGACTCACGATCTTGCATGTCCACTCTCCTTCAGCTTTGATTCGATTACGGTCTTCCCTTTCTCGACTATAAGCTATTCTAACCCTCGTACCACGCTCATCAGTATGTGATCCGCTGTCCCCATAGAGATATATGGTAGGAAAATTGCGTTCCAGGAATTCACGAGATTCATCTATTGTAGGGAACCGAAGAAAGCCCAGCTGGCGGGATATCTCTACACAGAAGGATCAGTATTGTTCACAACAAAATGTGGGAAATTAAATTAGACGTACTCGTTTGACGATCGCGGATGACACGAACATCCTCCAACGTCCCGACATGGTAATATTGGGTGAGTTCATTCAAAATCTGTTACAAGAAAGAATCGACCGGAATTATGACCGGCGACAAACACATCTCAGCATACTGTCTTCCAAGAAAAGATGACGAAAACGTAGTGCAGCCTCTCATATCAATGGGGATTCAGATTGCTGTGCATTATAGTGGGGAAAGGGAGGAATGGTCGAACGTCGTCTTCATTCATGTCCACTGGTAGGCCTTCCATCATGATCTCACGACTTTCCTGGCCGTAGTAAGGACGTCGGCGGCCGCGTTGGCTGCGGCTTCTGGATCCACTACGACTTCTGCTGTGGCTTCTGCTGCGACTGTCATATCCAGGGGAGCGATATCCCTCCCGGTCACGGTCCCTATATGACGACCTTCCACGGTGTCGTGGAGGGGACCAAGTGGGGCGCCGGTAGTCGTCTCGCTCCCTAGATCGGTAATCCCTAGAAGTTGAGATTTCGCCATCCCCGCCGGGATGCATCCTATCCGCCGCTGGACCACGAGGAGTCCGAGAAGTGTCTTCAAGTAGGAAACAGAAATGAAGAAATCAGCACAAGCTCAAAACGAGAGATGTATCCATTTATTCGCCCTAGTGCGCGAAGTTGATTTTACCATGCGGAGGAGAGCGTGTACCGCCTGGTGAGCCGTATCTACGGTCCCTGGATCGTGAGACAGGGTGTGGAGGAGAGTAGGAGCGGGAGCGGGAGCGGGAGCGGGAGGTTCTATCATCATACATGCGTCCGTTCAAGTCGTTGCGGCGAGGTGGCGGATTGGTCGGGTTCCCGCGGTACCCTCTATCTCTAGGGCTATATGAAGCCATATTGTGATCTCATGGACAAAACAAGATTGAGGTGGATATTGGAGGCAAAAGACAAGAGTTTAGAGGGTGTTGGGAAAGCTCTGGGTGTGGTGTTGGAATGGCTGCGCCGCCCGTCGGAAAAGGCAACTCTTTGGTTTAGTCAGGGGATTGGTCAGGTGATAGTTAGCTATTTAACACTAACCAAGATTGGAACATATCTATCCTGCCTAACAGCGGATGTGCCCCGAAACATCGCAGCTTCGATGACAACTATGCAGAGGGGTTCGGGGGCAGATGGTTGGCCTGACGGATGTTCCACTTGTGGTTCATCATAAATGGCGCCTCATTTCGTTCCATCTCCGTCTTTATCTGCTAGCGAGTGCAAATGACTGGCTTCGAATACTACCGTACAACAATGTCTTTTTCAGGGTGGCGAGAAAACAGCTTCGGGATCACCGATGTTCCAAGTTTGGGGATACAGCTCCTTCCATGGTATTAATGCAACGAGATTTGTTCCCTGGAGCCGGAAAGCGGGGCGAAATGTATCAAGAATCTAGCGGGTGGTTTGGAAATGTATTTGGTCTAGATGGAGCTCTGGGTAAGATCATCCACTGTCTTTCAATACTGGATACAAACAACTTGAACCTGTTTACGTGGTTTATATGCAATTTTGAAAGCCGTCTTCGTATCTGGGCTCATTATGAGGATGTTATTTGACGATATGAGCTATGGTGGTTTGTCAAATTCTCCGACTTCTCTAGGAAACGGAACCCAGTGGTTGCAGGGCGCTACTGAGAGATATTGAATATCTTACAAATATCAGGAGTTCATTATCGTAGGGGATTGCACTCTGTCTTATGGTATAGGGATCAAGGAGGCCATGCTGGTTGACTTGAACTCTCAGAATTGAAGGATCAGAGAACAGAGACGCAGCCCAAGGTTATCAAACAGAAGAGAATAGCAATACATGAGGGCGGATTGAAATTGATATTCCCCAAAAAAATTTGCTGGAATCACAGCTAGGACCATGATAAAATGCATTTCTGGAGGGCAATAATGAAGATTATACGAGATCGACTGTCGGTTGGTGGGGGGTGTTTTACCATTATTACACTTATTAATGTACTCCGTATATATCGCTATGAGCGAGCCAATACGAGCAATTGGCGACGTTATCTCGGTTGGCATTGTCGTGGAGTGGCTTGCAATATAGTTAGAAGCTCCATTTAGGGTAGAAACTAGGATGTGGGTTCCGTCTCAACTCCGCCGTCACAGATATGGAGTAATAAGAAAATAAGTTGACCTGCATAGCTAGACTAAAATCTAATATGATAACTACTAATCGTAGTACGGAGTACTCCGTAGACTAACAGAGAATACAGCCATTGAACCATCTTCCAGAGCCCCTCCGCCATCCACATTGACAACAGCTTAACCAAATCTAGCCTGATCGAGTTGGGGTTTATTGCCCAACAGGTCGTCGATCTCGGCCATTATCTCCGGAGTGAGCTTGGGAAGCACCTTCAAGCTCCCGACGTTCTCGACGACCTGCTCCGGTCTCGAGGCGCCCGTGATGACAGAACTCACGTGTTCATTCTTCAAGCACCAGGCAAGGGCAAGCGCAGATAGTTTGCATCCAAGTCGATCGGCGATTGGCTTTTCATATACGGTCAGATATCTTCTATGAAGTACCCATTGCCCGTAAAAGGTAGAGAGGGACTGAAAATAGGGAAGTAATAATTTCTTAAGATTATAGTCAAGAACGTACCTTGAGCTTGGCCACTTTCTGGATGTCCGCGTTCCAGGCCTCGTTCCCGTATCCCTTTCTGACAGACGAGGTATACTTATCCTGGCTGACCGCAATCCGTGAATCCTTGGGAGGTTCTGCCGCCGCTTCATTGTATTTTCCCGTCAAAATGCCCCCCTTCAGCGGCGAGAAAACGGTCAATCCAACTCCACACCGGGACAACACTCGCTGGTATTCAGACTCGACTTTTTGCCGGTCGATCATGTTGTAAAGTGGCTGTTCAACAATCGGCCCGATTAATCCGAGCGATTTGGCAACTCCAGTCGCTTCAGCAATCTCGTCCGCTGACCACATTGACGTTCCCCAGTAGAATGCCAGCCCTTTGTTAATGAGGTAGTTGAAAGCCCGAACTACCTCTTCCATGGGGGTAAGCCTATCAGGACGATGGGCATAGATAATGTCGACATAGTCCAGCTCCAAACGTTTGAGGGAAGCCAATGTTCCCTCGATAATATGCTTTCGAGACAGTCCACAGTTGTTGATCTCTAAGTCCCCATGGGCGGTGCCAAAATTGACCTTGAACTCATCAGTTAGCAGATGGCTCTATGTATGAGAGTGTAGAGTAGTAGTAGTTCGTGGGCAATTTAGAACCTTTGTGCTGATGACCAGATCGTTGCGTTTCCATTTAAACTCCTTAATGGCCCGGCCCATAGCAATTTCGGATTTGCCAGCAGCATAGCTGAGGGGAAAGAATCAATGACCCGTACCTCTGTATCAGAAATTTACCGCGAACATTAGAACAATTACCTCTCAGCCGTGTCAAAGAAGTTGATACCTAGGTCATAGGCCTGCTTCATGCACTTCATTGTTCCCTCTGGAAAAAACAGGTATGCATTAGCTATCTTGAAACCCATTCTAGTGTAATCGCCCCTTGTTGCTCTCTAACATGAAATAATCAATGAATCCATGAAGCGTGTTTTACCTTCATCTACATGCCCGCCATAGCTGTATTTTCCGTCAGTATAAATGTCTATTCAAAGCCGTGATTTAGGCGAACATACGTGAGCCATCCTCCCAACGATATCACAGAGACATGAAGTCCTGAATTGCCTACTCTGCGGTAGAGCATTTCACTTTTCTTGCTTTGCTCCGCCATGGTATTCTGTAATCGCGGTTGCGGTAATTTGTATCAACCAATTAGGAAAATGCGCCGTTCAAGTGCTGTCAAGCAAGGTCTTCCTGCTTCCAAGTTTTGGTCTGGCGGGGTATAAGGCAACTTAAATGGTCATAGAGCGGTCCCTAAGGAGGATAGGACCCAGAACATGGAGACCAATCAGCGAGTGTTTTTTTCAACGCTGTTCTAAGCTAATTCATGGAAGCATTTCCCGAGCTTGGAATTCTAGAGAACTGGTCAACCATGGATTTAAAACCGCAGGCCGTTTATGCAGGAATTCTTCCCGGGTGAACGGGGCCAATAATTGCTTTTTAAATAGCAATGGCTCTTGTCCAAACTTGATCGTTCAATTGTGGGGGCTCAACCCAATGTTTGTACTTGAGCTTCGCTAGTGTACATGGTTGGGCGGTTACACCTTTTTAACAAATAAGAAGTGTATAACGGGGGAAGTAATATGAAATATAATACAGCAAGGAAAATAAGTCTTAATGCATGCCCAATCCTCGGATACCAACTCCATAACCAAGTAGTGTAGAGAGGAGGTGTACATTTTTGGGGGTGTGGTGCCCTCCGGTGTTAAGAGCACTATGCTCCCAAAACGCGAAGGTCAATAAGGAAGAAAAAGGGAGTGATATGAAGAGCGGAGACTTGAATCAAAGTCTTTTACTTATTCATCACAAAACTATTCCTCCTCAGTGTTGATGGGCTTGCCTTCCCTCTTCCAGTCATTGATATGGGCTAGAATGGTAGCAGCAGCAGTTTCAGCAGTATCTTGACGGCCGATACATTCAACAAAGTCTCCCTCCGGATCTACAGAAGGTTGAAAGTTAGTCATATTTAATCCCTAGCAGACTAAAGTATGCGCCCGGGGATAAAAGTTTGGGGTATATCAATGGGGGTACTTGACATACCCATTAGGTAGAAATAAATGCTGTGGTCAACGAGATAGTCCTCTCCCGGTGTTATATTCCGCGGTGTACTGAAATACACGCGGTACTGCTTGCACACATTCTTCACCTGCTCATACGTGCCTGTCAATCCAATAATCCCCTTATGGAATTCCGCTAGATACTTGCGCAACACATCGGCGCTGTCGCGGGCTGGATCGCAGGTAATGAAAACGGGGCGCAAAACGGTTTTGTTGTTTGATTTGGCTTTCACAATATCGATTATCTCGGCCATTTTGTCGAGTTCGTCTGGGCAAATATCAGGACAATGAGTGAAGCCGAAATAAACCTAGGATGATGCTGAATGTAAGAAATTTAATTCTAATGAAAAAGCCTATATCCTCTCAAAATGACTAAATAAAAACGAATGAAATGGGAAATAGACATGGAAGACCCACGAAGCTATATTTTCCTTTTAAATTTTCTTCTGTGAATTCGTTGCCATCCAAATCCTTCAGGACGAAGGGTCCGCCAACTTTTGGCTTGCCAACGCCCTTACTCATCTCGGCGATTCTCTTTCGCTCAAGCCGCGCTTTCTCATAGCGAAAGTAAAATATCATTCCCACGCCTGTTACGACGAACAATGCGGCGGCCTTCCATGAGAATGGCCCGGTTGAAGCGCGAGCCTTTAATTGCTGAATGGTTTTGGATTTCGGGCGGGGTGAGGTTGTGGAGAAAGAAGCAGTTTGAGGATTCGACCGAATCAATAGTAAAAATGAAGGTGATCTAATCCGAGTACCGGGAGCTTGTAGTGACCTCCGACTCGACGAGTATGATCTGCTTGCGATGCGCTGAGAGATTGGGAGGGCTGATGGTGCTGCTCCCCACGGAGTAGGGGATTGGAAAGCAGCATGTTTCATCCAACGGGAGATAAATGAAGTGCGACTGGAAGCCATGTTGACGTTTATTTTCTTTTGCTCCCAATTAAACAGTTAAAATGAGAGGATCAACAGATCTTGTTCAGCAATTGGATATTTATTTACTGGCGAGTTGCTCCATTCCAATATTTTATCACATGATCAACTGCTGATTAATCTGTCTTCGTTACGTTACTCCGCGTAGTTATTATTATTATTATTTACTCGTTCCTTATGTGCTTGTCCACTTTATTGAAAGAATTATTACTATACTTTTACCTACGCGACTGGAATGGAGATTGCGATTAACCACGGATCCGCCCTTTCAATATCAATCACCAGTCCTTGTACTGTACTGTACTCCCGTACATGCTCCTAGAGGCTTTATTTATCCCAATTACTCCGACCATCAACGGGGACATCTGGTCACATTGAGATATTAGAACTCCAAGGCTCTCATCCAACGCCCTGCTTGCCAGATGGGGGCCGCCGGAAAGCTGCGGCATCTGAAAAGAGCCAGAACAAGTTTTTTTTTTTTTTTTTTTTTTTTTTTTTCCTCGTCCGACTCCTGAGAAATCAGGCCCTACCTAGGTATCCATAACTGATAGATATATAGCCTTCCTAGCATTTATGATTAGAGTTTACAATAATTCTTCCAATCTCGTGGTTAGTACACTTATTATTGAATTACAAAACGGCAGTTGCTGGATCAAATGCCTCCAAATCTAAAACTCAAAATCAGAGTCAAAAATATATAGAACAGGCGGATTTGGGATACTGATGGCATTCCGCTATTCTTATTCAGCTTAAGCTTTCCGATCCTTTCTACATGAATACCCGAGTCCGTCAGATGCATACGTGTATTCCTTCCGCTGCAACCTTGCTTCTGAACAATGTTCTAGTCCATCTCTTACTTCAATTCAAGAAGTGGCCCTATATCTATTTTCGTTCCCCAAACTTGTCCATAACTGACAGTCAGAGACTAGTTACATGATGTCATAAAGTTTCTTTTCACACCACACAAGACTCAAGAATCGATACAAAATAGGCAGGAATTTTCAACCGCGCAACTCTACGAAATAATTATCTGCTTCGCGGTGAAGTTGACAAACGTTCGGAAACCAAGGGCCTCTCCTCACTACGTGTCCGGAATATCTGTGCGTTTTCTAGCAAAGTGAACGATGGAGAAGCATTCCCTAAAGGATTACTACGTAAAAGCATCCGAAGCGCTAACAAGGCGTGTCGGGAAGCTATCACGGGGCATCAAACGCAGTAGGAGAAAGGAGACGGTTCAAGTTTCCTATCAAGACGGTCTACCGCCATTTTTCAACTTAAGTGACGATGTCATTTATTATCTTATTAAGGCAATCCCTCCCGCGGATGGAGCAGCACTCGCTGTGACATGCAAAGCCATATGGTTCATAATCGGCGGGTCCCCCGGTGTTCGGAAGCTCATTGAAAACAAGAAAGATCGCGTTAGCCTCCTCGCGAGGCTGGAGATCTTCTTTCCTCAACATGTTCTCTGTCATCAATGCGCGGTTTTCCATCGCCGTCAGAAACTAAACCGTCATATATCATTCCAGCCAAGACCTTGTGATGAGGTGAACAGACCTATAAAGTTTTGGGACTGTTTTTACCATCTCCCGTTCTCCCTGGCTAAAGAGGTTATGAATCGTCACCGATACGGGAAGGACTATGGATGCCCGATATCCGAGATTGGTTGTTGTGCGGGAGAACTTGGATGCCCTGAACATTTCAGATTTCGGCGTTTATTTGGTAGCGCCAAGATCGTCAATGGCAATCTAGTTCTGCAAACAGACCAGTATGCAGTGTTATGTGGTAAAGAAGGGCCAGTTTTGCCATCTGCGAATTTTTTCCACTCTCGGAATGGCACGTTTCCAACGCTCCTTTTCTCCAAAATCAGGGGGAAGAGGGAATGTACATTCATGCGATGCCCGGACTGCTCTTCTGAATTTCGATTGCTTGTTGACAGGGTAGAAGGGAAGAATCTAGTTAGGCAAAGGATCACGACTTGGATAAACGCCGGAGCTTGCGAAACACCGTATGATCCTCAGTGGATATCGGCGGCGGGCTGTCAGTGTGCAGGTGTTCGAGATTGTCACCGTATCACACCAGAGGATTCCTTATATCTTAGCCACTATAACGAGAGACCGCCTTCTGACCAGAAACGGGGCTTTTTAAACTTATCGTGGAGGGATTTTAGGCCTGACCCTTTTCTATTTGGAATTTCATTCTAGTTACACAACAGAAGAGGGGAGGGATGGAGGGGATCGCTGCCTGCTATCACCAGGATACAAGGGAAAAAAAATTAAAATCAAAATTCAAAGAAGTCTCGAACAGCCACACTGGCACAAACAAAGCGGGAAACAAAAAGTGAAATGCAAGTATGCCTGTTCAATCCAACAATAATAGCACAATAAGGAGCAAAAGCCGACACTATCTCCATGTTGGCTGGGAAAAGCCTGCCCTTTTTCAGGAGAATGATTAAAGAGCCAACACTCGTTTATTTCACGGAGGCCAGGACCCTTCAGGGAACCCCAGCTCAGAGGGACCATCGTTCCAATCCCGAACAGGCCCCTTGCTGCTAGCAAATTAACTCAAAAGTGACCCCCCTGAACTACTCTCCATCACCACAAGTCACCACTGCGCGACCCGAGACTCCACTCACTACGCCAATTTTCCGAAAATTAATCTTAATAAATGGGATGGAAAGGGCTATATGAACGGCTCAAGGGCATATCTGCATATAAACTTCTTATATGCATGTAAATATGTTTTAATAACTTATTAAATAATATACTCGCACAACTAATATCTAATATTAAGGAGATTGTTTTGAAAAAGTATCCGCCAGCATGGCAATATGCATCATCATATAACGATAAATTCTATCTCCCATCCATCCCTCACAAGTGATCAGAAAAAAGGGGAAATCGAGAAATCCTTTTGTCTTTTATTTTTAACCCTTTGATAATGAGGAGGATGGGGGCGGGAAAATGACATTATATGCACTAAGGTGGGTATCGAAATCGAGAAAGGAAATTGATTAAATGAATATCAAGATATCAGAACATGCCAGCCATGTAAAAAGGATTGTACTCATAACAGAATACAAGGGTGGAAAAGCGTTAAAGAGGAAGAAAAATTAACAAAAGCAAAAAATCAATACAAGGAATAAGCATGAATGAGGAACAAAAGAAGTGGGGAGACTCATCACACGAAAGGGAAAAGTAAAGGAAGATATCAATCAAATCAAACAGACGCTCACGCAAACTTGATTCAGATCTATAATCATGCGGATACCAGTCAAACAAGGTGGTAATGACGGGTTAAGGAGTAAAGCAACTGACAGTTTTACAGAAGCCGAGGAGGGAGGGACAGCCAGCATATGCCAGGTTCCGGTAGGATATGCGAAGATTCTAACATGCCGAGAAGGACAATGGAATGAAGGCTGGGAGTTTGGAACTTGGTGGTGGGAACTGTCGAATACAGCCAAATGCATTTTCATCACATCAACTAACCACCACCCCCTTCATGCCATTTTTAAAGGAAGTTTAACCGCGCCCCAAAAATAGCCAAAAAAGAAAAGAAAAAGAAAAAAAAGAAAAGAAGAAAAAAAGAGAGAGAGAGCATGACCAAAAGTACACCCAAAACAAGAACTTGGGGAGGTGTTCGCTCGTTTATTATTCGTTTCATCTATTTGCTTTAATGCATGCCACGACTTGCCTGGCTCGCACGGCTCGGGCTTGTTCGACTTCTCTCATCTTCTTCTAAAACGTCACTGAGCCGTGTGGGGTGTCGATGTCGCGGCGTCACAGAATCCCACGTAGGTGCACCCCCCCAACCAGATCCGCTATAGTCGACGTTAGAGCCATACCCAGCACCTTGAATATCTTCAGGTGAACTACCAGGTGGTCCGCCGCCGTACTCAATGCCACCCACTCCCTCGTATCGCTGGCTGAATTCGCCTTCGGGCATGTGTTCCATATTCTCATAATCATCGCTGTCGTCCGAGATGGTGCGGGGATATACGATCCGACGATCCCGGTCTTGTGTGTTCCGCCTGTATGCCGCCTCCGGGTGGTCATACTCCTCCGATCCAAGGTCGCTGCCGCCTGGCTCGCTAGTTGGTATGTATGCGCGCTCATCGGCCCCTGTGACCTTGGGCTCGCTGCCGTGGAGAGCGGAAGGTTCATGCTGGTAGAATCGCCCGTGTGAGTCCTCAGCATGGTGGGATTGACTATATGGGCTAGAGGTTGCAGCAGCCTGAGTTTGGGTAGTAGCCGTTCGTGCAGCAGACATGGCGGCAGTAAATGTTGGCGGTTGTCTTGAAGGTGAGCTTCCAACGTCATGATGTGACGGGCGGCCGGATTCACGGGTGGTTTCGACAAAGGGATCAGTGGCTGTTGGAGACGAGACTTGGCTGTCGTATGCATCATGTTCAGTTGGCTCAGGGACGTCTTGTCTAGTTTGCCCGCCCATTGTTGTGGGACCAGGGCCACCAGGGTAAGGACCTTCTCTTGTTGGTGGACGATTTGTACTAGTCTGTCTGCTAAGAGCGGATTGCATCATGGGGACTACTTGCACACCGCCAACTATAGTTGGCTCACCGTTTCTTAAAGATACCGTGCGGTCGCGTTCTTCCTGTTCTCTTCTGCCAAGTTCCTCCCAAGCACGCCTCGCTTCATCTTTCGATATCTGTAATTCACGACGCATTTCCCGAACTAGCTCCTCCGCCTTTAACTTGTCGCTTTCGGCTTTCGCAATTGAATTTGCTGCCTCCGCGCGAGCCTGCCGTTCAGTTCTTAATAGTCTCTCCAGCTCCGCCTGGACCTCCTGGGCGCGTTCCTGTTCGGCACGTGTGTCGAAAAACCAGCGTTGGAATTTCCGTTCCGAGGACGCCCGCAAGCGTTGCAACTCAACCACTGCATGGAACAAATTTGCACCAGCCGCGGAAAGATCAGTGATTTGCCTTGACATCTGCTGGCTGAGAGGGTCACGGCTTAGTTCCTCGTTGTTTTGGTCCAACCGGCGTATCCAGTATCCCGTCAACCCTTCCCAATGTGAGGAAAGCGTCTCCCAACGTTCAAAGGCATGAGGAAATGCAGCCCTGGGTCTACTTTGCTGTTGTTGAGTCTGTGATTGAGTCTGTTGGCTGGATTGATGGGGAGGTTCGGTTTGTTGTGTCTGGGAGGTTCTAGGCTCTTCGAATGGTGGAGGAGCGGCTTGCGCAGGCATAGTTTGGGGTCTTGCCTGTGATGACGAAGTACCCGGCTGCGCAAATGCTCCTGTTGTAGTTCGGGCAGATGGTTGGGACAATGCAGGAGCAGGTCTCTGGTGATGTTGCGGAATTGACGCCCCTCGCTGTCGGGAAGTTTGAGGCTGCTGAGCTCCATCACCGGGAATACGTGACTCGGGAGGGACGGCGTGTTGTCGTGTACTTGAAGATGGCACAACGGGCTGCAGACCGGATGTCGTACTAGCTGGAGCAGCAGATGCCTGTATTCGTGAAGTGCTCCCACCGCTCACTCGGTCACGCCTCGAGCTTTGATCTTGCGGGGCGACTCCTCCCCCTTGTCTTCGTTGACCCGAAGGTTCGCCGGCAGCGCCAGCAGCTGGCAAATGTCGCCCCGGCTGGGGGAACTGCTGAATTTGCTGTTGTTGCAGCTCCTGCTGGTGCTGCAATCGCCATTCTGTTTCCTGCTTGTCTCTCTCCCTTGCCTCCTGCTCTGCTTTCTTGCGCGCTTCACGGTCACGACGTTGTCTCATAATATCAGTCGGGGTTCTAACTCCACTAGGAGGATTCGACTGGCCGGCAATGGGTCCTGGAGCGGGTCGCGAGGTTCCATTTTGGGGCCGGCCATTGCCCGTAGATCCGGAGGGCACGGTTCCACCAACGAGCTCTGACATTGAGGCGTTAAGCTCGCTCAGGTCTGGGGTAAAAATGAAGGGCTGGCGAATAGCCTCTTCCAATACCCAGAGGATAGCAGACGCAGTGTTTGATGAAATACGATTGGTTCGTCGGGGCCAGAATGATTCACCAGTTTGTTGCAGCGAGCTCTGGTAGGTTGTGTGACCTCCCCCAGTCTGTGCTTCTAGGGGTGGATTCTGGAGTGCGCTAGCACGATCGATTGCTAGATCCGGCTCGACAGTTGCTAGTTGCGTCGCGAACCTAGCAATTGATGGTCGACGAGGGCCTAGGGCAGGAGAAGCGCTGCGTATATTTTCAAGGCCAGAGCACCTCCGCAGCAAGCGGGTACGACCTAAGGAGGTAGGTGAAGCAGATCGAGAAGGAGATCGCGAGGGTAATTCAGAATGATGAGGGTTTATCTGGGCAGGGCGCAGCTGCTGGCGCTGCCGTGCGGATGGGGACGTTAACGTAGGCTGGTCGTAAACTTCGTAGGGCTCGTCAAAGGGTTGTGGAGGTGCTGGAGACAGGGCTAAACGGGGGTTTGAATGTGCCGGGGCGGACAACGCGAAGTTATGAGAGCACAATTGAGGCTATTATCCTTCCCCAGAACAGGTGTGGAACTTCTTAGTAACCTGTCCAACAGTAATTAATAGCCCAGGAGAGGTTTGGAGGGAATTGAGACGTCCAGGATGAGCTGGCAAGCTGGCAAACTTAGCCGCACAGCAGTAATTTTTCAACAAACAAGCAAGCAAACCAAAATGTATGAATAAAAATCACTAGAGACAAGTAAATTAAAAGAGCCAGAAAAGCAGCCAAAGCCCAGAACGACAATTGTCGAGAGACAATGGTGGTGTTGTTGTTGTTGTGTTGGAGCCGAATGCGGTGGCTGGTCAAATGAGCTTGCAGCGCGGATTTAATTCAGATGGCTGGTGGAGGAGAGACAGCCAGCACCAGAAGCTCGTTGGACGACCGAGACAGCATCGTTCAGGGCCATACACAGCTCAATTGGGTCAACGCCGCAACATGATTAGAACACGCACTGGCGGGACAGGCAGCGCGTGGGAGGTGTGGTGTTCAGGGAATTGTTTTGTGTGTGAGAACGAGGCGACGTGCGATGGAGAAGTTGAGGCTGATTGCTCGCCGGATTGGGAAATGCGGCGGATTGCTTTTTCTTTTGACTCTCACACACCGAAACAACTTCTGCAACAACTTCAACTGTCTACTAAAAGATCAATTGTGCGCCAGCCCAACAAAGTGCCTATGTCCCCGGTTACTGCGAACAACCAGAGATAGATATTCCTCAATATCTCCGTGCCTCCGGCCTTGTTGCAGAATGTTTGACAGTGACGAATGTCAATAAACGGACTGAACTTCCAGATCAGCTCCCCTCTCACTGGATTATTTCGTCGTTGACTCCCTTCCCTCGCTCTGCCGGCTTCTCTCTCCTACTTCAGAGATGGTCTTTTCGATACTGGGCAGGGACTGGGAGAGCGAACATGATACTTGTTCGCAAGCTGCAGCACTCTAGTAGCAAACTTGGGCACAAGAATCTGCCCCAGAGGAACACAGAACCCAATAACGCCAGATGGGGCGTGGTTTACATATGGGATCCAACAGATTTGCGCTGGTCAGGATATTGGGAGTCGGAGTCAATTTCAACTTCCTGCCCTACGACACACCCATGGTGGGATTATTTTAGTCTCCACACGTACAATCTGCCGTCAGCGCAAAAACCATCCATATTTAGGTCATTTTGAATACTGCCGAGGAACAGTATCAAAGAGCAGGCATGTCGTACTACGCTCATGACTACGCTCATGAGTGCCCTAGGCCGCCAACAGGACTCCTTGAAACTGGCGCTGGACCAGGTTAACTTAGCCTCTGATGACCATCCTATCCACATTCAGAAACATCCCTGTCTGGACATCTCACGCCCCTCAAATTGTTCATGCCCTTGTGCCAACGAATCCATATTAGGCCATGAAGATGACAGCTCCCATTGTTGAAAGTCTGGCGCTCTCTAAATGCTCGCCTGGCGGGCCCTTCTTTATGACCCAATCTCGGATGCTGCAATTACGTTTATCATGGAAAGCGAACTATGCCTAAAAGCGAAACGCCTACCCATGGTTCAAACCAACGATCAAGTTTACACGTCGCACTTTCAGCTCAGACTGGACCACCTACCATCTTAACTACTATTTATACAGAGTCGAATGTTGACGTCCATATACTGATTTGGATTCGGATTTTTTACCCTGGACTTGAATGCCGCTATTCTAGACATCGCTTCCTACATGCAAGGGCAAGTTGAATTGAAAACACCATGGTTCATTGATTGATTCTCAGTCTACTGCTTGCATTGAAAATATAAATTACGAGGTTTTATTGCCCTACCTACTGTTCATCTTGCTTATTTTAGTTGGCTGCCTTTACAGCATCATGCCCAATGTATAGTATTATGCGTCGATTTTACTTCACCACTCGTTGCAGTCAAAAGATCGATCTAATTACTCGACCTGAAGAACCACTTTCGGATGCCACATCTGACTTGAAATATCTCGTGTCCTTCTCCTCCTACATCCCAGACGAACCCCATGTATCCAACTTCATCCACCGGGCCTCACGAGTTGATGAGTCGAAGTTACATGATGGGGGAACCTATGCGCCTAGGAGTTCGCCACTCGATATTGGAGGCATATTTTTGATCTCTTGTTACACATTTTGATCACTGACTCTGCCCATTTATAAGTGGAAGATTACAATATACCAACCAACCATGGAGCTCAGATATTTGTACCTACATCTACACAGGCCAACCGGGTCATTGAAGCCAATGAGCAGCTTGATTCTACGCATAATATGATGTCATAACATAAGCAACCAGCCGTCACAGCAGGTTGGAGCTTGCAATTGATTCCAGGGCAAGTGTTGCTCCACGTGTCCAGGTCGACAATGCTGATGATACATCCGTCAATTTACGCCCGCCATGAGCACCGTTTCAACACGTTTCACCACATTTGGCCGCGACAATTACCATACGTTTTATAGTGATCCTAGAACTATGCCCGCCATCTCTGAAGTCACAGTCACACTCTTTATGAGCATGATCGACCGTCTTCAAAAATAACACCATCTCCCGACCGCATACCCCTCTTTCTTGTCCGTGATTGCCCAAAAGACGCTCGTTATCAGGCTCTCAGAAGCCTGCCATTCTAATTCAGTGATCCTGTCGAGCAAACTCCTACCTTACATATCGATGGGTGCTCAACAACCCGTTCCAACAAACATGAATCATAAATATCCTCCATGCGATCCCAAAAGAATTCCCCAGTATCAATTTGAAATCCAACCTGCTTATTCTACGCCAGACCACTTCGTAGAAAACCACGTCAGTGAAGTTCAGGAACAGAACATTTCTTGTCTTCCCTTCTTCATTCACGTGTTGGGCGGTTATTTACTATTAAATACGGCCAACGTTGCGAAACTGCATATGGGAGTATAGTCAGTTTTACGACGATTGCCAGCATGTGTGCTTATACTTGACACGGCCTGGGGCGAAGCGGAGGGAAGTGGTTCGAATAATAATCATAATCATAATAACCATATCCCCGATATCTACGTGTGGTTCAATGCCTATTCATCTATTTTTCCTATCTTATCTCTGCCTAATATTGAGAGGACATAAATTGGCTCATGGGAGCTTGAATTAAGTGTCATGCACTAAAACGCTATCTTGATATCTATCTCGAGTAGAGTGTGTTCACACTATCCTTCCTTACAAATTAGCACGAAACTTATATACACAAAACGCGCGTGTGGACGGGTATGACGGGCAGGGAGAAGGAAACTGAATGAGGAAAGATAAGCGGTGCAAAAGCCAAGGGGATGGAAAGCTATAGGGCGGAGATATACATACCAGTTCCAAACAAAGCTCATGATTCATATCACGTCACCCGCAGCCGGAAATTAGCATCCTGAGCTTCCTCGTCCTTAAGAATGTATAATAGAGAAGCGGTGGTGAGGTCATAGAGAAGTGAAAAGGCGCCGGTCCCGAGAACGATCGTTAGACGACATGTATATCGCCAGCAGGCTGCGAGCAACGCCCGTCTGCGTCCTGACGCTATAGTTCTCCCCTGCCGTCCAGTGTCCCCCGCAATACGCACTGCACAGCTCCCCAACCAACACGATGCCACAGGACGCTTCTCCGGACAGGAGCTGCAGGGCACAGAGCCCAAGTCACACACACACATATATCAACGGTAGGTACAACCCTGTTCATCTGGTCGCGGCCAACAACTCCCTAACCCTCCCTTCCCACCTCGTCACAACCTCATCCCCAGCCTTCGCCAGCCTCACACAGGGGTCTACCCACTCGCGCCTCCCACCACCACCATCACCATCACCACCATTACCATTTCCCGTCTGCTCCGCTACCCCTTCCCCACCAACATCCTCCGCAGCAGCCCCAAACACATTCTGCACACTTAACTCCTTCTTCGCCGCCTCAAACATGGCCGCAATATCGTCTCCTGCACCCCGCCATGTTCCACTCCCCTTAGCATCCCCGTCACCACGGCCACCACCAGCACGGCGAGCAGCTACAGCAGCAGTGGCCACCAACCCCTCCAAAACCCCCAACACAGTCCCAACGCGCAACCCCAACTCCGCACCAACAGGGAATCCCCCATCAAAGCCGCGCTGAACATGCTCGCCTTTGGCCACGGAGATGCCATCGCGGTAGCCGGCTGTGACGTGTTGGCGGCGCAGGAAGGGGAGGTCGGAGGGTTCGCGGGCGAGGTCCCGTTGGTGGGGTTGAGGGGCAATATTATTATTATTGTTGCTGTTGTTGTTGTCGTTGTTGCTTTCTAAGGAATGTTGATGTTGGTTCGGAGGGGAGGAGCCGAAGATGTCATCTAAAAGGAGCGCTGTGGAGGGGTGTTGGTGGGTCGGGGAGGAGGGGGCGGTTGTGACGGTTGTGGAGGGCGAGCGAGGGGTCAAGGTGGAGGTTTCCAGGGCGGAGGGGGAAGAGGGGCGGGATTGTTCCGAGGGGAAACGGGAGGCGGAGGAGTTTCCCATGGTGTCTTTTTCCTTTCTTTCTTTATTTTATTTTATTTTATTTTTTTGGCTCTTCTGGTTTTGGTTCAGAGGATGAGGAATTTGTCGTGGAATTTGTCGTGATAGATAGGGGGAGGATAATCGGTGGAAGCAGCGAGAGCTTTTTTCTTATCACCACGTGACAATGTGATAAGACCCGACCTTCTCCAGGGCTATGGAGCAGGTAGACAACCCTACGCTATCCAGCAACCAACTACACACTACACTCTATAAAAATAAAGAAAAGGGGATAATTCATGCACAGCACACTATTGTCTTAAATCGGGCAGCAATGTGCACCATGTCAAAGCTAAGCTAGTTCTACACAATATTATATAACACAGAATGTCAGCAACGGAACCCTTGTTCTAGGCTTCCTCTAGCTTCGACGGTACTTCCTCTTCCAGCCTTCGCGCCTCTTCCTGCTTCTCATCTCGGGCGGAGCAGTATACAATACCAGCGGTCCATATGACCATTGCGATCGAGCAGGCAATCATAGCCCACATACCTTTCTATAAATGCGGTCAGCAGGGTCAGTGTGTCGGATACAAACTTGACCAAGTCAAAGGAAAGAAATGTAGGGGAGGGAACAGAGTGAGGACGACATACCGTGAAGAAAGGTGCCTGATCGGCCGAATAGAACAGCAAAGCCCACCACGCGTTCACCACGTTGCTCCCCATATTCATACTAGCAATGACAATGCTGCGCATGGCATCGTCCTTGTAGCGCATGACGTCGTTCGCCCACGCGAAGAACGTTGCCTGGCACGCATACACGGAGCCAGCCCAGTAATACGCGCCGAAGATCGTCGCCGTGGACGACCCGGGGCCAAGAATCATTGCAGAAGTAGCAATGCCTGTAATACCAATCCAGTAGCCGACAAGGTATCGCTTCCCGCCCAGGAAATCAGTCAGCGTGGCCCAGAAGAGCGTGGAGACGATCCCGACTGCCGGCACGCCGGTGGGGTAGTTATTTAGCTGCGGGACGGAGTAGCTGTTTGTTGGGTGCGATTTCATGTAGAGCGCCAGCAGGGCGTTGGTGGAGAAGGATTCGGTCTCTCCTGCGATGACCCAGAGCATGACGAAGCCATACCAGTGCCAGGAGGAGAAGATCTTCTTGACGAAACCAAGGCTCAGCGGGGCGCGTTCGCGGAGCGGCTCGGGGGCGCGGGCGATGGCAAGAGCGCGTTGTTTCGCGTTCAGGTATGGAGCAGTGGTGGTAGCGGGGGTGTCGGGGAAGAGGAAAAGACCATACAGGGCAATAGGGACCGTAATGAGGCCGTCGACCTGGAGTTGGGCATGTTAGCATATTGGTCTTTGCATGGATGTATATTCCTGATGTTTTTTGAGGCGACACAGGGGAGGAGGGAGATTTCTTCCCAACATACAATGAACAACCATCTCCAGCCTGCCATTCCTCTGGCGCCGTGGAATGACTTATGGATACCAGTCTGAATAAAGCCACCAAACATAGTCCCTGCAAGTCCTGAGGCAGTGAAGATACCACTTCTCTTGCCCAGCTCTCGCTCGGTGTACCATGACCCGAGAATATAGTGGGTACCAACGAAAGTGCTCGACTCAGCTAGGCCGAGGAAGAAACGGATGGCCATGATAGACTGCGGCTTTTGGACAGAGGCGGTAATCATGGTCAAACCACCCCAGAACAACATCATGCAGGGGAAGAAGATTCTGGGTTTGAAATGAATGAGCGCCAAGTTGGAGGGCACCTGGCCGAGAATGTATCTGCGCAATAAGAAAGATGTTAGATTTCGGCGTTGTGTGAAGAATGCAGAGAGAATGTAGACTTGACAACCATACCCGACGGTAAAAATCGTATTAATCAAATTGAGCTGGTTCCCCTGGAAGTTCAGATCCTCCTTCATCCCGGAGACGTATGCATTGTTCAAGTTTGTCCGATCCAGCTATTCAGGCACAGATAATAAATATTAGCCCAACTTTTAACCCATCACTTGTTAAAAGATATGCGACAGTAGCTATAACTTATATATAACTGTATAGAATACCGTCGACAGGAATGTAAAAGGAATGACTCCAGAGGGACTCACATAATTGGCAAAGTACATAAGACAGCAGAAGGTGAGGATGAAAAAGTCGATCTTGCGCAGCAAAGCAGCTTCACCTGGCCTGCTTTCGGTGCCACGCAGGTACTGAATGAATTTCCCTGCCATGACGGGCGACAGTGAGCCTGAGGGAGGCCTAAGGTAGCTAGGAGTAGATATTGTTATTTATTATTAGGATTTCGTAAATATAGTTCTTGCAACTAAAGTACTACCCAGGTGAACCTAAGCTCAGGACCCTGTAGCCAGAGCGTTTTGGTGACCCTGGGGATTCAAAGAGTACGAGCAAGAAGAACCATGGGGGAAGAACGGGTGTATTATTATTATATCCATAGATTTGTTCAATCAGAGGTAACATAGTTCAATTACCCTCGGCAGTGTCCGCGCCCTCCCCATATCCCACCTCTGGGGGGGAGGATAGAAGCGTTTGGACTATGGAGAGAGCTATCTCTCTCGAAGCTGCTCATCACTTGGGAGAAGCTATAACTAATAGCTAAACTGCCTAGCTTAGGCTCTCCATAGCATAGCACAAGGATGGATGCCAAGGTAGGGAGGGATCTTGTTATCTTTTTTTTTCTTTTCCCTCTCTGGGGAAATCGGTTCTGCCTTTGAGTGGAGCGCGATTTGGGTACCTATCATGCAATAATGGAACGATGGAGACGATGAATGGAATATTCATGATAGGGCGCTGCTCTGTGTTGTGCTGCTGGACTAGAGATGAAGATTCCTCTCCCGTCTCCCCGTCGTTTGATCCTTCACACGGCAAGCCGATCGCTGCTGTACTTGACTACTTGGTGAGAGAAACCGGGGACGCAAGTTTGCCACCGTTGTAAACGCGGGCCCTCCTGCTCCTTGTTCCTTGTTCCTTGCCGGCTGGATTGTGGTGATGTCTTTCTTGTCTTGCGGCTGTGGGGCAGGTTTGGGAATTGGGAGCGGTAACTTAACTAGTTAGAGCTTGTTCCAACCGTTCGATGCTGGAAGGTATTTAGTTTCCCCCCACACACACGGCCAACAACAAGACAAAAGTGCTAACTAGTTACTGAAGACTTAAGAGTGAAGAGAGATGGATATATGTTAAACATCCAACAGCTGGGGCAACCTACCTTTCTCTACAGCTCCCGCAGCGAAGGTTAACAATCTAGCTACCTAGCAGAAAGATCATGGAGAAGGAGGCAGGAAAAAGTCATATATTTACGCGGAACTTCAAATATTGCGCCTCCATATCCTTTCCCCAGTCCCCAGTTCCCAGGCTCTATCCGCTCAGTTCTGATTATATAAATTCCGCCGATAACGGCGCCGCCAGGCTCTATTCAAAGGCTTGTCTTGGCTTGTTTGCTCTTGTCGTATTCCTATCCATCTAAATGACTTGTTCACAGAAAGCGAGGTTCGGATATCACGACTGATCATGTTTTTATTGGAGAATCTATCGCTTATGAGCGGTCCGTTGTTATGTCTTCAGTACTATGTAGTAGTTACTCTGTAATGACACAGTCCAATGATACGATAAGGAAAGTCTTTGTTAGGCGGCCCGCGGTTGTATGTAATAGTCTCCCCGCCATGCGCTGGATATCTCCTTTGCTAGAAGAATTTGATCCGTCTTGAGTTTGGTTCTTGCTGTATATCACGTCCGTGCCGGTGTTTCTACTAACGCCCAAGACGCACTTTGTAGTTCCCAGTGCCTTGGAAGGTATTTAGGTCTAGAGCCCGACGGGAAGGCTACCAAATCCTAGAACCAGAGAATCGCCAGAAAATGTGACGAGACATCCCATCCCGTCAAAGAGCACGGATTCCTGGGCGGATTGTTGTTGTATGGCAGTTATAAAGATTGATTTCAGGGGGGTGTGGATTTTATATCACCACCCCCGACCGCTACGTAAATAACCCAAGCCTTGCCCAGGTAAATAACCTTATATTTAACCAGCCACCAGGTTCCAATGGAAACTTTATTATTTAGTTCTATTCGTTGTCCAGCAAGGCATCAAAAATTGTCGGATTGGGTGTCACGGATGAATATGTTGAAGACATATGAATCTTATCTGTATCAAGATCTGCTTGTTATATTATCCGTGCACTATCTAATATATCTATTTCATACAAAAGATGGAGCTATTTATAGTAAAATATATGTGCGAGCCAAGAGAGCTAGCATAAGCGAGTATTAGACGAGCGTTGTAGTAAGCTGATGATGATGAGAAATATTGTAGTAATACGATGTTGGTGGCGTTCAGTAATACGATGTTGGTGGCGTTCAGTAGTGTATAACCTCTTTTTCCTGACACACCCCCTTCAGCGAATGTAACATGTAAAAGAAAGTGTAAATGAAGCTGCAACAAAAAGAGTGTAGATGAATCTGTAACAAAAAGAGTGTAGATGAATCTGTAGAGATTACATCAAGATAGACCATTTATTCTGCTTACGCCTTGATGATATCTGATATATCAACTAGGCCTAGCATCTTGACGAATTCTGTATGTTTCTGGCGTGGCAGAGTCTTAGTGAGGCCATCCGCTGGCATCTGGGCCGTAGGCACTCAATCAACTGTAATATCGCTGGATTGAACATGTTCTCGGATTGATATCTTTCGGATAGGATGACGATATCATCCACATAGAAGAAGACAATTAATCGATCATTTGAGAAGAGGCAGCAATCCTCTGGCATAGAGGTGAAGTCTAGCGTTCTCCGATTCTTCGCGATGTGGGTGTTTTTCAACATCTGCCCAGTGGTTCGGTGGATCTGGCAGTTGAGATCTATGGATTCTTGAAGTCGGTATGGATGCTGTTGAGGTAGATGTATTGTTGATAACAGTAAAAACAGTATTAGGAAATAAATTTTGAGACTTGTAGAAGTCTGGGTGAGAATGAGAATGAGAGAATGCTTCATTGATCATTTGAAAAGGATTGGCTTTGGCATTTGCAACTGTCACAAGGTGGGCAGCTCTGTGATTTCGGGCTCGTGTACGATTATCTATCGCAGCTGTATGTGTATTGATATCAACATTGGGACCTGTATCAACATTAGGACCTGTATCAACATTAGGACCTGTATCAACATTAGGGCCCGCTGGCCCTGGCGTAGGTTCAGGTGTTGGTTTCGGTGTATGAGATCTAACGTGGGGACGTCTAGATATTTGATTTTCCGCATTAGATAGATGGCAGGGTTTGCAAAGCTCGGTGGTAAGCTTGTCCGCAGCATCTTCTTGATGGGTGATTTGAATGCCAGTTGCATCATTTGCAAGTTTTTGAATGGCGATTTTCGATGGATGTCCTAATCTCTTATGCCATGTTGACTCAGTAGCTATAGAGATCTTAGGTTTTTGAGAAGGTTTTGTGCGTATTGGCAGGTTGGAAGAAGGATGATTTGTAGAAGTTGAAGAATTTGAAGATATCGTTTTTTCAGATATAGTGATGTTAGATGTGTGTGGTGTGGTAGCTGCATCGGCTTCGGTAGTTGATTTTTCCGAGATAGTTAGTAAAACAGCTGTTTCACTATTATATTCTGTAACTAGCAACCCCCCAAATACTTCAACGCGTGCAAAGATTGTATTATCTGCGCATTTTCACAATCTGAAGTCTTTTCCATCATAATAGATGCCTTCTATATGGAAACACGGTTTCCATGCAATGATATTTGTATGGAAATTCGGGATGTAAGCCGCGTTGGTGAGATTGACATTGAACTGCTTTCCTGCTTCATTTATCATGATAGTTCTAACAGTTCCATAACCTTCAACTTTAGTGCTGGAATCGCCTGTATAGACTTCCGCATTCTCGTTCGCAGGTGTAAAGGATAGAAAATGTGTTCGATTATTGCATATATGCTGTTCCGCGCCAGTATCAAAGATCCAGGAGTTTCGGAGGTAGGAGCAAGAATGTGAAGAGTTCATCGATATTTTTCGGATTTGCTGATCGATAGATTGATGATCGATAGGTTGATGATCAATAGATTGATGATCGATAGATTGATGATCGATAGATTGAGGAACTGATTGCTTCAGAACCATTCCCCCTAGGACTGCTTCATTGGCATCTACCATATCCGTATTTGTGGATGAATCTCTAGATATCGCATGATCAATACGTCTCTTCAATTCTTGATTCTTAAGAGCTTGATCAATCTGAGTTCTCTTCTCCCCGTTTTCCTTCCATCCAGGTGGCTTCCTTGATGGATTGAGATAGTAGCACTGGGCGTATCGATGACGGGCTCCGCAGATGCAGTTTCCGAATGTCGCTGGTGATGATTGCTGAGGTCTTCCATTAAGGGTAGCAAAGTTCATAGGTTTATCTCCTTTGAGAATACCCATTTCCCTATACCGTTCCTTGAAGTCCTTAACTAACTCTATCAAAGATATAACATCTTTATCACGTCGGACATCCTTAGCCCATGCTTGTGCATAACCTGCATCAATAGCTAGGTTCGCATTTAAGAAGTCTTTCTTCAAGTTGAACTGTCCAGCTATATCCGCCTCTTTGATATCATCTTCGATGAGTGACCAGTCATTTAACCACTTTTCTATACCTCTGTTTTTCAGTGCTTTGCAGAGATCATGGTATCGGGTTCTCACATCATCTTGATAGTCCGCGGTTGTGGGTGAGAGACGATCTCTTAATGAACGGATAATCTCCTTCACATCATCATCCTCGCTGCGTACATGTCGTAGCTCTGTGGCATCCACTGTTCTCCATATGACATCTCGTATCTTTGTCATACCTTCATTCATTTTTTCATATTTCATATATTTGATTTTCCACGCAGTGACCTTGATGTCATATGCTATCTTGGCCTCCGCGGTGGCTTCTTCTGGACACTCAGGTTCCAGAGGTTCTTCTAGTTCAGAGAAGATATCGGGTTTATCAAGATTGATGAAGTCTGATACCTTCTTGTCCTTTGCATATCCTAGCATATGCTTGTACCAAAGTTTCCAATCTCCAGGAACGCTAAGGTGTACTGTCGCACTAGACATTGTCTTGTCTGTCATATCGGTTATATTGAATGGATTGAGGAATCGGTTCAAGTATTTGAGGATAGATATGATCAGAATTCAGGGTGTATATCGGTCGAGTATTTCGGAACGTATACGAGTGAGGATCTATCGTCTCAGTTCGAATGATAGTTATCAGTTCGAATGAGGACGGGAATCTGGTATGGTATAACGGTCGAGTTGATCGGACCGTATACAAATGAGGATCAATCGTCTCAGTTCAAATGATTGTTGTCAAATTCGAATGAGGATTGGGATCGGTGTATCGCGCTTCTCTTCAGATGCTGCTTACCGGGAATCAGGTATAACGGTCGATTAGATCGGACCGTATACGAATGAGGATCAATCTTCTCAGTTCGAATGATTGTTGTCAAATTCGAATGAGGATTGAGATCGGTGGTGTATCGCGCTTCTCTTCAGATGCTGCTTACCGGGCTCATAACTGTCGGATTGGGTGTCACGGATGAATATGTTGAAGACATATGAATCTTATCTGTATCAAGATCTGCTTGTTATATTATCCGTGCACTATCTAATATATCTATTTCATACAAAAGATGGAGCTATTTATAGTAAAATATATGTGCGAGCCAAGAGAGCTAGCATAAGCGAGTATTAGACGAGCGTTGTAGTAAGCTGATGATGATGAGAAATATTGTAGTAATACGATGTTGGTGGCGTTCAGTAATACGATGTTGGTGGCGTTCAGTAGTGTATAACCTCTTTTTCCTGACAAAAATCTACTACTACTGCTATTTCTAATTACCAACTGCAACAAAAAATAACTTCAGGGGATCGAATCATGGAATTGACGGGGTCACATAATAAATTAGACAACATATTGTCATTGCTTTGACTGGTTCCGCTTTCTTCGTCCAGCCACATAACTAGTTAGTTACATATTTACAGAGTACTTGCTGATGTTGAAACCAAGGAGGATCTCTGTCCACTTGCGAATGCACCACCTGCAGTTCGAGTAATAATGGACAACTGATAGGGTTAGCCGGAGGAGGCAGAAGTACGGATTGGAAATTCTGCAGCAAACCTGAGATTTGGGTTTTCCATCCTTTGCAAAAAACGATTTGCGACACCAATCAGATCCAGGGGGGGGGGTTGAGGTGTTGGAATGGATAATGGGACGCGGTGTGATAGAGCAAAGCGAGCGAGTCGGAAACCAGCCATTTAACTTAAGTTACCTAAATATTCGCAGTTCAACAGGGAAAAAAAAAAAAGACCAGTAACTAGCCGAGGTGCCAGCTGCATGTCGGATGAAAGCTTTGAGTCCGAATAATGAATATCAGCCTTTTCCACTTCTTGATATTTATGCGTGATATAGTTATCGCCCTAGAATTGGGTTTAAGCACCGTACGCAGTACGCAGTACATACAACATAAACCTACTACCAAGATACATTCTCTCTTTCAGCTTCCCCCCCCCCCCCCCCCCGGGCGTGTGGCAATCCTAATTTCGCATTTAAATAGCAGCCAACGCCGGATTATAAAAAAAAAAAAAAAAAAAAAAAAAAAAAAAAGGGGGGGGAGGAACCAGGCGAAAGGGAAAAAAAGAAGGGTAGAATAATAACTACAATAACTACATGAATGATAACCCCTCAGCTCAACCAAACAAACTCTCTCTCTTCCAACCACACAAACCTGCCAATGCGGGGTTTGATATCGGCGAAAGGCCAAAGGGGAAGAAGAAATCATGCCAAACCAAACTCCCATCTCCCATCTCCCATCCCACATCCCACATCCCACATCCCATCAACCAAGCCGGCCAAATTTGGCACACATTGGTGGGTTTCTTCGCTTCTCCGCCCTAGTCGATAGCAGTAGAAGAAACCCGTTTTTTCTTTCTCGCTACTTGCCGACTTCTATCCGGCCCTTCCTGAGAGAATAATGTGGTGCGGGTGGAAAGCGACCATCCGGCTGCTTCGGCGTAGTAGAGTAGTTGGGTACTAGGAGGTTGGTGGAAGGGGAATGTAAGATATGTACTTATGTACTGATGAGATTGCCGACCGATATTGGTCCCTAGCCCCACGGTTAGGAATTGGTTTTTTTCTTTTTTTTTTATTCTTTCTTTTTTGCTCTCATTTCTTCTATATATTAGACTAGGATTTTGTTTACGTTATTATAGGGTTGCTTGCTCTCTGCCCTCGGCTTTTCCAATCTTATACAATAGTTAGTTACCTTGCCGCGCATAATATCATAGACAGTGAAAGGAAATAAAATAAATAACTCAAAAAAAAAAGAAGCGGAAAAAAAAAAGAAGAAATGCTCAGCGAACTGACCTGGGAAGCAGTTGGTGCTGCGAAGCGGGAAGAGCTTCTCTCCTCCATCCCGGCGGAATGGATCATCCCAGCAGATATCTTCCCGCCGGCCACGCAGACGGACGTGACCAGCTTCCCCAAAACATCGGGCTGGTTCACTGCCTCCGAGCTGGAGATCACAGGCTCGACGGCCGCTGAAATCCTAGCAAAGACCACAACGGGCGCCTGGAGCGCTGAAGCTGTCACCCGCGCATTCTGCAAACGGGCTGCTGCTGCCCATCAACTGGTATGAACGAATGGCATTGCGAATCAATCCAATACACTATCCCTCTCTTTATTATATATCATCACAAAAACAAAGAAAAGAACAGAAAAATACCAGCTAACACATCCAACTAGACAAACTGCCTCTCCGAAACCCTCTTCCCAGAGGCTTTAAAAGATGCAAAGGCGCTCGACGCCCACCTGGCCGCCACCGGCAAGCCAGTCGGGCCCCTCCACGGCCTCCCCGTCTCGCTCAAGGACAACTTCAACGTCATGGGCAAGGACTCGACGCTCGGTTTCACGGGCTGGGTCAACGACCCGGCTACCTACAACAGCATAATGACGGATCTCCTGCGCGAGCAGGGCGCGGTGCTGTACGTCAAGACGAACGTGCCGACGGCAATGATGATTGCCGAGACGGTGAACAACGTGTTTGGGCGCACGTTGAATCCTCGCAATCGCCTGCTGACGCCCGGCGGGTCGTCGGGCGGCGAGTCTGCCTTGATTGCGTTCGGAGGTAGCCCCCTAGGTGTTGGGACGGATATTGGTACGTAGCTGTCCTTCGTCTATCCATCCATCCATCCATCCATCCAATCCTCCCCAAAAACTATAGGAACGGACAAGAAAAATAAAATAAAATAAATCAAAAGGCGCAATGCTAAAACCTCAAATAACGAACAGGCGGCTCCCTCCGCATCCCAGCCGCCTGCACCGGAATCTTCACCCTGCGACCCTCCTTCGGCCGATTCCCCAACTTCCTGACCAAATCCGGCCTCGCGGGACAGGAGTCCGTCCTCAGCGTCAACGGACCCATGGCCGCAACGCTAGACTCCATCAAGCTCTTTTCCTCCGTGGTGACCAACAGTGAGCCCTGGCTCCGCGATCCCAAGTGCATACCGATCCCCTGGCGGGCCGTGGAGCGCAAGCAGCGCCTGAAGCTGGCCGTGTTATGGGATGATGGCATAGTCCGGCCGACCCCGCCGGTTCGCCGCGCGATGAGAGAGACGGTGGACAAGTTGCGGAAGGCTGGGCATGAGGTTGTCGATTGGGACGCGACGGGGCATAAAGAGGGGAATGATATTTTGGTATGCAAAACCACACTTTTTTTCAATCCTTTATTTTATTTCCCGGGCACGATTGGGGGTGCAATGATGAAAGGTATTGAAGCCGGGGGGATGTTCTTTTTTAGGATCGCTTCTTCCTTTCCGACGGCGGCACGACCGTGCAAGATATCCTCGCCGCGACCAAAGAACCCATCCGCCCCGAGATGGACCGGTACGGCCACGCCAAGGACGGCGGCGTACAGGCGCTGTGGAAACTGCACGTTGAACGCAATAGGTTCCAGCAGAGCTACATGGAGCGGTGGAATGCGTGTGAAGGACTCGATGGGCTGTTGAGTGAGTTAATGATAATACCAAGCCATTTCCAATTTGGCAAACAAAGTGGAAGAATCTCGTGTCTTTTTTTTTTTTTTAACATCAACGACTGACTATTTATTGCGCCAGCCCCCACAACCCCCTTCGCGACAGTTGAGCACGGCCTCTTCAAGCACGTCGGTTACACAGGCGTGTACAACATCCTCGATTACTCATGTCTGTCGTTCCCGTGCGGCGTACAGGCTGATGCGGCCGTAGACGGCCCCGACGTAAACGAGACTGAACTGAGTAAAGTTGACGGCATTGTGCAGAGGGAATGTACGTCCTATTCCTCCCCCCTCCTTTCTTCTCTCTTTTTCTCTCTCTTGCTCTGCTGTTTGTTCTTCGTTTGTCTTTGTTGCGACTTGTCATCTGAAGTTGCACTTTTTTCCCCTGTCCCTCCTCACCCGCAAACAAACACACACAAACAAGCAAACACACACCAATGGCTAACGTGAAATGAAATTCAGACAACCCCTCCGCCGTCCACGGGCAGCCAGTCAGCTTGCAGCTAGTAGGCCGCAAGTTCGAGGAGGAGAAGGTGGTGATGATGGGCGAGGTTATCCTGGAGGCGCTGAAGGGGACAGCTATGAACGGAAGAGCGTAAACTCAAAGTGTCGTTCTATATCGAGTTGGATTTGATGGAGGATTTACTTATAAATAAATTTATATCATCTCATTTTTGGCTTTTCTTTCCTTTCTATATACCATCGTTATCTTATACTTTGGCCCCCAGGCCTATTTTTTTGGACATAAATAATTCTCTGGGAAAGCAATCGTCAGTGAAATTGTTTTTACCATCGTTCCAGATAAATTATAGATTGAAATGCCATACCTTCATAAGTATTAATGAACTGAAAAATAAAATTCATATCTGATACGTGAATACTCAAGGGAAGATGTTGCTAGGTAGACTTGAAGTCTTGTAGCAATGGCCCAGCCTAAATTCATCAGCTGAAGTTAACCTCCCCAAAAATGGATGATGATGTAAAAAGCTGGTTATTCACTCATTTAATCCGCCATTATACCTGATATAAACGCGAGAAATAATGAATAAATCGAAGTATTAAATAATAAAAAAAATTAACTTTTCTTCATTTATTTTGTATATTTGCTCCAAGCCGAATTGTAAAGGGGGGGGGGACAAACAAATGAGATTTGAAAAATTATCCGCAACCCAAAACGTAAACATATCAAGGAAAAACATGAGTAGAGGAAAAAGAAACGGGGGGTAAAGATGAGACAGGGGAGGAACGGTGGGAGGAGGACAGGAGGGAAAATCGCACGACGCCCAAAACTTCTTTCAATGTTTTCATCGGGGCCAGCTCTAGTACGAAATTTAGGAGAGGGGGAGGGAGGAAAGTAGAAAGTCTTCAATCGGCGGCTGTATTTTCGGTGTGAGCCAATCAATCAGACATGTTTGTTCACCAGCTCCGCCCTTTTAAAATAGAATAGGCAAGCGGAGGAAAAGGAAAAAAAGTACAATAAATAGAGAGCCGTAAAGTAAATATTGGCGGGGAAATCTGATGGAAATACGCCGGTGTATTTAACATGCTGGGTTAAGGTAGGGTAGACCGTGGAAGAAAAGGAAAAGGGAGGAAAAGGGAGGAAAAGAGGAGTAAACTCGAAAACATGCAGGCGTCCGACGGAGGTCAAATCAGCTGGAAAAATATTGGGGGGTACATGACGGTGAATCTTGTATATCGTGGTGTAATTCGTCGCAGAAACTTTAACTGTGGGAGAGGGGGAAAGTGGAAGCTTGTGCTCGAGGGTGGAAGAAAATTAGATAAAGAGGCGTGGACAACTATTCATTGATGGGTGGGTGGGATTCTGCTTCGTTCTCAAACAGACCTTCTCATCCCAGCGTTGAAGGCGCTGGAAGGAAGTTGTCCAGAAAGACATAAGTCGTTTGGGGAACGGTTCCGAGCTTATCCTTCTTATTGAGAATAGCTGAAGAGGTGTTGATATTTAAGCAACAAATTTACATATCCATACTATCTCCACCGTTGGCGAAATTGAAGGATCCTGTTGGTTGCTGGCCGGTACCCAAGGTGAAACCTGCCTGTGTCTGTTGAGGTGCAAGCTCATCAATATCGGCGCCAGCCTCCTCCTCATCTGAGAAGTACCGCTCAATGATGTTGTAAGCCTTCATGTAGATCTCCTCGTTGGCATTGTTCTGGCAGTCGTGGATCTTTTCCATACCGCCAGCCTCTTCAATGAAGAGAGCGTAACGATTCACGCTAGGCTCTCCCATTTGGGCGGCCTCCTTGTCCATCTCTCCGACTTTCAAAATGTTCTCCAGGCCATCGAGAGCAACTTGAATGATCTTGTTATCTGGGCATGCAAGGAGGTCGCAGAGTGGCTTAATGCATCCTTGAGAGACTAGATAACGTATTTGCTCCGGCTTCTGAAGGCCCCCAGATGTAGCGTTTGAGATGGCCCAGCAGGCTTCTTTTCTAGTCTTGAAATCTCCGTTCGACAAAAGGTTGATCAGCGGAGGGATGATGTTGGCATCAATGACAGCCTGAATCTGGGTAGAGTTGCCAGCTGTAATGTTGGAGATGGTCCAGCAGGCCTCTTTTCGGATACCATCTTTAGTGGAGCTGAGCAGAGAAAGAAGGGCAGGAAGAGCGCCGCAGTTGATAATCACTTGGGTCTGCACATCGTCACCAGTAACTATGTTGCCAACAGATCTAAGCGCTGGGGTCTGGACAGATGTGGAAGCGTGCATAAGCAGTTCCACCAATCGACGAGGAATACCGGCTTCGATGACAGCCTGGATTTTGTCATTTGATCCATCCGACAAATAGGAAATAGCCCAGCAGGCGTCGATCAAGACCTCGTCATCAAGCATGTATACCAACTTAGCCAGAATGGGAAGAGCGGGAAGGATCTATAATGCCAGGGGTTAGCAATTACCAAACAGAATTCATTGTGGCGTCGGACATAGAAAGGGAAAAACGAACAGTCGGCCAATCAGGCTGGGGAGTCTTCCCACGGCAGAAATTGCTCAGCGTCCATGTTGCATTTCGGAGCATGCTAAGTTTGCGCCCATCGCCAATCAATGCAAGGAGAGGACGAAGAGCTCCCGCACCAAGAACAAAGTCACGACATTGAGGACTATCACCAGCAATGTTACCAAGCGCCCAGACGGCTTGTTCCCGTACATCGGGCTCATGGCTACTCAAAAGTTCAACGAAAATAGGGACAGCGCCAGCTTCGATGACAACCTGGGTTTGCTGTGCTGATCCGGAAGCGATATTGGTCAACGCCCAAGCGGCCTCAAACTGGACCAAAGTATGGGGTGAACGCAAGAATTCGACGAACCGGCCGACAACGCCGGTTTCAATAACGCGCTCGATGGGGGGGTTCCGTTCTTTAGAAAGGAGTTTTCTGAACTTGGTGGTGGCTTGAATCTGCAAATCGATTTGATCGGAGAAAACACCCTTTACCATCTCTGGGAGCTCGACGTTAAGCTATAGAGGGCTAATTAGCAAACTCATTCTACTACAAAATTTACTACTATGGTTTCGCTTTAAAAATTCAATCTTGTGCCATCTCCTCACGCTCTTGGTTCGCATCCCGGATCTTATTATAGCTGCCTAAGCGCCAGAAGATCCTTGGCTGCGCGTCATAGCTAAATAGCTAGCCACGAAACGACATGGAAGGAACAAAACCACATTTGAAAACGAAAGACCCAACTATGTTCCAAGAGTAAGAGCAGGTAGAAGACATGCACATACCTCACTCTCAATGGTTCCACTCTCCTCATCGCTATCGTCAGGACCAAGCGCAGATTCTCCACCTACACCGATACCTCCATCGCGAGTCTGGATACCTCTCCGCTTTGCGAGGTTCTCTTCGCGCTTCTGCTTCCGAATCTCAACCTGCTGCTCCTCACGGCGGCGACGAAGTTCATCTGGCTTGAAGGAGCTCTTCGCCTTGAACTGGGTGCGACGGTGTTCTGGGATGTAGCGCTCCGCCATTGTGATGGTAGGAGGAGGGAGGGGAGAGCAGGGAAAAGAAAGACAGAGCTGGGCAGCGCAAAGAACAGGCCAGCAGCAGCGGATCTAGAAGCTGGAACAAGTGCACAAAAAGATATAAGAGAGAGAGGTATGGCTAACGCGAGCGGAGGAAAAGAGGAGATGTATGGTATTTGCAAACCTGATGTCCGGGATGGATTTGGGGGAGGGTTGTTTGGGTGGGAGAAGAGAAAATGGAAAGATTGTGATGGTGAAGAGGGGCTTTTCTGCTTTGGGTGGTTGCTGAACCAGCATGGATGACTAAGCAGGAACCCCACCACCTCTTGGACAACCTGGGGCAACTTCCGGCTTGTCGCAACGGGCTGCACACATCTATCGAGAACTGTTGCATATACATATCCTGGCGAGATAATAGGCGGGTGGGGAAAGGGATCCATTTGCTTGTATGGTCGATGTCTGGAACCATAGCCCTTCTAGCATTGTCTATACCCCCTTCCCTTGTTGACCCCCACGCGACTTGGACGCGTCCTAGCAAGGGAATTGATCCCCATATTTTGCGTGGCTCGTCAAGAGGAGAATTGAATTGACTGAGTACTAAGGCTGCTTCTGGAGACAACTCTTATATATCCCGTACCACAAGTACTTCGATTGTGGCATTGGTCTGCTCTGCAACACTCCGGCGTTGCTGATACTGGAACTTGAGCCTGTGTTTTGTACCTGTCCTGTACATGATAACAGCAGGTCTCCTGGCATTGCGACAGACGTATCAGCATCTCATATATTACGTTTGCTTTGCTACTGTCCTAATGCCAGTCTTTGAGGCGCCTAACGCTTCTAACTCTCGCCACTGACATTTTCTTTCGCTTGTCTTTGTGGTGTGCCATACCACATAATGGCCCCATCAATCCCCCCAGGATTCGATGATATCCAAACGGCGGTATCCAGAATGGACAGGATGGTGAACGTTATCGCGGTGGTAGTGGACGCCCTCCCACCAAAATTATCCGGAGGATCTTCATATGTGTCCACCTTTACACTTAAAGATCATGATCTTGATAATGAGTCATGGAACGGTCTCAAAATCCGTTACTTCAACAATGACGAATCATATCTACCAGTCCCTCAGCATGGGGATGTGGTTCTTTTGCGGCAGATTAAGGTCCGTTTCCTTGTTTCGAAATCGAACTGTGGCTCTTTCGGTCGCTGATAGCCTAGACAGGTACGGTCGTATCAAGGGGCGGTGATTGGCCTCTGTAGCCAACGGGATAGCACTCCTTGGATCATTTTCAGTAAAGGGTCCAATCCCAAGGCAGTTCCACAAGTAACAATGCGACCCGGTACTCGAGACTTGACCGCTACTGAGAAATCATATGCTTTCTCCCTAATCGGTGCGGATTACACAGTGGCTACGAGCTGCCAACCTGTTCAAGTCAATCAAGTCGCAACTTCGGTCCCATTGCGCCCACTGGCCACTAAGCCATTTACCAAACCATTTACCCCACGCCGCAGGCCAAAATTTAGCTTAATAAAGGACGCATCCTGTGGTATATTTGTCGACCTTGTTGTTCAGGTAGTGAAAACTTACCCTGAAGATTATCAAAGATTTCTTCTCTATGTAACCGACTATACCCAAAACAAACAGCTTTTCAATTATTCTTCGGAGGAAAGTGGTCCTCGCGATGGCGACGAATACGGCTACACGTCACGCCCTAGGAGGGACTGGCCCGGACCTTACGGCCAAATGACATTACAAGTTACTCTCTGGGAACCACATTCATATTACGCAAGGCAAAACATCAAAGAAAATGATTTTGTTGTACTCCAAAATGTCAATATCAAAATAGGAAGAATGAGCGGCGTAATGGAGGGCAGCCTTCACACAGATCGCCATTTCCCCGAGAAAATCCAAGTGATACCCATCAATGATAATGATTCCGACGAGGATTTAAAGAAGCTCGTGAAGCGGAAACTAGAATACTGGAAGAGGATGAGAACAGAGAATCCGGGTCATCATGGCAATGATGTCAACAAGCGGAAATTGGCGGATGATGATGAGCAACCACGAAATCTATCTAAAAAGGCCAAGAAGCGGCTAGCGGAGCAAAGGAAGAAGCAAGAGGCGAAAAGAAAGCGGGAGGAAGATCAACTAGAAATAACAACTTCTTTCCAGGCGAAGCGGGATCAACTCAACGATTACAGTACGTGTTGACAACGCCACATTTTGCGATCTACACATCAATGGGGGGAAACAAATCAGTAACAATAAATACTAACATTCAATCTACAGTCCGCGCAAACAACCCCTCAGTCCCCTGCCGCTCAATATCGGACATTCTCTTCAATGAATCCCACACCAACATCTCCCCTGACGGAATCAAATACCGCCTCCCCTTCCAAAATCTCCGTTACAAAGCTTCTGTCCGCATTGTCGATTTCTTCCCTCCCAAGTTAGAAGATTTTTCCGTACAGTATGATGTGGAGCGTGCCATGCTATCAGACACCGAAGGGAGCGTGTCGGGCACTGACGATGATAATAACGAAACCGGCAGCCGCAAGCGATGGGAATGGAGATTTTGTCTCCTGGTCGAAGACGCGGGACCAGGCACTCATTACAACCGTAGCGGGCCACGGGAGCGCATGAAACTCTATGTAGGAAATAACGATGCTGTGTTCTTACTTCGCCTCGATGCTGTGAAGTATGATTTTCCCTCCCCCTTTTCTTTCAACAAAAAACCTTGATTATGCGAAAAATACAAAGAAATACAAGCTATAAATACTCACTAAAATCACTATTATAAAACCAAATCAGCCTCCGCAAAAACCCCGCTGTGCTTTTCGACCTCCGTGAAAAACTGTTCATTCTTTGGGGCGACCTAGAAGAACGCAAGCGTGCGAGCATGGCAGTAGCGCAAAGCAGCAACAGCAGCAGCGACAACAACGCTGGAAGCAACGACGATCCCAACCCTGATCCCAACAACCAAATCATTACCGCGTCAACGAAGCCATTTGTCTGCTGTATTAAAGAGTTTGGCGTTAAGAGATCACGTGCGTCGGACGAGGGGACTTCAGATAACGACGATAGTGATGAATGCGGGCTTGGGTGGGAAAGGCGGTTTTGTATGTTCGGTACCACGATTGTGTAATGGGTATATACTATATCTACATGGGATCATGTTAGTTTTGCGCCCTCGTTTTCTCTCCCTTTTTTGCTTTCCTTCCTTGCATTTCTAGTATATACATATATATGGAAATTAGTAGCGATGGCGTTTCGGAGGTATATGTGTATCATCACGGGAAAAAAGCCTATATAAATTATTCAGGAAGGTTAAGTTTAGATACGTCTAATGGGAATGAGAAAAAGTCTTTAGATACGAATCTTTTTTCGCACGACAATTAGGGCAATGCTTTCTCCAATTCGTTTTTCCCGGAGCATATAATTCATTGCTCACTGTAACGAAAGTCCTCCTCTCAACCTACCCTCTGTCCCGATCGTGGAATCATAGGCGTGTGTCAATATCATCATTATAAGATACGGGGATTATCAGAGAATGACTAGGGGAAATACTAGGGGAAATACTAAATTGAAATAAAAGTAAAATGGAAGAGGGTTGGGAAAAGAGTGAGACGATGTAAATAAAGTGAAACGATGTTTCCATCCATTTGATACATGACTTTAAATTAAAAATATCTTTAAAAAATTCAGAAGGGAACAAAGGTGAAAAGAGAGACTCCATAGATCCGTCCATCCACCCACTAAATTCCATTCCCATTCAACCCAGCTTACTTAAAAAAAAAAAAAAAAAAAAAAAAAAAAAAAAAAAAAAAAAAAGAGAGAGAGAGAGAGAGGAGAAGGAGAAGAGGAAGGAGAAGAAGAGAGAACAAGCAAGGCTGCTGACCGTTTGATTCTGAAAGAAGAACCAACAAACACAAAAGAAAGGGCGCAAGGGCCAATGGAGAGAAAATGGGAGATTTCAAAGACAGAAGAATGTCGGAGTAATGGATAAACCGGGTGCATAATAATAATGGTATTAAAATGATCGGTTTCGCCCAATTCTGAGTTGAGGAATGAGTGAGTAACGTAGGCGGGAATAGACAAAGGGGTGGCCTTCATTGTCGTCTCCAAAATACCACGGTGTGTGTTTTTGCGTGCGGGTTGGTTTGAGGCATTTTGGGCAATTGGGTAGAGGTAGAATGGATAAAATAAGAGAGAGTAAAGAGTAACTTGGGTGGAAAAGCGGTCCCGTTTCCGTCCGCAGAGTAGGTTGGTTGAGAGCTTAAATGCAGCACATGTAATATACTCAGCTCACCAACCACTCCAGCATCCAGAGAAGGCAGAAGCTTCCAACTTCCTTTCCTCTTTATGAAATGAATAAAACATAAACGCAAGAGAAAGAGATTGTCACGTTATACCTTCGTGACTTTCACGATTGTAGTATCGATTCCGTGGGCGGCGGTGTCGAATCGACAATTCGAGCCCCAGTAGCAATCTTTCTTGCCTACCTCACTCTGCGGACAGCGATGGCCATATATACAGCCGGGATCATCGCACTCCGTGCCGAACCGACATGGCGTCATCCGCGCAACCGCGTGCAAGACGACACGCTCATTCTTCGACAATTTATGATCGTGAGTGTGGTAGCAGCTTAAATTGGGACAGTCACCAAGCAAATAGTATAAGTTACATAATTTTAACTTCTTCACTCGATTTAATTCGTCCTTGGGGATAGTTTTGAAATCTAACCGGTCGATGCGTTCGCCGTATTTATTGCGCTCAACCTTGGATGGTGCGGGGCTGCTTGGTTTCGAGGCTGTTAAATCGGTAAATGGCCCCTGGGCTCCCGCTGCCGTGGTTGCGGCCCATGTTGGCGGTGTGCTTGTTCCATTCGACGGGATGGTCGAGTTGGACGGGATGCGAGCAAGGCCGTGGTTGCCAGGCGTATTAGGCGATAGGGCGGATAGCGGTGCAGAAATTGGGGTAGGGATGGAGTTATTATTCGTCCCATTCCGGTCATTCCATGAAGGTGGGTTCGTAATTATCTTTGAGGTCCGGAAAAGCTCTTCAAATTTAGTTACTCTGTAAGAAGCTCCCATAGGTACTAATTCTCGTTCGAATGGGACGCCTTCGATTAAGGATATTCGTCCAATAAGGTCGCGATCCGCTAACGTATCTTCAAGCAGTCTCGCATAGCCGTTATCATGAGAACAGCCGAGGAATATTTGGTGACAATGGCAATTGTATAAATGGAGCTTAAAAACCTCTTTGAAGACATTTTGAAGTTAGTAAACGTCCTAAAATGGCTACTAGAGTAGGGGGTGGGTGAGGGAACCAGCATACCAGCGAGCTTATCATCGGCTCTATCTTTACCACTACCCACATCAACGAAATCAAACAAGAGCCTACTCCCATTGAATCCACGAGTAAATTCTTCAATTAGGCCTGGACGTTCAACAAGACCAGCTTTATAGCATGCATCAGCTAATCCTCTGACGTTTGCATATACCCGAGCTATAATTTTTGGCGATGGTATGTTCGGAAAAGTTCGAGACGCATAGTCACGGATTGCAGCCCAGAGCTGATTCGCAGCGTCTTTACCACCCTGTTCACCTTGTTGCAGAAAAGAGTCCTGGAATATCATGCCATCACCATCGAGAAGAACGAGAAGAAATGGTTCTTGTTCCTACCACAACCAACAAAGAACTGACAGTTAGACCGACGGGGGATATCGTATATAGGTATGGGGATGACAAAACCGCACCATCACAGTTTCCATAGCAGTTATCTGTTTCATAAGCTCCATTTCATGCATTTGCACTTCACGATTAAAACGGGATTCGCGTTCATGGTCTAATCGGGTTTGTTGATATGCATTTTCGAGCTCGGCAACCCGCCGTAAAAGATCCTATTTAACCAATATGAGAAGGCAAAGTCAAAGTAGAGAGGTGGGCGGAGATTAGCACTTCAATTAACTCATTCTTTGACTGTTCAATCGCTTTGACCTGCTCGTAACGCTGGAAAAACTCCTGGGCTGTGGAGCTAGCCATCTTGTTTAAGCTGAGATGTGCAGCGCGCGTGCTGAGTAGATGGAGGGAATGTTTACCGGCAGGGTGTGAGAAAGGAGAAAAACAAGTCGGACTAAAGGGTTAGGCTATAAAAAGGGCAACAATATAAATAGTAAGTCAGCTGTCAGTATATCACCCACAGTATGGTGATAATAATATCAGCTCGATGATTCCGTACCGTTCACTCGAACCTGCGTAGCGCCAATCCGCGTCTAATTCCGCGTCTAACTCCGCGTCTAATTCCATCAAGCGGCGCAAGTTGGGCTGCTGACTCATCACGCTTACAAGGTTTCCACCGTTCTGATGTGACATACGTGGAAATTAAGCTCAGCGTTCCCATACATTAGGGGACTGGCATTTCTAACTTCCTTCTTCAATTCCCACTCTATCGCTCTTTTTCCCTCTCCCCCCCCCTCCTAATCTCCTCCCTATACATTTAATAAAACTATCATCGCCAAAATGGGGAAACTTGGGCTGCTGTCAGCTGTGCTGCTCTCGTTGCAAGCCGTCCTGGTTCGCGGGGATTCTGTGAGTTATTTTCTATGCAAATGTCCTTTCGCGGCGAGGCACCTGCTGATACGAACCCGTGATTTCAATAGCCCGCTCAGCCTGCTGCTGAGGAAGTCATAGCCCCAACATTGAATGTTAGCGTTTCGGCTTCTTTTCCCAACTCCGAGATCTTCGGAGTGACGCTCGTAAACGGCAACCCGACTCAAGCTCTTCTCACCATCTCCAACAATGAACCTGATCCAGTGACGTTGAACTTGATCGCAGGAAGTCTATGGACAGTTGATCCTGCGGGAGAGCCTGTTCAGAATGTCCGCAACCTCACTTCTTCCCGCTACGATGTTGCGATCCCCGCTGGGGGCCAGCACTCGACGGGATATGCCTTTGTCACTGAAATGCACCCCCAGGACTTGAGATTGCATCTGGCCGCCGTTATCTCCAATTCAAATAGCATGGCATTTACCGTCCAGGCCTATAGCGGCACCGTTAGTATCGTCGAGCCGGAAACGAGCATCTTTGACCCTAAAGTGTGAGTATTTCCTGTCTCCCAACTTTGCTTCACGGCATGTGCTAATGTCGCATACTATTTCCCAGCCTCTTCCTCTGGTTCTTCCTCCTATCCGCCTTCGTTGGCACCGTCTACTTCGCCTATACCATCTGGATCGCTCCATACTTCCCCCAGAAACGCAAGGGTGGCGACAGACCGAAGAAATCTTTCGGACAGACCAAGAGCGAGACATCTGAGCATGCCTCCGTTTCTGGAACCGAATCAACAGGTGTCGCGTCTGGAAAAACCTATGACACTGAGTGGATCCCTGCCCACCACATTCACCGACCCGAGCCTCGAAAAGTGAAGAGCGGAGGCCGGGCGAAGCCCAAAGCTTAGTGCGATCCTTTGACCAGACAATTACCTATTTGGATGATATAATATGCCATCAAACGATCTATATGGCGATTGTCATTTCTTTCCGGAGTCCGGTTAAAAAAGAAGAACAATAGTTGATATAGTTTGGAACGGATCCTCCAAAACCAGCGATAACAATATGCGTCTTGTGGAGAGCTCCCTTGACCCAAACGGGATTGGTAGCTTTCCGCGATGCGACTTTGTATTAGTACATTTGGGTTCGGTATCTTGTTCCTTTCTTTCCATTTTAAATTTGTATTACTTATCAAATAATATATATTCGATCTGGGTTCATACGGAAAGAGGAAGAATATTTCGTGGTGTTTGTTCGATATTCCCATGGCATCTTGAAAATACAATTTTTATTATTTACCCTAAGGTCCGCAATTCTTTAGCATCAAGCCATGATGAGATGTTGAGCCAATGTATATAATTTACCTCCAGCATACACGACGGAACCCTGAGTGAGGGATTGGGAACAATAAACATTAAAATAAAAAATATTATTATTCGTCAGGCAAGCATTGGTCAAAGTGCCCTCCAAGCTTGAAACTCCTCTTCCAGATGGGCCTTCAGCTGCTGAAATTTATTGCCAAACATTTTTCCGCACCTCCAGCACTTAAAATCGAGCCTCAAATACCCTTCCCTCCCCGGATGCCTCCGCACATCATCCTCCGCCAACGGAAACTCCTCAATATCGACGAAAAAAGGGGTTGAAAAGCTATTATAATGTTTCCGATGTCTGAGGCATGGGCTAAACCTATCTACGGCAAGAACATGTATATGCAAGTGGTTCATAGAAGGGTGCGCATGGATGCCGCACATAATCTCCTTCTCCCAGTCGCGACCGGCTGGCAGTTCGTCGGGCGGTGGATCCGCATCCATAGCTTGCTGGCGCGCGATT